TTACATGTTTTGTGTGACCATGAATGATAGTTTTATAAAAAAACAAAAGCATTTTCGGGGCTATCTGAATGGTAAATGTCCCGGTTTATTGCGAGTCAAAACACCTCCTCGTTTCACTAATGTTATGTTTAGGAACGTAAACATATTTTAGTATTTTTATCTGAATTTAAATTAAGCATGTATTGAGGATGAAACATATTACAACAAATTAAAGTCACGGATATATTATTATCAAATAATAATCCAAAGTATTCAATTGAGACATTCTTGTTCCCAAGTTCAAACACTGCCCGGTCGTTTCCCACCCCCAAAGGTCTCTTTGTACTGGACCCCTACAAAGGTTAAATGACATTGTTAGAGACCATTCTCTGCTAACCTTTTCTAAATAGCTTAATCGAAATATAAATGCATAGGAAATGCTTTAATACTTCGAATTTGTTCAACAATAATGGTTCATACTCGCTACGCACATGAATAGGATTTTTTATGAATACGTAAGCTAATGTACGAACCATGATTTGACTTTTACTGATTACAATAATGAATATTATACTTATTATTTAGTAAATGATATATTTTACTATATATGTAAATGAATTGTACACATTAACAGACATTTTATGTATTATAATGAATTAATATTATGCATTAAGCTGTCTGTAATCTTTTAAAGTTGTCTTTGTGATTGTGCTATGTACAATATAATCTTGTTTTACTATTGGTTCTTAAACTGTTAGGTAAGAAAGAACTCTAGTTATAGCTTTATAAATTGTACAAAAAATACTTTCGTGGTCGTGTAGAAATGTCAAGACCTGAATATTAAACACCTGATCTTTTCGTTTATCGGAGATTTTTTATAACTGTTTTTCTTAAATCAAAGATGAATAACACGAAATAAAGAAAAAATAAAGAAGTCCAACACATGGTACCCCCAATTGTGGACACAAAAAACATATTTAAGTAAAGAGGTAAGTGGGCAAGAAAAATAACTTGGATTAACCTATACCTAGCCATTTCTTACAGCCAATTTTCGCAACGGTCGATCAGTCCACCAAGATCGCAGCATCAGGTCAGCTTTTTGAAGCCAGCGGCGAACACCAACCTCGACAGGAAGGCGTCAATCGTCGATGAGACTACTGGCATTTCACGGACACAAATGAAAGGTAAAAAGTATTCCGCCATAAACCACAAATTAATTGCTTTACTTCTTAAAATAAATTGTGTCTGGAATCAAAAAACGTTTAATCATTAGATTCTACGACCTTTACTACTATAGTTTTTATTAGATTAAAAGTTTTCAATATGTTACTTAAATAGTAACTAAACAAATTGTCTCGTTTATTACATTATTTTATAGAAAAAAATGTATCATTCGTATGTTACAGCATAGTAATTTATATCCTTTTTTTCATGTTCATGTCGTATTTCTAAATAGCGATTGCAAAACAAGGACCACGTATTTGGAATAAATAATATAAATCGTATAACGTATCGTTCGATTTTCTTATAAATTGTTCTATGTTACGCTCGTTCTAAATAATGTGGCAGAAAATTACAGTGTACGTTTCTCGCACCGACTTCACAATACTTTATCGTAGCGTAGGGGAACGACAGGGCTAAAATGATTTTGTATAACCAACAGTGGATATTTCTTTCATTTTCTATCCAGTAAAAGTATATTTCTAAAATCGTATACGTATGTTTTCTAGTCTGGATAATTTTCAGAAATTTTGTTTTGGTAGTAAATCTGTGTTGCATTATTTTAATGACAAATTATTGTAGAATTCCGCGAAGCGTTCCGCCTGTTCGATAAGGATGGAGACGGCACTATCACCAAGGAGGAGTTGGGCCGCGTTATGAGAAGCCTGGGACAGTTCGCGAGGGTCGAAGAGCTGCACGACATGCTCCAGGAGGTCGACAGTGATGGTAAGTTAGGATGGATACGGATTTATATCCTATCAACTTTGTACCAACAGTTACAGTATCGGTCTTCTTAGATATACATACTTCAAAATATAAATATGTGTTTTAATGTATATGACAACTCTGCTATAACATTGATGTTGTTAAGGGTTGTAAAATTTATCTCAGTCAGGCAAAAATTAACGATGTCTCGTTAGTAATTATGAAGCGCTCTCATTTGTTATGTCATAATTGTTATATTTAAATTATTTCTGTCCGTGGAAAAGCATGATAGGAACAGTTTATATGTCAAAGAAGGTATTTTGCTAAGCAGACAGTACCTTCGTAAATTAGTACGTAACAAGTATTTTATCAACCGTCGCCGAGTAGACTTAATGTCACACCAATATATGTGAACACACACTTTTGACTGTTCAGCTGACTGTATGACAAGAGGCCATGATGGAACAAATGTGCATAAAAAATATTAGGTACCCTCTATCGACTGTCAGGCAATCAAGAAAATGCTTATCCCTCTTTTCTAGAATGTCAGTGTAGGTAGTTTCGGCCAATGTGTTGTTATGAAATCCTGGTAATTTATTCTGTATCAGGCGACGGTAATGTGAGCTTCGAAGAGTTTGTGAACATCTTGTCGAAGTCAATGTGCGCGGGTGGTGGCAGCAGCAGTGCGGAGCAGGAAGAGCGCGAGCTGCGCGATGCTTTCCGCGTCTTCGACAAACATAACCGCGGCTACATCTGCGCCTCCGACCTGCGCGCCGTGCTGCAGTGCCTCGGCGAGGACCTATCCGAGGAAGAGAGTCAGTACATAGTATACTCACTGCTGTCTGTAAATTTATAGGTCACTCTTTGGAAGTGACTTAAACGCGGCTGTTGAAGTTCTTGACAAATTACGTATCTATTATTAATTCGAATCTTTACTATCAACCGTATCCGTCAGTGCCAAAATGGCGAAAAACAAATAAACATCAATTCCACAGTAGTGATAATGTTGATACGCTTTTTGAATAAAAAAACAGTTATTTTTTTAAGGGAATGTATTATGTTGTTGCAGTTGAAGACATGATTAAGGAGGTGGACTCGGATGGCGACGGTCGTATTGACTTTCTGGGTAAGTCAACAGCTTAATATGAATTAGAAGGCAGTTTAGTAGGGTTTTTCTAGCATTTGCGAATCAAAGATATTAATACCTTTTTTAAATTTAAATATCAGAGTTCGTGAGAGCGCTCGGCGAGCCCGAGGACGCATGTGATGATGAAGATGACGAGGACAATACAGATGGCCCAGATGGACTCGTACAGAGAACTGTCACCGCGGTGTAAATTCCACATTTCATAACCTCTAATCGAATTCCATTAAGCTTAAATTTTTGCAAAATGCACGATATATTTTTGTGGATTTCACTAAAAGTTTTAACGGTTCGCTACTAGTACTAGTAGCAATTGTTTATCAAAATTTGTCTCTTAAAAAATTAAAATACTTTGTGGGCGTACTTTTTCCATATTAGATAATAAATAACTATTGCATATCAGTCTTAACTTTTTAATATTCTTTTAAATATCAATGTTAGTATTAATACTGTGTAATTTTTCTTATTATAAAAAAATACGTCAGAAAAAGATATATTTATCATAATTTTACGAACGCATAATATAAGATGCAATTTTTTTTTGTTAACCTAATACCTCAAATACTTTTCTAATGCTTAATAAGATGTTTTAAATGCTTACTTCCATATTTTTTATTAATAATCTATTAAAAGCTTTAGAAGAGAGCTTTGTGCCAAATTTTAATAATTCATATCAATATTACTAAATCTTAAATAATCATTCTTTTACATTTTTTATTAAATATTAGAGTTTATAACTTAAATGTTAATGCCTACTTGTTTCTATCTTCAAGTTTTATAACAAGTATCGGCCTATTATATCAGTACTTTGATAATATTTCAAATGTATGCCGGACGTTTAATTTGGCACGTGAGAAACAAAAGCACTTAAATAAACTACGTGCCAACTTAAGCGCCGGACATCTTTACTATTTTTGACTTTATCATTGATGTTGTGAATCGAAACTTATTGACCAATGATTATAGATTTAATTATTCTAACATTGTTTTATTTCTCTAAAGAGTTTATATCATAACACACATTAAAAAAACATAGAGGAATTGATAACCTCCTTCTTTTTGAAGTCGTCTAATTATAAGAACTGCTCTATGTTCGTATTAAAAAATAAAACCACTATTTAATCGTCATATTTTAATTTTATAAAAAAATATTTACAATTTTTTACATTATGAGGATACAAATCATTATTATATACATATCATTTAATTATACAAACGGGTAACGTTAACAACTATTAATACAGCAGTTTTTTCTAAACAAACAATATTGAACATCAAATTACATTATTAATTGTACTTAACGAAACAACAACAATAATTAATTAATATTTTAATATAATTATGAAAATAATTTTCGGTTGCAATAAATACAAATTTCATTTAATCAACATTTTCCCTTGTCATAGTGCGCTTACACCGTAGGGCGTAGTAAAACATTATGTACTGAGACTAACATCAATTACCAAACAAACACCCGATCTCTTACTTACAGACCTTGCTTCTAGTGACGTCATCATCACAACTGTATACAGGAATAGTACAAAAAAAAGAAAAAACACCAAAAACTATGTCTAAAAATTCCTGTCCAAACTTAAACCAAAACAAATTTCTACACCAAACAGGCCAACACTTGTATTTTTTTTGTTATAAATGCATTAAATAATTTTGTATTGTGTATAAACTAGTTTTACAATTGGCAACTTACATTTAACAAATACCAATTTAAAAAAAAAACAAAGAATATAAAAAAACTCTTCAATATTCATGGACATCGTATGTTAATGGGTAAGTCACTTCGAGGTTCGTTATTCCTGTTGATATTAAATTGAATTAAATATCTTATTCAAAATATAACAATAATTCCCCAGGTGATGTCTGTATTGATAAATTACAAAACCAGAATCTCAAATCTGGGATGCAACCGGTTGGCAAAGCGGTCAATTGACTAAAATAAAAAAAATAGTTTGCGCGTTTTTATTGGTAAGTATAGCTTATTTCTTTTTTCCATTATTATTATTACGCATATTTTGAATTTCATTTTTTTTAAGTGTAAAAGTTATAATTGATAAAATAATTTTAGCATTGTGCGCCTCATGTATTACAACGTTTTGTGAATATGTGTTTGGATACGAGATTCTTGAAGTCTTCATTTTTTGCAATAAACATCATTTTGTTAATTTTTTTATCTCTTTCAATTTCATGCGTTGATACGTTTGTTTTATTCAATTTTTGTTTCGAGTTTTCGCCGTTTCGATGACTTTTTGGGTCGGCTATAAAAGAAAACCTGGGTGAGAATGGCCGAGTAACATAAAATTTTGGGAAAAAAAGGAACACATTTAGGAAAAAAACAGGCTCGGCAATTCTCAAGCAGTATATGGAAGAATGTGAGCACTTCATTATTGGTTATATCTTTCTTGGTCGAAATATCATTGTCATATGTGAATGTTTACTTCATACTTTTGGATTATTAAAGTGTTAACTTTTTTTAACCAATATTTTTGCAAACAATGGTAACATTCATACAGTGACGTCAACGACGTGTCAAAAATCACAAACAAAAACGTAACAAAAGTTTTGTTTTTTTATATTTTGTCAGTACGAAATAGTCTGCTGCCAGGATTGTGTTCATTTATTATTGCTTTTCCTAAGGAACACGTAATTAGTAATAATAATAACCATAAAAATACATTATTGATATTAACACATAAAATTTTACGAGATGCCTTCTTCACTTATTTTATGAAGTCTGAAGTCTGTTGCCAAGTCAAAATACTACTTATAATTTTTTCTACCACCAAACACCTATTTAACAAAATTTTTCAACACAATACAAGAAACAATATTTTAATTAATTAGTATAATATAAACAATTACAGTACAAATCTAATGAATATATTTTTACATACACAATAACTTCCATAATAGAAAAGGAACATGGCAAGTGCAACTGTAACAGTATTGTAATAAAAACTATAGATTATTAAACAGATTAAATATAGTCAACAATTGTACAGATACATAAATAAATTGTCTCATATTGATGATTAAAATTGTCACTATAATTAAAAAGCGAAGATATAAAACTGGTATATTTAATCTAAAATATTAATAATTGATACGCGATATTGTTCATTAAATACATTGTACTAAGATAACTTATTGTATAAAAGAGAGAGTAATTACCGGCTAGTGATATGCTTTGGTTCCATGTGTCCAGTATCACTCAGAGCTCGCAGGACAACATTACCATTTGGCAGTATTGAAATCCATGTTATTGAACCGTGGTTCAATGATATACGGAGCCAGCCTTCCGGAGGAAATTGGAGGGCTCTGGAAAAATATACATAAAGGTTAGAAGCAAGACAACATTGTACAAAGGAAGTATTCAAGCCGAGAGATTATGCAACACAACTTGAACAATATTCAAAAGAACAACAGACAATTGATGATATAACCAGCTAAGTGTAGTTAATATTTTACACTAAGGTCCTTCCTTAGTAGACATTGTGTTCTTAAAGTGACAGTACAGTAGTTTGATGAGAAATCATCTATCATTATCATCCATCGATCTGGTATTTTTTTTATAGCAGAAGGGGGCAAACTAGCAATGGATCGCAAAAATCATATAACTTAATGAATTTCAAACTCACTTGCAAACAAAGAATCGTATAACATTAGCATGACATACGAGTATAGTGTACGAATCCTGTGTCTGTTCGGGCGGCGCTCTGTAGAAGTATCTGCGGAAGGCGGCTTCTATCCTCGCGCCGTCCTGGAAGAACTGCTACACGTGCCCAACCATACTCTGTTAGTTCATTGCCCAGTAATGCTCTATACTAACCTCTAACTTCATAGAGTATAAGACTTCTTTTATTAAAAAAAAAAACTAAATTTCAAAGTAATGGCCAGAGTTTTTAAATAGGCCAAGCGGAATATGTTTTATGTTTAAACTATGTTCATAACTTGTTTTTCTTATAGAATTCTGTGGAATCTTAGCATACAAGGGAAAGACAGACCTTGTGGTGCCATAACTTCTAGTAGTATTAAACTTTTATAGGTGACAAAAGTATTCTGTGTATTTCAAATAGAAATTCTCTTCCTATATGAACTATTGATTCTCTATTCTCTATAAAGATATGAAACTCTAACAAAAATCAACATACAGGTTACTTTATGTTAATACAAGCTCAAAAGAATGTCACTTCTAGTATTATGTTTCTATGTTATATAATGTTGTGCAAAACTGGGCTATAAACTTTTCACATCTATTTTACCAAAGCAACTAAATGTTTTAATACATACAATGATTTTTTATTTTATTTTCCATATAAAAATGTATTTACATAACTAAAACTAAGATAAATTACTTTACAAAGCTAAATTTAAGTTTCATTAATTGATTTGGCAAAATATATCACACATACATAAAAAATACATATTACATACATTTAAAACAAACTATTGTTAGAAAATAAAATAATCTTAAACATGCAAAAACAATTAAAAGTACCCTTGTTCACGCAGATTCAAAAACACCAAACATAAGTAGACATATGGGAGATATTTTTTCTCCATACAATCAGCTGCATAAATATGTAAATATTTTCAAAACTTTTACTTGTTGATACTTGTATACACCTAAATTGTCAAAAAGTCATAAGCACATCTTCGCCAATAGGAAATATTCATAGTTGGAATCATAAGAATAGAAATATGCATACACCTTTTTGAATTCAAATATGAATATATAAAAGTTTTGTAAATGTATACATAATTATGAAGCTGACTGTATATCCTCTCCTCATACCAATAATGGTATGCTTTATATAATGTCCTACTTTTTAAATTTTGCAAATGTCACTTTCAGTAGCTGCAGTAGTCTTGTCAAGCAACATTCGGTGGCGGCTTGTTTGCTTATCATCTTCTGATATAAAAAAAAAACTTTTTAAAGTGAACTTTATTGATACTTACTCTTGGTTCCGGCGCCCAGTGACCGACAGGTGGTTCAGGTGGAATTGGTGCTCCCTCCTCAATCAGCTGACAGTCCTTAATTTCTAAATCTTTACTTAAATGCTTAGCTATTATAGAGGCTGTCTCTTGTGCTCTAGTCATTGTCGATCTCACAAGTAAGTCCCACTTTATCTGTAATGTTGCCAACCTCTGTCCAGTCACATCTGCTTGTATCCTACCTAAAAACCAATAAAGATGACTATCACTTTATAGCAGTTTATAATTTCACGAGTGCAATGTGGTATCAAGACTGTACATTAAGTTTATTCCAATGACTTCACTATAATTTTAAGTTACCTAATTCAGTCAAAACTCTCTCTTTATCAGTAGCCCCATCAAGATTATACTGTCCATGTCGGATGAGGAATAAATGTCTTACAGCTTTACTTTTTGCCTTCTCTATTTGCTCATTGTATCTGTTATCATCCTCTGGCTTACTAGGTGATGGAGGTTGAACTATCGACTGGGGTTCTCGACTGAAATTTTAAACGATGTAAAAATAAGTCACAGGAAAAAAATTGTATGTTAAATTGTTGAATTATATATATTTTTTAAATCTACATGCTAATTCTTTAATTTCAAGTTGTGTTTATAAGAAACTATTGTTATAATTGTAGAGCTATTAATAGTATCGTACGTTTGTTTACAAGTAGGTCACAATTTCAACGTGCAAAGTTATTACGACTTAAATTATCTCACCGGTCCCAATTCTTCTCCCATTTGACACTCGGCGTGTAATTCACCGTCCAAGAATTTTGAACATCAAATTTCTTTTCAGATTTACCTATAGTATAATATGCTAAACTACCACCTACAGCACCTAAGCTTATAAGAGCGATTTTATGTAGTCTTGAAAACGTAGCCATTTTATGAATATATTTCTAGGAGGGTATGGCTTATAGATTGTTTGAAACCTTATATTATTTAAGTATTAATACAGGACTTCGGTTAAAAATGTATTTTAGGTCAAATATATAAAAATAACCTCAAACAGAAACGCACAACTTTTAAACTTCAATCAAGACAATGACAACTTGTCAACGTCACATTCACAGATTGTTAAATTATTGGAATTATAGGTTTCATTTTGATTTTCATGGAAACAAAAACCCAATTTTAAATAAACTGATCTGAAAAATAAAAAAATAATTTTCAGGGAAACATTTACCATTTATTCTTTTTATTATAAAATCTTATAGATTAAAGACATCACAACGGCATGTGCAAATTTTATTTTCATTTATAGCAACATATTGTACGTTGTCATTTTCGTCACGACTGAAATTCAAACTTTTCATAAAGAACGGTCAATTTTAAATATTTTTATTATAAATTATAAAAGCAAATAGTTCAAATCCTTTTTCAATTGTGTGAAGACAAACGAAATAAGTTTAAAAGATTAATTGCATGTTACAAAGCTAAATTCAATCCAAAAGGTACTTAGGAAAAATATTTTTTGTGACTTTCCGAACCACAAGTTTTTTGAAGTCTACCACTTTGAACTTAATTAAAACAAGTTTAATATATATTTCTAGATGCAGTCAGTATATTTATTCAATCGTAGCGATAATCAAATCTTGGAAGAGTTGTTGAGAGTTTGCAGCACGGGGAGAGACACCGCCCGTGAACAATGGAGCTTGCAGGCAGAGCTTCTAGTTGAGCCCGTCGGTTGGGACGCCCTGTGGAAATTGTCTAAAGACTTCTGTAAAAAGTTTGGTACGTTAATGTAATATTACCCAAGAATACATAGGTCAGGTTCCTAAGAAGGTAGATTACGCAAAAATATGATTAATTTAAATATTTTTCATCTACATTGTTACATATTCCAATGAATAAAGACCTTTCCCTTTATGTATTTTTACCAATTTGTATTTTACAGATGTTAGATTTCCTTGTGTTGCTTACGTTTCTGTAACATCAGTGGATTTTGAGGAATTGTCAGCCAGTGCTGATGTGCTGAGTGTCCAACATGAAGCTGTGACAATACCAGAGACTGTTATAGATATTCCTCTAGTTGAGCTCTGGCCTACCATAAAGCAAAGAGAAGCCAGTATCAATGCAGCAACCACAGCAGAATTCATTGATCTTTTGAGGTAACAACTCTGCATTAAAAATATAATCAAAATAAAAATACTAGTTCCATGTGGAGGATAAGTACTTACTGTGCCAACCTCAAAGACTGTGGAAGACTGTGGGCGGAGGTGATTAGTCAAAAGGGACAATGAATGGTCGTTTCCACTTTCATTGTTTATAAGCCATGGAAAAAGACTGATCATAGTCACAGACATAAATTAAAGCCTCCAAATTTAAAACCTCCTTTGGAACTTCCAAACTTAAAAGCCCCTTTTGGAACTTCCAAACTTAAAAATAAGAACAAATCTTCCTTTTGCTTATTTGCTCTCTGTTCTAAAAAGTTATTATAATCTTATTTCAGATTCTTCTATGAAAACATTTGGATGCCATGGGATGATCAGGATGGTAAAACATTACTTCCTAAAACAATAGAGGAGAGAATGAGCCTTTGGAGTGACATGCACAATGGTACCATACCAAACTTTGTTGCTAGATCTATAATCACACTACGGAACAGTGCCATTGATGCTTACAAGAAACTTAAAGATTTAGATTCTTCTCTATGTGATGGTATATTGGATGATGATGATGGTAAATATATTTTTAATATAATTATGATTGCATTTTTAACTAGCTGTTGCTTGATCCTCAGTCCGCATTGGAATTTAAAAAAAACTTATTAACCTATGTGTTTTTCCAGAATGTGTCTTATATCTATGCTAAATTTCAGCAAGATCCATGCAGTTCTAGAGATACCTTCCATCCATATATTCAAATATATAATGTTAGAAGTAAGGTAGACTATTAATGATAGCTGTGGTCTGCAATTTTGAATGCATGGAATTAAGAATATCCCTACCCTTGGACTAAACCAGATCCTTTCAATTAGGTTTTTAATATGTCTGTATGTATGTTCTGTAGTATAAATTATTTTAATCTTTTTCAGATTCCCTTCTACCTCCAAGCTACATATCAGAGTGTGCAGAGATGAATGCACGGCTAGATAGTCTTATGTCAAAATGGACTCTGTATGAAAACCCATTGATTAGGGAGCAATACTTAGCTAAGACTAAACACAAATGGCAGAAGACAAAAAGTAAAAGAAATGTATGTATAATTTTATATTATTACTAGCGGTCGCCAGTGACTCCGTCCGTGCGGTATTAAAAAAAAATTATAATCTAAGTGTTCTCCCAGGCTGTGATCTACATTCTTTCCAAATTTCATCAACATCCCTTGAACAGTTCTGGTAATACCTTCACACAAACATCCATCCATCCATACATTTGCTTTTACAATATTAGTAAGATGATTACGACAGATAAACATTGAGAGACACATCTTGTAAGTATATTATGTATAAAAAAATGTTTTGATGATAATACTTTTTAATTTCCAAGTTTAGTTGCAATTTCGTATTTCATATTATTGGTACAATGAGAAAATTGTAAAATTTCAGGTTGTAGCACTTTGGCAAGGAGGTTCTATTACTGAGTTTAATGAGATATCAAAGTTTCTTTCCAAAAACCTTACCAATGAGCACAATCTGACAGTGATGGCATCTGCTGAAGATGGTCTCTCGCTAGAGCCTGATGAAGTGGTGGTGTGCAACACTGCATATGAACTGCCAGAGATGCCATTATCACAAATATCTATTTGCAGTTTTAATGGTTAGTTCACATTTTCATACATAATATCATTCTCTATTTTTATGTACATCCCCTCTACCGTTACTTAAAGGTAGGCAACAATTATGCAATTTGCTTATGTCTATGGGCAACGATCGCTTAGCTATTTCAGCGATTGCAGGTGGCTGCTCGCTCGTTTGCCACCTTTTGATAGTTGTTGATATAGATTGAGATGATGATTAGTCGGACTTTGGAAGTTAGTTGATCACTTGATTTACCTTAATTACTTATAAGATGTCATATTCCAGGTGCAACCTTAAAAGCAGTGGACATGAGGTCCTGTCTGCTGATGCTGAGCGAGGAGTGTCGGCTGCGTGACCTGACGCTGCAGTGCGCGCAGGTCAACACCATCATTGTGATGATGACGGGCACCTTGCACATCAAGAACTGTATGCTTGCTGATGTCTCCAAGAATTCACAGGTAAAGTTACTACAACATTTAATTAACAAGTTTCTACTACAATTCATTTGTATGAAAGTGAACTCGTTAATTCGGTGGTCGTATAACTCTACTTAGCTCTAAACTTAGCGCATGCGTTCCAATGCCAAAGTCAAAATAGAGTCGAAAGCGGAATTCTTCTTCTTAAAAAAAATATATTTATATTTACAAAATTATAAATAGTGTAACTAACACGACTTTCACGATAGATAAATATATTAAATTGTTTTAACTTTTGTAACACATCTAGTACCTGACCAGTACTAACTAGTTTCGGACCCATTGTATCCTTTCTCAGGACGAATGCTAATTGTATTTATAATTCTATTACAGAGAGATTTCGCGCAAGGCATCGTAGCGAAGGCGGGATCAAAGATTGTCATAGAAGACTGCACATTTGAAAACTTTTATTCTGGAATTGTCGTTCACAAGGGAGCACAGGTACTTAATTTAAATTAAAATACAATTTAATAGCTCAAAATCAATCTTTTTTTTAATATAAATTTTAATTAAATATAGAAACAGAGTCTTTCCAACTTCCTATTTTTTTAACCAATATCACGGCAATATATAATTATTCAATGTATACTATTTCAGGTTGAATTAAAGCAATGTCTACTGAACCAATGCGGTGTTGGCATCCAGATGTACTCCGGCTCCAGCGTCAAACTTGACAGCACTGTAATAACCAACTGCTCCGAGCAGAGCATACGATATGAAGTCTATGATGGTTGCGGTAAAGTTGATGAGTAAGTATAACAATAATCTTTTGGACCTAAATTAAATGTTTATGGGAGATATAGCTAGCAGAAAAGTATAATTAAAACTCATAACTGGTCCCTAAGGAAGCCCCTTAGAATAGATGTAGTAAAAGAAATCTATGCTAAATTATTTTTAAGTAATCCTTAAATTATGTTAACTATAAATACTAGCAAAGTTTGTAGCAAAATCAGATAATTCAATATTGTTAAAATGTTTTTGTTTTCAGATCTGAAGATCTACAAATTATGCCAAACTGCAAAATTGGATCTGGAAATTTAGAAAAGGAAGTTTTAACTGTTAACCATGATGTTGAATTATTTTAAAATTATTTTAACCAACCAAAAAGTTATGTTTTAAAATAAAACATGTTTATTTTTGTCTATGATAAGGACAGAATGCAGAAGAAAACTCTGCGTTAAATGTTCAGTGCAGATTGAATATTTGTTATAGTCATCAGATATTATTTTATATAATTTCTCTCTAGAGAAACTGATATATAACCTTCCGTGGCAAGAGAACGTTGAATTCAATCTTTTTATGTCATTGTCAACTTCTTTTCGGACATATTGTTAAAGGCAGTATTGGTTTTATTTTGTTCAGTCAGTTTTTATTATGTAGCAGTGCATGTAAAGATGGCAGGTTTTAGAATTTAATGTATTTATTTTCGTTTTTAATATATTGTACAGTTGAAACTCGATTATCTGGACTTCAGTTAATCGAATTCGTGATTACCGGGGCTATTACTCCGGCCTGCGGGATATTGTCACCCATGCTTCGTTATTGTTTTAGTTAGCAAATCATATGTTTGAAAATGTAACTCAATTTTTTTTAATAATCATAATTTTAGATGATTATGCATTTGTTGTTATTACGTACTATGTAAATGCACAAAATGAGTTTATTTTTCATACATTCGATTACACGGATGCCTGACGACAGTTTTTTTAAAATAAGCAAATGAACAGCGGGATCACCGAGGTGTTCAAAGACATCCATTGATTAGTCTCAGTCCGGTTAATCGAATTTCCAATGTTATAATTATCAATCCCGGTGCTAGCTTATGAAATTATTAATTCATCATTTAACAGTTCAATTTTTTTAATTTGATAGCGTTTAAGCTTTGTAAACGTTAGTTCATCAATTAACAAAACATGTACATTCATTACATGTTATGTAGTTATATTAATATCAGCGAAGAAGTAAAGTTAGTTTTATTACATATAGTAATAGTAAATAGTTATTTTAATAAAAAGTTTTTTTCTATGACGTGTGGCTTTATTTTCTTTCTAATATAATAAAATTATTCTTAATCTAATATTAACTGTAAATTACTTGTAAGTTTTTACAGTTTTCTCACTTTTAACAAAGGTTTGGAGTATGTTGTGGTCATGCGCTTAACATTCGTTATTTTCTTAAATTAAAATAATTAAAAATAAATTTAATTTCTAAATGAAAAACTATTTAAATGTTGTACAAATTTAATAAAAAAAATTAACATTATCAATTGGCATCAATTATTTCTAATCTTATTTAATTTTTTTGAACGTTATACATAAATATCAAATCACAGTAAATTAAACTTAGTGACAAATGACTCGTAGCAAAAAGACAAGCAAGTGTACATTCATTTATAATTATTAAAAATGAGAGATATACAGAAAATATACGAAAGAATCTTAATTCTCACAAGTAATATCAATTACAATAGTTTGTAATAAAAAGGCAAACGCAATTGTAAATAAATAATAAGACACTAGCTCTAATCAATAAATAAGTACAAACGCTTGAGCGAAGCTCCTATAATACTAAAAATACACGAATTACAAAAACTAGGTATTTTTTTACAACTTGTTTTGTAGCAGGAACAAAAGTGAAACAGTCAATTTTTAAAGTACGGATACACCTCTTAACAGAGAACAGCTTTGCGTGCAGAATACTTATTAATAAACAATCTATTATATAAAAAAAAACGAAATATCTAAAAGTTCGCACCATATAAAACTTACCATACTTTCATACTAAGTTCTTCTTAAAAAATCCTAAAAATATTTGGTAATTAAATAATTATTATGCTATGGTAAAACTATGCAATTTTAAACATTACATACTCGAATTCTATCATAGATTTTTGCGGTGGCATTATAGGATATAAGGGCGATCATCGGGTGCCAAACGTGCAAAGGTAAGGCCTGTTTTTGGCTACAAGCTCAACTCCTGTCACATTTGTGAACAACATGGTAAAAAAAGCGATTCCTAAAGGAATCGGGATTGGGACATTACAGTTAGGTTTAGGAATATCTCTGGAATCTATTTAAATCTAACTTGCCTAGCGAACATTTCAGCACAGAGGTCCGCGGTGCCTTTGGCGGAGCTGGGCTCGTTGTCAGTCTCCGTGTCGGAGTCAAACTCTGAAGTAGCGGCGGGGGACTTCCTGCCCCCGGAGACTCGCTTTAGCCCGACCTCAGTAGTGAGAATCTCTTTGATAACGTCGTCCGATGTTTTGTCCGTTTCCTTGCGCTTGGCGTTTCGGAGCTGCTTCGCTCTCTTTCTGATGTCGGCTAAAAAGCCCGTGTTTACCTCGACGCTCTCGTTCGACATCTCGTGCTGCGAGAGGTCCGTGCATGACACGGTCAAATCCGAGGAGGACCCCTTGCTATCCGATATAGTCTCTAGAGATTCGAGCGATGCACCGATACTTCGGAACGCGCTGAGACCGTCGATTATGGAGACGGAATACCCGTCGTCAATGGTCGACCTAATTATTATGCCGTTGGGCGCGGTGCCTAGCAACACAGGCTCTCTCACCTTGTAGTTGAAGACCTCGGGCAGATAGCACTCGGAGACGGATGATGCGAGCGAGGAGGAGTCGCAGGTGCAAGGGGGCGCGCGGTACGCTTCCTCGCTGAGATATATGACGGTGACGCGGTCGGATCCGACGGCGTACAGGAAGGGTGCCACGAACTCCCAGCTGTGTACGGCAGCGCTCCACTTGGGGTCCTCGTGCCGCGTGCGCCGGCCCATCTCGTCGACGAACACGCCGCACTCGGCGTAGCAGATGAGCAACTCGAGGGGCTTGGCGCGCACGAGCACGAGGGCGCGGGGTGCGGAGTGCGCGCGGGCAGCCGCGGCTACGGTGGCGTCCTCCATTGCGAAGGTCTCGAGCGCTCCGGCGGGCAGGTTTACTTTGAGCGGCTTCTCGCCAGCCAGGAACAAGTGGCGAGCGGTTAGTAGCAACGCGGAGGGCGGCCGATCGATGGTGAGCGAGCGCGCGATCTTGAACTCCGTGTTGGCTGCGTCGAAGCGCAGCACGAACACGCGGCGCCCGCACGCCACTACAGCACACGGGCCTTCGCCCGACTCCTCTGCATTTACCTACATACATTTCGTTATTTATGTAACTTTCCATCAGCAAAATATTAACTCTCAGAACGTCGTTTCTTAGCTGATTCTCCACTTTATTCTAGAGTACTAAATACACAAGTTTAGAGAAAGGACTGACTAACCTTAAGTATATGTGGCGTGATGACATCGGGCAAGCGCACCCTGGTGAGGCTGAATGTGGGTCGCAGAGAGGGCGCGCGGCGCAGCGCCGAGCCGAGCGCTAGCAGGCCGCCATGCGCGAGCAGCGCACCGCACACGACGAGTGCGCGGCCGCCACACGCCGCTGCGCACCGCACCGCACCGCACGCACGCGCCGGCGACACACAACCCTCCCACTCTATGCGCACTTCGCCTCGCAGAGAGTGTAATCCTTCGGGACCACCTGATAACATTTATATCATTTAGTTTATTATTGTAGAAGCAAATCTTACTCTTTCTACTTTTATCTGGAAATTAATTTTCGTTAGCAATTATTACACAAGTTACGTTTTTATTCGTCAAAACGAGGGTTCAGTAGTAATAATTACCTATGGCGATGGCATGCGGCGCGACATATAGCGCGGTGTGCGGCGGGGCGCGCATGTCGCACAGCGCCAGTGCTCGGTAGCCGGCCGGCGGCGCGCGCAGTCGCGACACCCACTCGGCGCGCTCGCCCGCGCTGCTGCACACCGCCACCGCCTCGCTCCCGCCCTCGCCTCCGCCAACCTCCTCCACTTTGATCTGTACAAAGCAAAAATAATTGTTTTACTATGTCCCTAAATGTACATCATAGACATCTAACCCAGCCCACAAAAGCAAGGCTAAAAAGGGTATCCGAAGGATTTTTCTTTAGTTAAATACTCTTCGTATTGCCATTAACAATGTCAAAAAAGAATAACACGACGAATTACGATTAAAATAAATATTAACGCCATCTAGTCATAGATTGTAACGTACGAGGAAAGCGCGGTTGGCCTCGTTGTGTGGCAAGTTGGTGGCCTCCGGGGACAACATGCGCGCGCGCAGCTCGCGGTCGCCGCGCGTCAGCACCAGCGCCGCCTCCTCACAACGCGCGTTCATCCGCTCGCGATTTCCGTCAGACCTGGGCCAACAAGATGCTTTAGAAATTATGCTTAAGCCCTATTTCCACTAAAACATTTTTTGTGGAATAATAAGTTGCCCCTTAATAAAAGTTGTCACTCACCATACAATAAGTAGTGATGGTTCCAATACGTCTTCTAATAAATCCATACTTCCTATACTGAAAATAAAAAAGAGGTTCAAGAATTTTTTACCTTTTTTATACATTTTAAGACGGAAAAATAAAACATACCCATTGACTAGTTTCTTTGGTTTTTCGAACGCTTTTTCTCGTTTGGGTGTTGGTGGACTGAAAGTTGAGATTTTACAATTAGATACTATTTGGAACAAAATTTAAGGAAAATATGTACGTAGGAAGGATAAAATACATACATGTCGTTAGCAGCTAGTTTTGCTCGCAGGCGTTCAACTTCTTCGCGTAGTTCCCTACAACAAACATTTTATTAACTTAGAGGTAACAGCTGTAATTAATTAGCTAATACGGGATAATTTTTTAATAATAAATACCTATATATCATCGAGTTTGTCACTTTTATTAATTTTGGAGGATATTTATTTACCTGTTAACCCGCATGAGCGGTGGCGAAGCAGCGGCACGACGTCCAGACCGTCCAAACAACTTGTTGCTCAGTGAACATTTCTTGCGATTCGCTTCCTCCACTTTGGCCTGTCAAATATAATTGAAATAAAAATAAATACTCCGTACAGATTAATGAATTTTAGTTTTGTACGATTCATAAACCTTTATTAAGTGGTCTCATTTAAACAACTTTTTGCTTGTAACTTTGTGATTGTTATTACAAGTATAGGGATAAATATTTTACGTATGTATGTATATATGTAGGCTGTACACAAACCTGCAGGAAGTCGATGAGCTTGGCCTGCTGGCGTATGGTGGCGTCGGCCTTGGTCTCGCGGGTGCGCCACCAAGCACTGGCCGCCTCGCTCGCCTCTCGCGCCGCCGCCGCCTCCTCCTGCACAACCATTTCTCCAAGTCATATCACTCCTTCTCTACCTACTTACGATGTAGGTTATTCAAACGATTGAACTTAGCTGTAATACAGTGATGATTCGCGCCATCTCTATGCTATTTTATTAAGTTGTTCTTACACAGATTAAGTTTTAAAGCATTTGTAATTAAATCCTAGTATAGGGAGTAGTTATAGCGTTGTGATGAGTAGTCAACCTGTGCATCAGCGAGGCTGGCCTGCAGCTGCAGTGCGTGCGCATGATGGTGGTGCGCGCGCGTGCGCAGTGCGGCGCTCTCCTCCTGCAGATCGCGCACACGGCGCGCCGCACTGCCCAGCGCCGCCGCCGCCGCGCTGCGCTCGCCCTCCAGCGCCGCCAGACGCGACTCCAGCTCCGCCACGCGCGCTTCCCGACTCTCCAGACGCTCCTACAATACATACTAATTATTATTACCGCATTCATTAACTAACTTATCCACAAATTATTGCGTAGTTGCTACGTTCAACTGCAATTTTGTGCATGACATATGACTAAGATTGTTTTGTGTCTGACGCACTCAGAATCGGTTATTACTTACTAAAGATGACAGTGTGTAGATAAAATATAAGAAATCAATACTAAAGTAAAGGCCGGAAAACTATGCTTGAGTGTGACAGATCTGTAGATAGATATTAGAAATTGCAGTAGGTACGTACCCGTAGTAGTTGCAGTTGCGTGTTAGCGTGCCTGGCCTGGTCGCGCGCCTCGTCCCCGCGCTGTGCGGCCAGCCCGGCGGCGGCGGCGCGCTCGGCCGCGGCGCGTTCCGCTGTCTCCAGCCGCGCCCGGCACGCCTCCAGCTCGCTGCGCATGCGCTGCGTCTCACTCTAACAAACAAATACACTACGTCACAACGTGTCCAAATATTCGATACACTTTTAAAGTCCTAAATAAAATATGTTTTTACCTCTAGATCTTTATTCTTGACTTCGTGTAAATCTGTTAATTTCTCCAATTCCGTCAACTGGTCCTCCAACAACGTACACGCCTCTTGTAAAGCTTTGTTATTCTGTAACAAACATGAAAACATCTGTTCAAATTTAATTTTTACGTTCGAGTTAGTGGTTTGTTAAGTAAAATTCGTACTGTAGCCAGATGCGTATGTATCGCGGAGAGTGCGTTGTCCACGGAACGACAACGCCCTCGAAGCAGATCCGCGGCTAAAGCTAGTCTCAAACGTTGCGACCACGCGTTAGGTCCCGTCCCGATCTTCAAATACGCCGGTTTCGGTCTAACTACAGGTTTTTCACTAGATATTTTCCGTTTACACCGTTTCTGATGAGATTCCATGGCTGTCACAATTTGCTTAACTTTATATTTGATTAATTTCTGTCTAGATTTTCTTTTTAATAATTTGATACATGCAAAGTAAGGCATCACATATACGGAACGTGTTGAAACTTGGAAATCAGTGATAGTTTGTTTTTAATAAACATTTTTACTAGGTTTTTATAGCACTTTACAATTATTATAAATGAGACAATACGTTAGCTTGCCAGCTATACAACTGGGCTACAATACGAGCGAGCTGTGGCTGTGATCTCGTCTTGTTTATGAACACACACACAAATATAACAATAAAGAATTCAGGATGACAGCATCATGTTCAGAGTAAATAATAAATAATGCAATCATTTCATTGACTGTTGACAAAAGTAATACAACCATCCAGCATCTTATATTTGATATATCTTATGCTTGTTCATATTATTTTTATAACAAAGATGGATTACATGAACGATTTTAACATGAACATGTGTCACTACTTGTCTAATATAAATAACATTTATAACCAACAAAAATACGAAAAGAATTACTAATATAAACTGGCATGTTTAAATGTATGTATGTATGGATGGATGTTTGTTAGAAAATGTATCTCCAGAACGGGTGGATGAATTTTGTTGAAATTTGGCATAGATGCAGAATATAGTCTGAAGAACATATACGCTACTGAAAGTTTATTTTATTTCCGCGCGGACAGAGTCGCGGGCGACAGCTAGTGTAAGTTGTATTACGACATTGTTTATACAAATTTAATAAATGATGATATATGTTTCAATATAAATGTTACGACAGATATTTTGGTTATTTTGCATTGCTATTGTTCCAACGTTAATTGTATGTAAACAATGGCGAAATATAAGTTACAGAAAATTAATTTATACATTCTTAATGAATTTTTTAATATCAAAATTGATCTAGAGTTGGTTTGAATGCGGTTATATTCTATGTCTACAAATTTTTGAACAAATCGTCCTGCATATAGCAGCGCAATTATTAAGGAATGAGAATTTGTTATAATAGACAAAATTTTAATTATAGATAAAATCATACAACTTTACTATTTTTGAAGTGTGATTTGTCATTACAGTGTAAACTGTTTGGCTTTTATTTAATTAGTTTATTTTAGTTATAACCCTACTATAGATACGATATATAAATATCAAAATGACTGCTGATAGAAAAAAAAATAACAAAACAAATACAAACTGTGCCTAGCCTACATATCAAAGAGTAGGTAGATTAAAATGAAAATGAATCGAACGTTTCTGATTGGCTGATTGAGAGCTAATAAGAAACGTTTTCATATAACTATTGCTACAACACCATCTATTGCCGTTTTGCAGCAACAGTGTACTTACAGTCATAAGATCGTTGTTGTGCGTGCGTAGTGCAGTGAGCTCGTCTCTCAGCTGCGCACGCTCGCGGCTCGACAGCTCCTCTTGCTCTTCAGCATGCATCCGTCGCTTCTCACTATACTGCAGCTCACTCTTCAACTTCCTAATGTCGTTGCGAGATCTGGTAGTGAAGGGGAAAATGATAACTATTTACTGGACAAAAATATTTACAACAATTTAATAATTATTAATATTGTTTATTATTTCTATCATCTGTCATTACCTTTAGATTCCGACTGATTCCTCTAATTGTCTATGAAAAATCAAAGACAAAATTACTTGTTACAGAGTAATGTTAAAACAAAATTGATCTAAGCTTTTTTCTCATAATATTGATGATTCTATGAGTTATTGTGAACTTTTTTTGTAACGGTTCCGTTAGTGGTTTACCTGTCGACTTCGGTCTGTACAACTTCGTGTTCTTGCTTAAGTTTTGTTAGCTGCTGCCTCAAGTTGTCGAGGTCTGCGATGGCGCGCTGGTGTTGTGGCCGCAATGTGGTCAGCTCCGTCTGCAATGTAGCTGCCTTCTGTTCGCTCGTCTTGCGCGCTTCCTGTGCTAGTGTCAGACGTTCCTCTAAACGTTTTAGCTCTCGAGCGGTTGACTTTGATTCCACTGATAGTTCGTTGTATTCACGCTCCTGTCAAAGTAAGCCCATCTGTTTAAAAAAAATCACAAAACTGTAATAATACAATTTAGTAAAATGGTTAACCAAAAGCAATACCTTTCGCCATTTAGCTAGATTAGCAGCTCTCGTCTCTTGTCGCAAAGTTGCTATTTCGTCCGCGCGAGCCTAAGAAAACCACAATCGTTAGATGTTGTTTTGTGTTATTGATTTTCATTACAGATAACAGTGGTAAGGTAGAACAAAGATGAGAGAGGAATCCGTATATGTATTCAATGCATATCCATTACCTGAAGCTGAGCCTCGGCGCGCTCGAGCTGTTCTCGCAGCACAGTGAGCTGCGCGTGCGAGTGCGCGTGCCCGTCGGCCACGCTCTCGGTGTCACTGCGGCAGTCGCGAGCGCGCTCGCTCTCCACGTCCGCGTGCTCGTGCTCGCGTTCCTGCTCGCGCTCGCGGTCCGCGCACGTCGCACAGGAACGCTTTTCGAGCGCGCTCACCTCCCGTTCCAGCTGACGCACTAGTTGTTCTAGACCGTTCACCTGAAATATATTTCTTTTAAAATATATGGAACAAGTTTCTATTCTTACTATCACCATTTGAATTTAAGGTAAAAAACATGCAAATATTCTCAGTGTGTTTCATGTCGAGTGTATGCCAATAAACAAGGGTACCTTCTCCCTCCTGCGCGACTCATCCTGCAAAGCGGCAGTGGCTCTGGTCTCCGCTTCCTCCAGCTTCTCCCGCAGCCGCGCCTCGGTGCGCGCGCTCTGCTCCTCTAGCGACGCCTCGCGACGTGCAGCCTCCTGCACGCTACGTTCTAATTCCTGACAAGTACATATTTAAAACAATAAGCTACACGAATCAAGAATCACTATATTATTTTTGTTAAGATCTTTTGTTATAGAATGTTAGGATAGGCTTTGATACCTGTACTTGTATGAGCAGCGCCTTGTTCTGGGCGCGCTGCTCCTCTAGCTGCTGTTGTACTTCGTTCAGTTGATGCGTCGCCGCGCTGGAGTTGCGTCGTCTTGCACTCAAAGTCTCCTAAAATATACATATTATTAAACAAATTGTACACAGAGATGATGAAACTAAAGACAAAGGAATCATAGGTGTTCACCATTTTAAATAACACTTTTCGTGCAAAGATAAAGCTTCTATAGTTTTTCGTTATTCTTTAAATTTACCCATACAACTTGACCATTGTGAATCAATCATATGACACTTAAAATGTATATGTGGTTCAAACAAGCTAGATTACCTGAGCGGTGGCCAGCTGTGTCCTGACTACATCCAGCTCGGCCCTGAGCGAGTCGGTCTCGGCGTCAGCAGCGGCCAGTTTGGCCTCAGCTCGCGCCCGCAGACGCGCCTCCTTGGCCGCGCCCGCCTCCGCCGCCGCCAGCCGCGCGCCCTCCGCCTCACCCCCGCTCAGTGTCTGCCGCCGCAGCGCGCGCTCCTTTGCTATTGTATCCTGAAAACATATATCTTATTTTGTATTAAAACATGATTATTATCAGTTGACAATTATTAGCAACTATAGTATCTAATCAACAATGCTACCGTTGGTTCTATGTATATAAAATTCCTAAGAAAATATAATAATGAAATACATTTTTCTAGTTTACTTACCATTTATATATCAACAACTAAATTGTATCTAAATTTAAATACTAACTACTCTACTACTATTAGTATACTATTCTCCAGCTACGTCTAAGTCTAATACTCGACTTACAATAGCGCGCACATTGATTTCTGTGAGCCTTCTGTGTCTTAACTCTCGTGCCTCATGAATAATATCCTGGTAAAATTGGAAACTCTTAAATAGTAATCGACGAAAAATATATAATAATCAAGAAGAATAGAACAAATTTGTCTATATTTATATTTGTATATATTTAACTATATTTACAGGCACAGGACCGGGCATTGTGGCAATCGACGGGGGAGGCCTACGTCCAGCAGTGGACAAATTAGTGAGGGGACATAACCGACGAAATTTTGGTAAGGCTAGTGTTGCGCCAGTACACCGGCACAGTGTCGGATTTTCCGTCTAACAATGTTTTTTCTTACAAAAGTTTACTTTCTTTTATTAATTAGATATATTACCTTATAATGTTTTTCTTGTGCGCGTGCAGCTTCCATGGCGCTATTATTTCTTGTATTCTCCGCATGAAGTTCTGAATACTTCATTTGCAATCTATTTAATTCTTCTTTTATTGAATCTCGTTCTGCTTGAAGTTCCAACAAACGTGTCTGTGTAGCTCTGAGCTCCGAGTTACTCCTCTCTATGATGCCAGAAGATAGTTCCTGGTTCGTACGCTGTAGCGCCATGCGTTCTTCTTTCTCGACTTCCACTTGACGTTCCAAACGTCTGTAAAATATTATAATAATTAAGTATGTCTGCATTAGGAAGAAAGTTTTATAAAGATAAAATTGAAGTATGTTGTAAATATATTAAAAATATGCTTATTTTGAATTTAACAATCGATATTGTCTGCGATTCCTTCACCAAGAAATTTCGAGATTGATTTGAATACAACAATTTGCCAAGGGTTAGTATAGTGTAGTGGGTAGTGTGTTATACTTGTTCTGCAGACTGAGCGCGGTGATCTCGGCCTGCAGCTTGGCGCGCGTGCGCTCAGCCTCCGCGTCTGCGTCACGTCGCGCGCGCTCGCCCGCCGCCGCCGCCGCAGCCTCCGCCTCCGCCAGCCGGCCCTGCAGCGACGCTATCTCACGACCTCGCATCACCGCCAGCTTCTCCGCTGATCTAGTGTACCAAAGTTTTTTTTTTTACTTTTATATTTATTTTACTAATCTATGTAATAAGACTTCTTAAAATAACATTACAATGTAAAGCTGACATTTTGTTTCTATGTGGAAAAATGTATCAATCATAAATAGAAACTTACTTGAAAGTAGCGAGATCGATGGCCGTGCAGTCGTGTGACGCATTAAAACCTCCAGAACTATCGTCATGATTATTGCACGCCACGAATGAATATCCTATAAACATTTATAAATATTATATAATATTAAACTCTTTTTTTAATTGACGTTTAGAATACTTTACAATCACTGAAGACTAGCTAAAGTAAATCTGTGTAGTAATAGTTTCACACGAAGGCAGATCAGTAGACAGTGGAGTACTGCTATTAAACCCTACTCTACATTAGTGTCCTCGTGTAGACTTTCTGTACAGTAAAGTATTACTACAGGCAGGTATATCTTACCAACAAAGGGCAGCTGGCCGGCGAAGGGCGGTCGTGAGCGGAAGGGCACGGCGGAGGGCGGTGGCGGGGTGCGCGGTGGCGGGTTGAAGTAGGACGCGTCCTCCGGCCCGCGCAGGTGCGGCACCCACGGCGGCGCCTTATAACCATACAATATAAATTATATTAAGAAAGCTTTATGGATAATAAGATTTAAAAAGAAAAAGTATACTATTTTTTCTTCCTTTTTACTTTAACATTTCGCTACGAGGATCTTACAATGACCTGAACACATCGAAGGAGCCGGAACCCGATAATGTATTGCTTATATGGCGTTGAGATAAGATTTGTACTATATGTCAAAATTAAAAAAAAACTACTTTTGTTCATAATTATTCATATATACCTGATCTCGTATAGAATGCAGTCTGAGATGTGCTAGTGCAGGCTGCTGCAGTGTGTCTAGATAGCTGAACCGTTTTGCAGGAGCGACGCGCAGCAGACCCCCAACTAGCGATCTCCACGCGGCCGATGGACCCTGAGGAAACTCCTCGAATGGAGGCTCCGCGTTCTTTTTACTGCCGTACCTAGAATATTAGATTAAAAATGTTTGTTTCCCCTGTTTAAATAATTGTATCAAAACATAGACAAAAAATTTTTAGCATCACCTTAATTCATTTTCCGAATTTGTAATGTTTTGTTTTAATTTAATTTCGTTGTTTAAATTTATAAATTGTTAACATACCTTTGTATGTTAGCTAAGATCTCTGGTAGAGAGTCATCATCCCCCGACGAGAAGGGTCTCTTCAGTGTGACCAGCTCAAAGGCAACCACGCCCAGTGACCAGTAGTCACATGCTGACTGCAAACAGACAAATTCAAAGTTTTAAAAGTTAAGACATTCAAATAGGTACAGTTAAAGATATAATTAATTGCAGATTAGGAAGAAAAGCTACTTATTAACATATTTTTAAAAGTAATTTAAAAACAGTTAGGATGTATGTGATTGTTTTTATAATTAAAATGTGGAATATTTATTTACAAATTACATTTAAAGAATGAAAATCATAAATTTAAGACAACAGTAAAATTAAATTTAAAAACCTACACCAATAACCAAAAAAATTTAACTGTTAATGTTAACAAAGTATTTGATCCATATCCATTTAATTTCAAATTGCATTAGAAAAATCTTGTCAGCTATTCTACATTAAATTAATACTAATTGTTTTCATGCTCTTGAAATCTCACACTAATAATATATTATCCTATTAATTAACTACTCAAAAGTTATCACTATACAATTACAATGTTAATAAAATTTAAAAAATTCCTTTACACCATGCTCAAATAAATATCATTTAATTAATTCACCTCATCTCAAATTAAAACCAAAACTGTAAGATATTTGCATAGTAGTGAACCAAAAAACATCGTGCTTGTGTGTTAATTGTTTTCTAATGTTAAAATATTTACTTGTGTCAACTTCTAAATTTTCACCTAAATTCAAATTGTTTCAAAATGTAAATTATGAAAATATGCACAAAAAAAACAAACTCAAACATTCAAAAAATAGTACACACACAAAAACAACAACTTACTGAAAATAGGTAAAATACTGTGTGTACTATCATAAGTTGCATTTTCAAAAATAACCAAAAAAAAATCACTCCATAATTCTCCGGAATCTCCACTTTATTGGGAGTAGTTTCTTTAGATAATGTGCAGAGCCATCTTGTGCAATGTGCATAAAGCTAGTGTAAACACAACTCTGTGCATATTTAGAAGGTGACACTGCAAAGCGTGTGTCCATGCGAACCCACAATAGCAGTATGTGCGTGCGGGCGGCAGTGGTCGAGACAGACGGTGTGCGCGCAGTCCGCAGCAGCCAGCAACTCAGGTGCGACGTAGTCCGGTGTGCCCGCAGCTACGCCGGTCGCCGAGCCGTCGGACAGTCGCGCGCACGAACCGAAGTCGCCAATCTTAACGTGACCGCATCTGCAATATTCATTAGCTAAGTCCATAGGATTAAAAACCAGAACCTCTAGATTGCAAGTTCAATGCATAACCCACTAAGTGGTCACCGCTACACCACATGTGATATGGCTGTTATTACCCTACCCACTGTATACCAATGAGTTTGTTAATTAGTAAGTAGTACTTACCGATCAAGTAAAATGTTCTGTGGTTTTATATCACGATGGACATAGCCCATGCCATGAAGTGTTTTAAGCGCATGAGCCACCTCTGCTATATAGAATGCAGCATCACGTTCGGTTAGTGGATGATTACGTCTTGCAATTAGTCCTGCTAAGTCACCACCATTGCACAGCTCCATTACTAAATATAAATTGCTGCTGTCCTGTAAATACAATGCTAGGTAAGAAACATAGTATTTCAATGGGTTGACTAAGGCAACTTGTTTATTGTTGCAGTCTTTACAGAATTGTTGTGGACATCATGTCTCAGTAACTTGCTTCACAAACCATTGGCACTCCCCCCTTATCTCTGCCTTTTGACTACGGCCTAATCACCCCTAAATTTAAAAATAAAAAAAAATAACATTTCATCCTTTCAATATAACAACACGGTAAGCAAAAACAGCACAAAAATAATTATAAAGAAATAACACATAAAACATAACATTAATAAGAAACAGGAAATATTGCTAATTTTACATACTTGAAAAGCATATTGCAACTTTGGGATCCATGGTCCATTAGCATTAGCTAATACATCCCGTTCATCCTCCGCACCATTTGCCACACGTTTTCGAGCTTCTTCCTTACGCAAAATCTTCAATGCGTAAACATCACTGGTTTCTTTTTCACGTACCATCTGTAAAAAATATTTATTACATTTAATTGAAAAACAAGTAATGGTAATTGTTGGCTAGGTCCATAATATATTTATTGTATATTTATGTTTTGTATATACAATAATTTTGTATTTAATAAATTTTATACTATAACAATATAACTTACATGAACTTCACCGAAATGACCTCTGCCAATAACTTGTAACAATTCAAAATCTGAATGGCATACTCGAGCCCGACGCAAGTCAGCCAAGGAACTACGATCTAAAACAATTGTGTTATAAAATTTTATTATTGTCAAATTGTAAGTTTTCAAGAGGTCACACAGTTACATCCTGTAACATAAATTTTATTTCTGAACAGTAATATGTTTACAGCTCTATCTGGTCCTGACATGATAAAAAGAAAAGAGCATGTGATAATAAAGGTTAATACGTACACTTATCCACAAAAGCTCGCACAAATTCGTCATTTTTCTTAATTGGATCATCATTGCATTCATCGTATAAAACTGTAATAGCATCCAAAAGTGTCTCTCGATCTATCCTTTTGTTTAATTTATTTGAACCACTCGTAAACTTTCCTGTTATCTGTCGATTTATTCGAGTAATACGTACTGCAATAGCTTCCTTCGATGGTTCCATGTTTATTTCACTAAATAATCGTCAACGTATATTCATGATAAAATCTATTTATTTTCCTAGGCGCAGTTTTCAGTTTAGTAATCTCAGCAGCCCGGTATTTCTACCGTTATTTTTAAAATATGAACTTGAAAGTTCAAATGACGTATAGTTTGTTGACATGACACTTGAAACCAGTGTGACAAGCAGTAAAAATTGCGAGAATCCAAAGAGTAAACTTAAATTTTTTACAGACGTTTAAAGCAGTTTAAAGTGCCAAAAAATGATGACGGGAAGGAAAAACTTTTTAAAGCTTATTAAAACTCCTGTAGCTTCTAAAGATGTTAATGAATATTCATAGGTACCAATGATTACTTAAAATCAGGCATGCTAGTGGTATACCTGGACATTCTATTTATAAAAAAAGCAATCATATTAACTTCTGTGTACCTGTATCATGAAATTTGAAGGTTAATTGATAGAAATACAATGTATGATATGGTAAGGGAAGGGCAAAAGGATAAATTACATAAAGTGTACTAGAAGTCGTAGGACTTTATTTTTTGTATATATTTTTTATTTCATAAATGACTTATTAACTATACTTATCAACTAGTTTGAAATTTTAAAGTATGAAAACTATTTCTTTTTTATTATTGATAAAATGGAAAACATTACAATATCCAGCAGATGTGAGATGAATCACGAAAATTGAATATTTACGAAAAATTTATTTACAGAACTAAATCAAAACTTTACCCTATTATGGTGAACAGACCAAGCATATTAGATAACTAGTCAGATTATAATTTTAATATAAAGTTAAACATAACTAAGATTCAAATATATCACTAATTTTCTTGTTATACTAGTTTTAAAAATCAATTATAATAAACGTTATAGCCGAAGAATATCCGGCGTGCAGTGTCTAAAAATATCACAAAAGCGAAAAATGCTCAATTTGGAAGTTTAAACCCAATCCTCATGTAGGATAGCGCTAATGTTATCATTAACCGACGACTTATGCATTATTTTTAATCTATATCCAGCTTCCGGAAGGCGCCAACGGTGCCGTAAATGTCGGTGTCAAACTGCGGTTTTTCTTCGAGGTTGGATAGCTCGCTGAGATCCCGTAAGTAGTCTCTCAACTCGTCGACACGACGTTTCCACTTTTTAGTGATGACTTCAATAGATTCCTCTTCACCGCCCCATTCAGCTGGTAACACTCGAGACGGGAAATGCTCTAGGAGATCTTCGACTTTTTGATGCAGATAGTACTGGAAAAAAAAATAAGGTTTTATTTTTCACTTAACATAAATAAATAGCTATCACTATGCATTTTTCATATAGCTTCTTAAAGACGACAAAATATTTATTTTGTGTAAGAAATGTCCTCAACTGGTCTTTCAAATAAAAACAGCTTTAACCTTTACTGAGAGACATAATAGGTAGGTGAATGAATATTCAGCTGCAAGATGGTTAAATGTTTTTAGGGCGACATAGGGCAGAGTTCAAGGCAATTAAGGTAAACCATTCATTAATTTTTATTATCAATGATAACATATCGCTATCTAATGTATACGCAAATTAGTAGGAACAGTAAAATAGTTGATCTTATTTAATGAGGTTGTCAACCTGTTTCACGTTTTAAATATGGAAATAACCCACCTAGAGAAATAAAAACAACCGTTTATCATGTCAAAACAAAATTCCTTCTAGTACAATCTATAAGAAAATTATGTGTATCTTAATAATTTTTACAACGGTACCTTACGCAGTATAATGTATTTTTTACGTCTTTATTTAGAACTTTGAACATAATTAACTTTGTTTGCAATACAAAATCATAGTAACCAAGTAGACTTGAGTTGCTGTTCTTTGTTTTATTACTAGCTATGGCCCGCGACTCCGTCCGCGCGTAATGACAAAAACATCATAATTAGTAGCCTATGTGTTCTTCCAGACTATGTTCTACAACTATGCCAAAATTCAGCGAGATTCATGCAGCAGTTCTATAGATTTCTTCAAACATCCATCCATCCATTCGCATTTATAATATTAGTAGATATAGGCACAGCGTAAAACCATTCGCCATGTTAACTTAGAATGTTTACATGACAGTCATACTCTACTAGCCGTGCACAATAACATGAGACATGAATCTGATGATGTCATATCTTTGTACGATAAATAGAGTTTATATGATGTTACAATACAATGTACCTATAAATACATAGTTGATTATAGAAGGGTATGAGGCCTTGAAAGTTTTATGATAATTTCTAACCAAAGGTTTCCACACACACTGAATGTCATTGAGGAAACAATGATAATAATAGTTTTATATAAGTGTTATAGCAGTGGAAGTTAGCAGTAAGTTTTTATTAAAACGTCATCCTACGCCTTTATCGGTATCGGCTAATCAGACCGACGTTGGCATCCGAAGTATGAGCCACAGGAAAGTTGGTCAACCTGTTCTTTTAATTAAATTCCCTTTACGTATAAATCACGACATGTTCTTATACATTAGTTACATAATACATTTGTGAACTATTTTATCGCAATTAGATAGGTGTAGATAATATAAATCATATATTTAATTCATTCGTAATTTATAGTTGAGAAGCTTCTTGACTTCGATATTTTTAAGTTGTCGTGAATAATTGAATTATAAAATGCCTATTAAATCCGCTTATGAAATGACAAACTTTACATAATGTTAATAACAAAGATATTTTTGTTAGTTAAATTCTCTTCCTCGTTATACCTCCCCACTTAAGGGCTCAGAGTCTATCCTAAGTTTTCTTTTTCAAACCAAAAGTAATCGGTTTTTAAGGAAAAATTAAGTTTTCATATGTTTTTAAAAATGACTTATTCTGATGAAATACGATGTTTGCTTTTAATAAAGAAATAACTTACAATGTTAAATAAATATTTTTACTACGTAAAGTAACTAAGTAAAGTTTTTTAAACAAACCGCCACGTGTTTATTACTTGCATTTTAAAATCAACAACAAATATTTAATTCATGTATAGTATTGAAAGAAGTATAAACACACAATGAACACATTTTCCGTCAAGACCAAGAAGATTTTATCCTTAAACGCTATGTAAAAATCAAAAGAATCGTATGACACTCCATACTTTAAAACGGTCAATTTGATCACAACATCACGAACTTAAAATAAAAGCATATACATACTTAAAATAATTAAAATATACAAATAAAATTCCGAAACATTAACCTCCTGTATAAATGGAGCTAAAAATTACATGTCTTTTTGGGAAATAAACAAGATTTTTAAAAGTGATTATTATGTAGTATTATGATAATAAAAAATCGGATTATTGTTACTATTAAACCGGTTTTTCTTATGATATCATGTCGTGCGGAAATGTTTGTGATTTATAGAATTTCCGCCTTTATTATACTGTGGCTAAATATAGTTTGGCAAGGTTTGAAATTTCCTTACGTAACAAGTCATAAAGTTAACATAATTTTATATGAATGCACAAAATTTCCTGAACAGTCTACTTTAGTACAAAAGAGTCGATTTGAGCATAAAAGTACCAGAATACGGATTCGAATTGTATTGTTTTTCGTTTGACGATAAATAAAGTACTAAACAATGTTGGCGTCATAGAATTGAACTTACCCTTCTTCGGATCTTCTCATTGACACACGAGCGTATAAAATTGAGTGATGAGGCGATGAGGGGCGGCGCACCGACGACGTGTATGCGGCGCATACGCTGCGGATACGCCGCGTGTGCGAGGTGTATCGCGCGCCGCACGGAGTTCGCAGCGGCGGCCATGCGAGCCGCGAGCGACGCGCGGACATTCGACGTCTGTCAATAAAACAATCACACCAAACTCTGTAAGCAAATAGTGGATGAAAAACTTTATCAATCTTTTAAATCTAAAATCACACATTTATTTGACTTTTTACGTAGCTCTAATTTTGTTATGTATGGATGACTATGTATGGCCACCTCCAAACATAATTTTAACTCCCTAATTATCTTTACTAAACAGAAAGTTTATTTTTCCGTGGCTTGAAGGATGAAATTAACAATATTATTTATTTTTTTTGATGTACAAAAACATTTTGGTCAATCAAATCACTTCTATATTAAGTACTCTATTGCAATTGCATTGGTTACGGATGCATTTATTATGATGAGTATATTAGTATTTAGTTGGTATATCCTCACCTCCCAAATAAAGACATCACCAGATATTAGGGTTTCATCGTGCATACGTGCGTCGCTAACTAGCAGTATGGCACGCACGGCCGCGGCGATGTCCGCGCTGCTTTCTGCATAGTTCGCCCGCACACGGAATATCGTCACCCGCAGACCTTCATCCGTCAACTTTGGCAAAGGCGCGATGTCCCTGTGAAAATTAATTTTAATTTTTAATATTTATTAACTATATAAATCATATTATTAATATTCAAATGTAATAGGTATCGAAACTTGAACATTATCACGGTCACTATTTTCATTGTTAGAGTTAATAAAATCTTGCCGTTAACAACCAAGACCTTGTATAAATATGTAAACGTGAATGAAGTAATATCATAAATGTCTATCATTTAGCCGAATTATTTAATCGCATGACGTTATGCACGATTCGTCCACACTAAACTATGAACATGTGCTAAGTGGATTGCACGCGCATTTTCACTGAAGCAATTTGAAAGGAAAATATGAATCATGAGACATTTCAGAGAGTTACAATCTCTATCCATTCTTTCCTGCGATAACTTTTTTTCAACATAAATCGTCAACCTGGTAGAATTTGAGACAGATAATATGTTTGTTATCGATGTCTATGTAAATATGTGGCCACATAACATCACATAAATCGCCTATTTGTTCGAGATTTTTGTAACCGAGGGTATTTAGATGGTGCCATGTCTTTATGGAAACAATTAAGAGGTGAAAATAATACTTACAAGAATTGTAATACATCATTCAAAGGAGGTTCGCTGAGGGAACGGTGTTCGTAGAGATCCCGGCACCGGGCACGCGCCACGCAGAAAGCTTCAAATTTGGTCCGCGCGCGTTCCTGGTCCATACGACAGCCGCGGATGAACAGCTCCAAAATATTTTTATCTGTGGTAACATTGAATTATGTCAAATCTACTTTTAAGATAAATACGGAAAAAACTGGTTATATGTAATATGTAGAAAGATCTCGAATATAAAATGTAGTAAACACATTACGTCTCAGATTTATTTACGTCTTAATAAGTTTTAGTAAATTTACTCGTATTCAACATACCGAACCGAATGTAGTAGTGATAAAATTGTTCGACAAATACAAATATATTCTATAAAAAGATCAATGAAAGATAATTGTTTTATATACCAATCAAAAAACAAATCGTGACCTCAAATGCCTTGGCAACATTCAGTTATTTTCCATTCGTTCACACATAAATTAATATGCGATCAAATGTTAAGCTATACATATATTTTTCATAACATGTAGGTACATGTGTGTATAAAGTAAATAAATATATTGGCTGCAGTGCATCTAACGAACAATTCAATTTCAATTAAGATTTTTTATCTGTGGTTTTCATCTTTATTTCCCTAGGTTAATTCGATAAGTTACAAATATAATTCAAAGATATAATCCAAGAATTTTATTTTAATACCAAACCAAGTGAATAACACTAACCTTAAGACATGTTGTAGATGATAACACAATTAATTTAACTCACAAAGCTAGCTTACGAAAGTAATCCTCCGTAAAACACTTGAGAAAGAGGTAGAGCTTTGAAGCAATACAAACAACATGGAATACAAATGGCAAAGAGATAGAGCTCTGAAGATGTTACGTTGTCAAACGTGAATGGAATTACAAATGCACATTTCCAAACTACATATACTAAAACACTGCTATCGTTCTCTTATTTAATTATTTACAATATGTAACGTTTGTAAAGCCTGCTACACACGTTCAGTTTTAAGTATACAGTTCGACTGCCAGACATATAGGCAAAACTGAAACTACATGGGTATCAAACAAAAGGAAATGACTAGTAGAACAAACAAAACTAAGAATACATTGACACATATTGTTTTTAACGATCTCTTTTTTAAGAGAATGTTAGGAATGACCAATCTCTCGTGTCTCTACAGTTGAAACTCACAGTAACATTGTTGCAAACTTAATAACCTTAGTACGAAAATATAGTCAAAAGTAAAAGTTATAAAACAATGTTTGCGTGATTAAATTTATTATAAAACAGGTCAATGATAAAATGGGTGATGCAAATTGTTATTGTCAGTTACGAAGGCTGGCTGTTCTGTAAAATTCATGATCATCTCTTCATTTATGATAAGTTTTAATTTAAACGTCAATTTTTACACACAAATTTATTTGTGTTTATTGCCAGTAGTAACTTCACCTCATTCGCACGAAAAATACTTTTGTTTTCTTGTGAGAATGTAGAAAATAATAAAAACAATTAAAAAAAACCATTACATGTGAATACAATTAAAGACAAGTAAATTGTCCCTTTAATTAAAAACTGCTTTTCCGTCTGCACTGCATTATATAGAGATACTAGCTGTCGCACGCGACTTTGTCCGCGCGGGATTAAAAATAGAGCCGATTCTCAGACCTCGATATGCTTACAAAATTTCATGAGAATCAGTCAAGCCGTTTCGGAGGAGTATGGGAACGAAAATTGTGACACGAGAATTTTATATATAAGATAATGTTGTGTGTCTTGTTTGTTCGTTTGTTTCTCGTTCTTTATATAATGTTTATTTGTATTATGGCATGTCTATAATTTAATCGTTAAATTTAATAAAACAAAGGTTTCACACATCTTATCGAGATTACCTTGTCTATAACATTGCATTTCCTAAACAATAAAGAAAAAACGTCATAATAGCAACAAGGTATCTAACTCTATTTATGATTGCAAATTACTTTACGATACGATATCGCCAGTCGTTGCACTTCTGGCGTGATAATTAATTTAAATACATTTCTATAAGGTCTTAAACGTTACGGGCATAGAATAAATACGACTTTAATGAGTTGTAACAAGTCAGGTCATTATGCAATAACAAATTTCAATGCAAACACGCGCCAATTGCGCGACTCATAATGATCGATCTTATTTAACTGCCTGCTTTGGTATTTAGAGTTGTTGTTCGACCGAATACCCTATTTGTTGCTGTGGCGTATTCAAGATTTGTAACAAGACTAGGATTGTCACCTCTTTGCGTTTGCAACATATAAGTAAATATTTGAACAGTAACAACAGTTTGACCAAAGAGTTCATTTATCAGACAGAAAAGCAAATCGCCAGCACGAACGGAAGTTTAAGAAAAAAAAAATTTTTTAAATTTGGAACTGTCAAACATTAGCTTCTAACTGCTACTATGACGTTAACGGAAATATGAATAATGAATATGAATACGATTTAGGACACACGGTTCAAATGTAATAATAGTTCGCTGGATGTCCTCGCTCTGTTCCGTAGTATTATATACCGTCGAAATTGATAAATTTATCAATCAATAAGCATTTCAGTTCCTTATAGCTTTAACATTAATAAAACAATGTAAATTTCTTCCCGATAAATAAATGTCAGTAAAAAAAATAATAACTAAAACAGTGGTTGGTTTCATCATTTTTTACTTTTCATCGTTATTTTAAGTCCGCGACACACCTTCAGCTTAACTGACCAGTTCTATTGTTCAATTAAAAATGACACGTATAAGTAAAGCAGTTGTAAAAAAGCAACAAAAGATGTGTAAGTACAGTTGTACAGTTCAGACAAATTTTAACTATCAATCAGACAATTGCTATATTACCTACACACGTCGGTTTTATCTGTACAGCTCGACTATTTATTTAAAACTGTACATTTAGAACTAAAGGTGTGTTTAGCCAATTTTTTATTATTATTATATTTCCTTATTAATAACAAGACAAAACTTCGTTGTAAAGATGTTGTAAAACTGATAACTGTACAATGTTTACATTTATTTTCCTACAATTCCAAATCCTTGAGTCATTCATATAATATTCAAATGAGTGTGGAATATTATTATGAAAACATATATCTTGTTTGTATGGTAATGGTTATGCAATTAGACATAATACTCATAGTCAATACTCGTAAGTGTTGCGATGGGTACAAAGATCATCGCAAGATGATCGGAAATGCCCATTCATCTCTGTGAAATGACGGATTTTTTATGTTCAGTTGAAATTAAAGGTGGTTTAAACCTTCTTTTAATAAAAGTCAATATATGATGAATAGCATAAACAAAGATGATTTTGTTTCGTTAATAAAATGTAGTAACATAACAAATGAAGACCAAGACATTTTACTAATATTATAAATGAGAATGATTAGATGGATGAATGTTTGTTTGAAGTTATCTTCAGAACGGCTGCACCGAACTTCCTGAAATTCGGCATAGATGTAGAACATAGTCTGGAAGAACAAATAGGCTACTATTTTATTTATTTATTTAAATTCCACTCCGACGGAGTCGCGGTCGACAACTAATTTCAGATAAAATAAGTCACCTACTTTGGATTTAACACAATTTAATATTTTTATAGGAAATGTAATAATTTTGTAAAAATTGTAAAATAAAGTGATGTTTACATCTCCATGTCAACCACCGACGCATCTATGCCTATTAATAGACTTCAAGTATCAAGTTGAACCTGTTTTAACTGAGGGCAATATACGAGCAGATGATATGTTTTTTCTTTTTAAAATAACTTGAAAAGAAGCAACTTTTGTCTTCCAACTTCCAAGTAAATGTTCAACAACACTTTAGAATATTCAATGGTACTGAGCTGAAAGTTCCGACTAGAAATCATTTTACGGAAGGTCTTACGAAAACATTTGTCATTTCTAAACCACCCCTTTATATTATAATATCATTGTTTTTAACATAAAAAGTTAACTGCTGAATTTATGGTCAATTGAATAGCGCAGTTTTTTTTTTAATTACGACGTCAATGTTAATTTTATTATTATAAATTGCATCCAAGTTATTAAAGAAACATTTAATAATCAACCTTGGCCTCAATGCAACGACTTTGTTATGCATTAAGTAACTTAATTGAGTTTAAAAAAATAATATACACTAAATATGTAGTTTAAGTTAGAGAAAGGCATTTTAAGAAATGAAACTAAATTTTCTAATAAACGTACTTATGTAAAATTAGCTGTCGCCCGCGACATCGTCCGCGTGGAAGTAAAGGAAAAACTCAATAAATAGCCTATGTGTTCTTCCAGACTATGTTCTACATCTGTGCCAAATTTCATTATGATCCATTGAGCCGTTCCCTCGATGCTTTCAAACAAACATCCATCCATCCACCTAAACATTTGCATTTATATTATTAGTAGGATTTATATACAAATACATTTATTTATCATATTTTTAATATAGTACATTTCTATTTTTAATATAGTACATTTCTTAGTAGGATAATTATTAAGCTTCATCTAAAAATAGCAAATGTTGAATGACTATTAATTTGTGAACGACTGTAATTACGAAATAGGAAATAAAAATTGAATTATGAAGCATTTCTTTTTTTAATTTCTGCATTTTTATTAGATAAAAGCATATGTATTAGATAAAACGTATTAAATATATAAATGTCATTACAACTAAAGTTTTGAGTTATTAGACTCAAATACTTGACGATGTTATTATGTTAAAAATAGTTGACTTACTTATATTTTCTTTCTATTATATTCTTTCGTAATTTCATATTGATACCTCAATTATTCATATGAAAGTAAAATTATAATCGAAATGTATACAAATGTACTTTGTATCCAAGAAATTAAATAAATAAATATAACCATAAGAACTTACAATAAAGGAAAGCAGTTTGTGAAGTCGGAAAATATCTCCGAGCACATTTCGTCTCAAACTTTCCAAGTCGAACACACTACACACACCTTAATTTTATAAAATAAACTTATTTTCAAAATAAAATTATATATGAATATCCGAATGTATTATAATAAAATATAATACATAGTAATCGAATATTATCTATCAAAAAATTGTTGTCTCTGTTCATATCCTTTTATTTTTTAAGATTGAGGAATTTTTAATATTTTATACATACCTACTACTTCAGGTTGCGGCAAATATGGTGAAGCTGCGCACATACTCCGAAGATCTCTGACTCCTCGCTCTAAATCACCAGATCCTTCCCCTAGTTCCTGTTTGATAATTTCCGCTTGTTTAGGTGATGGCCCCTGGAGGAACGCCATTTTTAATTCACTAAACAATTTTTAAAAAGTTCGTTTTAAAATTTTCCGCGCGTTACTTTTAAAATGGCAACCGTGATGCTAACACCAGCTACGTCAGGATTAAACTGCGAGCGAAAAGTATAAAACTGTTTTTATAAAGTCGACCCTTTTACAACGCAAAAGCGAACAAACAGATCCAGAACGATGCAGTGGGCACAAATTATGTTTTTTCTCACATTTATTTAAACGATTTTAATTTCAAGTACAAAACAGAATCTTAATCTATGACATAATTAAATACAGTTTTATAATTTCCAGCCAGTTAACAAATTAAAAATAAAATAAAAAACTGTCGCTAATGTTACTGTTTGGATTGTGACTACTTGAATTACGTGTCTGATTTTTAAATTTCTTCTTGTCCTACATTCAATTGTACGTTTTTGCTGAAGCATAATTATTTTTGATGACACAATATGCATTTGCTGATTAAACGCACGTTATATTAGTACATTAATTTAATCACGAAACGTTTACAAATTCTAATTAATTATAGACTGATAGAAATCGGGTGGAAGATACGATTCCATGGTCGGGGTTTTATTTTCGATAAATTACCAAAACCAATTATAAATGGTTTTTCTATTTTTTCGCCAAAAATGTAGGTATGATTAGAATTACGCGCTCAGTGATTTCTTATTCGAATTGGCAGCAAATAATTTATGACCGGTGAGTAATTTTAAATTAGCCTTAATCGTCGAATCTGATATCTAGAATTTAAGAACAATTAAAAAAAATAAAAAACGCCGATTAGTCTCATTAATGTTCAAATATCGTGTATCAAACTCAGAATTAGTCATTTTCACTTGTGGCTTACCATTGTACGCCTATCTTAATATTTTAAATTCAAACGTTTGGATGGATGGATGTTTGGTATCTCCAGAAGCACTATACGTACGTCACTGAAATTATGGCATAGATGTAGAACAAAGTCTGGAAGCACATGTAAGGTACTAATATTTTTTTTAAATTTCGCCCGGGGACGACTAGTATCATAATAAAAGAGCATAATCCAGTTTACAAAGCTAAATATAGACTTCAATGTATTGACTATTACAATGTAGAGTTGTAGTATGATACAAAAACCTGTTTGTCAAGAATAATAGTCAAAATATTCCATTAAAAATATACGGCGGAATCGATCGGTTTTGAATAGAAATCAAACAAATATTTTTGAGTATTTATTATTCAAAAAACAGCAATAACAAACTTGATTGGATTTAAATGAAAATCGTACATCGATATAAACTAATAACTAAACCATCTGATAAGTAATATGGGTGCCGCACGGAAGAAAACAATTCTAGTAAATAATATAGGTATGTCCTATGTAACTCCATGATAATGTAGAGTTTTAGTGGCTAAAGAATTTTTCATATTGGTCTAGTAGTTTAAGGTTATTCGTTACATATCAAAACAACAAATCTTTCCTCTTAATAATATTAGAGTAGAAAATTTCTGTATATTGGGCCACCGAAACTCCCACATAGTGAGTAAGGCAAGGGGGAAGAGGAGTCTTTCTCTAAATATTTAAGATTCTTAAATCTATTCATACTGCGCGCGGTACCATCGCGTTTTTTTTTTGTTGTCTTCAAAGAATCATAATAACATGGCAATGGCAAAACATGGCAGTCTCAAGGAGTTACCATAATCAAGTTCAAAAATGATAGATAAAACAAATTTTCGTGACATGCCCTAATAAAAAGGGAAGGCTAGGTTATATTTTAAGATTTGTAAAAGTAATAAAAGTTTTTTTTTTTAATAATTTTAATTTTTAATTTAGGGACACCACGAACGCAGTTTTTCTGATTGTCACCAGTGGGTGTCTGTCACTTTATCTTGTCATCTGTATATATGTCATTACGTGGCTCAAGTCATCGCAGAAATTAATACGAGCAAAACAAGCTGCCGATACTTAAAATAATAACTCAAATATTTTAGTTTATTACTAATTAATACAATGGACTGTTTATATAGATCTTTATTAATATATTCAGTTGTAATTATTACATTATTAAATAGAGCAAATGGGTATACAATAACAGTTGACGCACACGCCGAAGAATGCTTTTACGAAAATGTTGAAGCCGATACAAAAATGGGTAAGCTTTTGTTTTATATGTTAACTTAGTACTTACTCAAGTGCAAAAAATGTCTATTTTGCGTCCATATCATTTCAATTTCTCCCTAAAAGTTCTGTTGCTTACTTTCTATTTTTATGTTTGCCTTTTTATCCGACTGATTTGAATTCTCGTCTATATTGTTATAAATAAAGCATACGACATCATTTACCTACTGATAATACACTGACTTATTTATATAATGTAATTCTAATACTTTCATATTGTAGAGTTTTGACATGTAATAATCAAACATATTGGTAACTCAAACCTACAATATTAATATTTTCCAGGGTTAACATTTGAGATAGCGGAAGGAGGCTTCCTAGACATAGACATCACAATCACAGGTCCAGATGGAGCAGTGATACACAAGGGTGAAAGAGAATCATCTGGTATTTACACATTCTCTGCACCCACTTCCGGGCGATACACTTATTGTTTTAGCAATAAAATGTCTACAATGACACCAAAGGTAATTTTTTAATCATCAACCTGCCCTTATCCCCACGGAAGCTTGGCACAGTATGTACTACTCATCCATACATCACTATCAACATTTCTATGCAAATCCTCTTTCACACAATCCATCCATACTTTCTTTGGTTTTCTAAAAGTATTTAAATAAGCATACATGAATAGGTGTTTGAATATGGAAGATAAAAGAGACGGTCTGTTCCATGTGAATGGAAATCCATCTCTGCATTAACCTTTTTTTTTACTGTTGTACATATATTTATTCAATTGTATTTATAGTTTTTATTTAATGTCTTGTTCTTATTACTATCTTCAGGTGGTAATGTTCAATTTGGAAATTGGGGAAGCACCAAATAAGAATGCTGGTGATAATGATGAAGAAGCTAATCATAATAATTTGGAGAATATGATCAAAGAGCTAGGTGCAACACTTAAAACTGTTAAAAATGAACAAGAGTACATGCAGGTAAGGTTAAGCTTATTCATATTCATTATCATCAGCTCACTATATGTCCCCACCGAGGGGCTCGGAGCCTTCCCTAAGTTAAGGGCGATCAGGCCATAGTCAGCCATGTGGCCAAGTGCGGGTTGGTTGACTTCACACATATCTTTGAATTTTTTCTCAGATATGTGCAGATTGCATCACAATGTTTTCCTTCACCCTAAGAACGTCAGATGAAGGTACATATGTAAGTCAGAAATGGAAAAACACATTGGTACATGACAGGATTCGAACCCAGGACGTGCATATTGCAAGTCAAGTGCTTGACCCCCGATTCTTATTACATAATGACAGTTATAAAACTGATGCGCAAAGTTCCATCCTCGCCACTAATAATGTGGATATGCTTCCTGTCTGATATGGTTGAATTGTGGAACAATCTATTACGGCACTTCCAACCTAACACAACATTGTTTTTTAAAACAACTTTATTAAGAGTTACCATTTCCTTAAAGGCCGGCAACGCATATACAGTTCCTCTGGTGTTGCAGATGTCCATGGGTGTCGATGATCACCTTGGTGTTCCCGCCGCTCATTTGCCCCCTTCTCTTATAAAAAAAAAAAAGAGTGATAACATATCAACAGATCTACTATAGTTGTAGATGTTTATGAGTAGTGATGCTCATTTATCTGGCTTTTAGTTACACTTAGAAGTCACCATGTTGTTAAAAACTTTCCAAATTTATGCCTAAATTTTGTAAACATACAATACAATGGTGGCCAATTCATTTATTTCATATTTTTATTGTATATGTCCTTTTGTAAAAAAAAATAGTAGAGTTTAAATTGTAATTTCAACAGCTAATTTTTATAATTAAAGAATAAATTCCATCTTGATTCCTTAATATGTTTCTGATAAAAAGGGTCTTGATAGAGACAAAATAAAGTTAACCTATAAGGGTTCCTTCTTTTCCTTTCGTGTTACGGAACCTTAAAAATGGTTTATTTTTTAATATAACTAGTTGCTGCATTAAAATCCATTATTTAATAATATTATTTTTTTAAATTAGGAACAAATTGATCTATGACAATTTATCACCTCAACCTAATATTGATTTGTCTGAACAATGATTATAACGTTTTTATTTTTAATTACAGGTGCGCGACCGCATCCACCGCGCTATAAATGAGAGCACAAACTCACGTGTGGTAATGTGGTCCATCTTCGAGGCTTCAGTACTACTAGTCATGACATTAGGTCAAGTTTACTATCTCAAGAGATTCTTTGAAGTGCAACGCGTCGTTTAACAGTGCTATTGTGTTGTTTTATACTTTATTAAGTTACAATAAAAAAAAATATTAAACAATAAAAAACATAGTGAAAAGAAATAATGTGATTCATTCGTGTGAAATAATTTATCCTGATATTTTGTGTGAATACAATTACAGTAATTTATTTTTATTACGTTTTTTTTATTAAGAATCCATTTGGAGTTAGTCTTGTGTGTAATATTGATATAAAAATGTATCCAGTTGTTCAAATATGAAATGTACACAGCCAATGAGTATGTTGCCAGAATGTATTCAACATAAAGGTTTTATTCTTTTAGACATAATTAGAATCCTTTGGCGCGTATGACGTGCTTTAGTTATAAGGTCTAGTATCAGAATGAATAGTGAGGGGACACAAACGTCGACAGTTTAGTAAGTCTAGTGTTGGGTCAATATGCTGCCACATTTTTGGATTTTCTTCTTAAATATTGTTAGAATCTTATAAGACCCATTGGCAACATATTAGGCTTAAAAATAAAATACAAAGATATGTAAAGTTAATACAACAACAGTAATTTTTTAAGAATATGACATAAATTAAGTTGGTCAATATCACAAAAAAAATTATGACTATTTTATTAAAAAAGAACAATTTAATAATAGATAAATGCTTGAGAAATATCGTTAATTACTGGTTGCACTTTTCTTAACCATAAAAAATCAGATATCTGTTTATAGTATGTGAAATTTTCACATAAGGGAATGGTTAAATAAACAATCACATTAATATAACAAATGTATATTTTTATTTTACAAAAATATGTGCGAATTATTTTATAATCGCGTAATGATTTTATCAGATCCATATTACAAACCTTTTTTTTATAAAGCCTGCTACACACCTTAAGTTATGGTTAACTGTACAGTTTGAATTAAAATTAAAAGTGTGTTGCCGGCTTAAAACATCTAAAAAAACCGAAACATAACCAATTTTAACTATAACATGATTTTAGGAACAAAATGAAAGTTAAGTAAAAACTGATAAAAGAAAATCATCACAAGAAAACATATAACTACATTTATTTCTTAGTAAATAAATAAATTCTACATAAACCATCAACAAATTTCTTTGTATACAAATATTGCCTATAATTATCAGTGCATTTAGTACTAACTCTTTTTTTGAAATTAAATCCGTGCTAAACACACAATAACCATTTTTAATAAACCAATGTAAGTCAATCTACATTCAAACATATAAATCTTTGGCAAGTATCATATTTATATTAATTTAGATCCATTCGGCCAGTGATGATGGCCGGCACTACAGTACCAGCGGCTAGACAACGCAGGTCTTTATCAGCTGGTGGCATTTCTAACAGTACGCTCGCCCCACAAGCACTCAGCAAACGACTGCTGCACTGTTGACATATATGTTTGTCAATATCAGAGAAGCAAGACGAGAAGGAGGAGGTGTCGAAATACCTTTTCACCTAATACTAATCATACTTTTTCACCTTTCTTCTACTCCCTGCCCTTTTCCCTACCGAAGGTGGGCATAGTATGTATCACTCTTACCGATTAGCTTAATGTAAAGATAATATTGGTATGAACACTATCAAAAACCTTTTTACCCGATTCTGGACAGTACTTAATGATTTTCCCGTGCATATGTAAGTTTTTGTGTGGGTTTGAATGTAAGTTCAAACGTTACCACCTGTAGCCTAAACGAACCGATTTTGACAAGTGAGGTGTCATTCCATTCTTATACATTCCTAGAATATAAAGATATAATAAATCGGGGTTTTTAATTAAGAAATAGTTTAATTCTAAAAATAATACCTGATTTCCTAAGACTTCAGCGGATGGTATATCATCAGTGAACTTGAGTACTGCTCTGACGTACTCCGGTCGTGGGTCGAGTTGGAACTGTTTGGTGAGACGCACGCGCATGCGCGGGAACTCGGCATTCCGATGCTCGCAGACACGTAATGCGCGTATCACAAATAACAAACAGCATACATACGCTGACACTGGGTTACCTGGAAACAACAGAAATTTTATTTATTTAAATTAGACACTTCTAGATAAAATCTTAAACCCAAAATACTGATAAAATATAGAAAACCTTTTTAGAAAATTTTATTTAATTACTACTCTATTATATGCTATTGCCACAAAGTATTTTTTTTACATAGGTTGATAGTTAAGTGTTTAATCTGTACAATATCGGTGGTATTTTTTACATTTCATAATATGAGAATATATAGTTTACTCACCAGGCAAAGCGAAAATGTATTTAGTTTTTCCTTCAAACTGACAGGAGGCGAATGTGCTCGGCTTGCCGGGCTTCATACGCACACGACCAAAATGCAACGTCGCGTCAAAATCCTAAAATGCAAATGTAAATCAAATTTTTATGGCATGATATTCACCCAGTGAACATGAACTTGCTTATTTTTATGATTGAAATAAAAACTAATAGAAACTATTTAATAGAATATTAAATGAGAAACATAAAAAGATTTACTGGCATACAAACTAACAGTAAGAATCTCTCTTATTATATAATTAAACTAACTTAAGTGTGCCAATTTGACTTAAAAAGTGTACAAACTTGTGTAAGCACAGGTTTGAGGAGGTCCTTCTCGCCCATGGAGACGCCGCCAGTACAAACGAGTACATCGGCTGTGCGCAGCGCGGCCGCCACGCTCGCCCGCAACGCGCCCGCTTCATCGCGAGCCACGCCCATGCATACGCTAGTGTAGCCCTGCTCTCTAATACACAACATACACACCATACCTTCTTATCTTTATTGTTTCGAAAGACAGATGGATGTTTGTTAGACTTAGACTATACACGGATCTCGCTTGAAATTTAGCATAGATGTAGAACATAGTCTGGAAGAACACAGGCAACTTAAATTTGTACAACTCCGCGAAGACGGAGTTGCGGTCGATAGCTAGTAATATTGTAAATGCGAATGCTTGGATGGATGGATGTTTGTTATTACGTATCTCCAAAACGGCTAAACGGATCTCGATAAAATTTGGCACATATATTGAAGAGACTAAAAAAACGCATAGGCTACTAATTGAGTTTTTTCTTGTTTAGTCACGATGACAAAGCACACCTATAGCTTACTTGAGGAGTGCCTTTAGCATGGTCTGATTGGAGTCACGGATGTGCGCCGGCTTGAGCGTCACTTCTGATGGATCTTGGAGCTCATTGCCAGTAGACAATATTGCCACCTAAAAATATGGGTGTTTGCCGTTGGACCGATCGACCTACCAATCAATCGGTCCAATGGGAATTCCTTGCCCATTCGGTCAATTGAATCAATTTACTAAATATACGTAAAACCCTACACATAAGTTACATTTTGATTTGAAGGGCAAGGTAATTTAATTTTGTTTTTGATAATATATTTTCAACTTCAAATGTCTCCAATCTAGGATTTAAATCTGTATCGAATATATGAGTACGGTTTTTAACGCTTACCACAGGTCTAGTCCTGACTCTGACGTTCTGATATCCAGCTCCTGCTAGAACACCAAGTAACGCTGCATCTAACACCGCACCTGTAACAGATAATGTAATTTAAAAAACAACAACTAAAAAAAGTACGTCTAGGTTACATCTAATTGAGTGTTTCCACTGTCGAAACATTTGTCAGTTTGACCGTTCATAAATCCCGCGCTATATTGTCCATTAATGTTTTTATACAGGTATTTTAACAATGGAAACACACTTGATTATTCTCGTATACCTTCAGTAACTAGAGGGTCACCCAAAGTGATATCGAAGCCGATGGGTCGCACATCCTGCTGTGGTTTCGGTGCTGTCAGTATTTCAACTTCCAACTCCGTTTCGTTATCTGGCGTTGCCGAAATAAGCTTCGTGTCTTCCACCTAGAATATCAAAATTATTCACGTAAATATTCAGTCTGTCTTTGGTATTATAATAAGGAGGTCTTCGTGATTCAGTTTTTATTGTTAGACTAACTGTGGCCCGTAACGCCGTCCGCGCAGAATGAAAATGGGCCCATCGAAATCTCCAGATGTTCAAACGGAGTCACGGCGACCGCTAGTAAGATAATAAAATTGCTTTCCTACACTAAGTACCCGTCATCTAAATGGTCCAGATATGGCCCCTGGTGTCCGCGAAAGACCTGGTGAATTTTACCTGTACTACACAATCGGCGCCGGGCGGCAGTGGAGCGCCGGTATTTATACGTGCACATTCTCCGGGCTGCAGCGGCAGATCGAAACTATCCCCGGCCGAGACCGCCGCGCGGACACGTCGGACACCCGCGCCGTCTGAACTGATGCAGGCGTAACCTAACGATACAATTGCAATATTTTTGCACAAAATATATTTAGTTTTTTACAGCAAAATTACAGATTGAAAGAAGATACAACATATTTTAAGCAGATTGGATATTTACTAATTTCACTTCTCAGTAATAAAAAATCTTATCAACATAACTACAGTTTAAGATTCAGGTTATAACTCTTATTAAATCAAAGAGTTATCATTTAACTACCCGGGTTTATCTAAATTGAAATTAAATTCACATTTTAAAGTGAATAGGCTATTTCCCTGGCTATTAATATCTAGCATATAATGTTAAAAGAATATTAATGCTTTCATTTCAAGTACAGTATGTATCTTGATAATAGATTTTAAAGGAGTAAATAGATTTAGTAGAGAATGTGTGCTCACATAGAGAAATTGTGCATACATTAAGATGGAAAGTGCATAATCAACATTCTCTTCATGCTATGTTGGGCATGTGCATAATTTGAATTTTTTTTTGCACTTACATATTTGCTATAGACATAACTACTTAGATTTCAATATTGTTCCCTAAAATTGGCACTAAATATTTAATAATAAATAATATTTGCACATTTGCTGACAATTACTATTATAATGAGACTGTGTTAAACAGCCTTATAATGCCTTCTCATAATAATTGAATTCAACTATATATACTAGTTTATTTACTTAAATTTAAAGTATATATCTTTCTAGATAACATGATTTTGGGAGACAATTATGTAAACTTCTTATCTCGTTTTATTTAACTAGTCTTTATCAACTGAGTACTTTAGTGTCAAATGTCAGTATAAAATTTCAATACAACAATTAAGCTATAAGATATAAAAAACAACTATTTCCATAAATTACATTGTTAAGTTTTAATGCGAATTGTATAAGAATATTTGCTATGTTATAATAATAACTCACCATCTTTAATAGATGCTGGAAATGGTGGCATTGGTTCTTTAGCATAAAGAGATTCAGCAACAACATAACCTAATCCATTTTCTATATTAACTTGTTGTACAGTTCCAACCCACTTTTTCATTACCGAGTCAACTATATTAAAAGCTTCAGTCATTTCTAACATAGGATACGGAGATTCTCTAGGTCTTAATGCTACTTTTGTTACATCTACACTACTTATTTTATGCGGACAAACATGACCTTGCATCGAATCATGAACAGACTTAACTTTCTTTGTATCATTCTTAATAATTTCGATTGCATGATGCAATATCGGCTTAACAACTTCGAAGCATTCTATAACAGCTTTCTTACTGCCTGGAAAATTTATAATGAGTGTCTTATCACATATACCGCTTACTGAACGTGAAACCATTGCCATTGGAGTTTTTTTTAGACTTTCAATTGTTAATGCCACTGATATTGCTGGTGCTTCTTTTTCAATAACTGCTCTAGTTGCTTCCGGTGTTACATCTCTGTTACTAAATCCTGTACCACCAGTGGTGATGATTAAATCAGCATTCTTCATACAATATTCTTTAAGCTTATCTTCAATTATTTTTCTTTCGTCAGGAATGATATTGGTTTGAATTGTAGATTGGGGAAATAATGATTTAACAAGCTCAACAAGAGTTGGTCCTGATGTATCATTGGTAGGGTTTTTGTAACATGTATCACTGACAGTGATTATTATAATGATTCCCGCAGCCATATTTAGGTAATTCTTATTCTCTTAATTACTATAAAATTTACCGATGTTTTTTTCTTATTATTACACAATCGTCAATCTAAACTTTTTATGAAGGTAAAAATATTTTTATAAGATATTTTGTGATTGTTTAAATTTTAACGCGTACTTTCTAAACTTTTTGTAAATAATGACAATATAATAGGAGCACAAACCAAAAACTTCTGGTTTAAAATAAATAGAGCAAAAGCACTGCAATTATTTTTGAAAAATAATAGATACAATTATTTAAATTATTACGCCGGAAACATATCACATGTGTTTCTCTTATCAGGCGGCTACGAATCTAATGATATTAAAGCAAACACAACCACTTGTACCAATCAGCTGTAAATAACTAGGTAAAGTAAAGCAAGATAAGAAAAATAAACATTGTACAAATTTGATAAAGTTATATCTGAATTTGACATTGACAAATGACAATAGAAAAAGTCAACGTTCCAGTTCCATTTATATATTTAAGATGATTTTAATTTTTATAAGAATAATTAAAATACATATGTAGTCTAAAATTAAGGTAAACTATATCTTTACATCTTTTTTATAGTATTTATAATTCAGTGGAGTTTTCAGTAGTACAGTAATTTAGCGATTTAAAAAAAATTACATTCAGGATATCAAATACCTAACAGCTCCCCTTTGAATTCTCAGTTTTTATTTAGGAAGCAATGAAAAGCGTAGATATATGAAAGTATATTTTAATTTAAAAAAGGAACATAATTTTAAAAATAACTTAGTTGTAACACATGATTAAACACAATACCTTCGCTTTTGTATAATACTTCGGTCACATGATATGTAAAAAGAGCTTTTCTGTATAGACTTTCTTATCGTAAATACTTTTCGGTATTCCTTCATGCAAAATTAGTTTTCATGACGCGTTTTATATTTATTTAAAAGTTTATTCAAGAAATCTTCACCTATAGATATACGGTGACAAGCTTTTATCAGTCTTTGGATAGGTTGGTATCGGCGGAGTGCATTAGAGTTGCCTACAACGATCAATTTGTGTTTCGCACGAGTCACACTAACGGCTAACCGTCGTTGATCGTTCAGAATCTCTTCTTCCTAATGAAAAAAAGAAAACAAATAAAAAAACAGAGCTTTTGTTTACAATCAATCCTACAGCAGCGTATAATTGATTTACCTTTACTGTCTTATCTTTTTGACCATCATCTTTCTTAGTGCATGAATAAATGATAACAGACTTGTCTCTCCCCTGGAACTGATCAACAGTACTGGCTTCAACCGCTAGAGGCGCTAGTGTGCGACGCAATAGCGACACCTGGTCGCGATATGGCGCTATCACTCCTATATCTGAAGATGTTACCCCGCCCTGTAGTAACATGTCATATGTTGGAATTTATTTAATATCAAGAAACACACGATTTTTACGCATATTTACCAGTTTCATTGCTTCCACTATAGCTAATACTACACAAGTCTCCTCCCAATTGGAAATTGCCTTCTGATCTTTGTCCTTTGATACAATATTCTCTAAATTAACAAATATAGCTGCATACTTTGGTTCTGGACTACAAGCAGTTAGTATCCAAGGTTCTGAGTGTACTTGTAATATTTTCTGAAAGGAACAGCCAATTATTTATAATCATAATCTTACTTAATATAATAATACGGTATCTCCAGAACGGCTACATAGATCTCGCTGAAAATTGTCATACATATGGAACATAGTCATAAGAACATATAGGCTACTAATTATATATATTTTTAATTCCTCGCAAACGGAGTCGCGTCCGACAGCTAGTTTGGTAATAAAAAAACTTGATGGCGCTGTCGGCAAATTAGAACACGACATAGAATACTATTTTTTACGTTCATTTAATCAGAGTTAATTTATTTTAATAACTCATACCTGTATATTTATAAGTATGGAGGCATCAGCTACTGTTTTATTAGCGCATTTCAGCCGGTCACTATAAGCTATGCTGTTTGCTAAATCAGTAAGTGGCTGATTCATACGATACTGCAGTCTGAGTGTTGAAGTCGCTTCACTGTCCATAAGTCTGTGGAACAAACTCTCTTCCATACCTAAATGTCTAAAAAAGAATATATTTTATAATGTCAATATTATCTACACAATGAAACAGTGTAATCTATGTAAAAATCATACTAATATTATAAACGCTAATGTCTAAATTTATGTTTTTTAAAAGATATCTTCAGAACAGCTGTATGGATCTCACTGAAATTAAGATGTAGACTATAGTCTAAAAGAACACATAAGCTACAAATTAACATTTTTTTTATATATGCGCGGACAGAGTTGCTGGCGACAGCTAGTATTGCATAATAATTAAATGTTTTTACTATTACTCTATATAAATATTTAAAAGTCTAAGTTTACATGAATTTATAAATTTCTAATACCTTTTTATCGAGGATGGCCTGTGTCCAGCAATAAAAAAGTCGATATATTATTAAAATGTAAAGAAAGCAACTATAAGAAAAAAGTAAAATATCATTACCTCGCAGCATTTCTTCTGACTACAGGCGGCAACTGTTCCGGATCTCCGACTAGAACAAATCTCTTTGCTGCAAACAACGGCCTTAAGACTGTACATTGTAATACCTGTTGAATGTAACCAGTTCAATATTACATAATGTCCATTTGTACATAGCTGTGTATATAATTATAGCTATATACCTGCGTGGCTTCATCCACAATGCATACGTCGAATGTGGTGCGGGCCAACATGGCGTGCGCCGCACCGAGGCACGTCACGCCGACTACCTCCTACAATATAAATTAATACGATACTAAATAAAATTAACAATAAGAAGATAATTTAAGAAAAAAACTTCTAACATACTGTATCCTTCTAAAACTCGCTCATTATCTAATATTAAAAAGTGACAAACGCATTAGCAGATGCGTTGTTTTTAATCGATATTCGAAATCCGATATCCCTTTTCTCCATCAAATCTATTTCCCCTTCCCATCTTTTCTTTTTAAGTGTGGAAAGAGTAAGAGGATTAAAATTAGGCTATTTATTGCCCTTTTAACATTTATTCTCCTTGAAAGAGTGGTATTAAGCAAGTATGAAAATGTATAATTACCATTGAATCGTATAGTTTAGCGAGTTGTTCAGAATTATCACATTTTGCTGTCAATTTCTCCTCACAACGATGCAGCAAGGTCGGAGCAACACGCGCACACGAACCCAAACGTAATATTTGTAGTGTTTCTGGTAGTCTAGAAATGTACACATACTGACTGAATGTGGGTTTCCGAGACCTAAATTGTATGTAACATTTATTATCTTTGACAATACAGAGATAACAATATAATTTACACAGGGAATTAGGTCTCAGAAACCAACGATCATTAGTTTAGTGACTAAAGAGTAACTTAGTGTTGATTTGAATAAAAAAATAGCCGCTTACATAATTCTACTCAAAAAATTAAGTGAACATTTAATCATTTTAAATATGGCTCATGTTATTCTTACTAAAATGTCATAGAAGCATCTATAATCCTTCATTTTAAAATGATAAAAATCTACTAAATTATATTGTTATTATCGTTTAGTGAATTATATAGATCGTGCTCCATACCTGGTTAAGACGTTGTCAACAGCGGAATGCGTATGCGCAGTTACAAGAACTCTTTGTTTCAATGCTACTAACATTTGTATTAGAACGCTTATAGTTTGTGTTTTACCTGAAAATGTTTTATATGTTATTTCATAGCATTTAACACTTGTAAAAACATATACATGAGTATGACAAAGAAGATTAAGGCTAATTGCCTTTCTAAGAGTAGTTTAATCGTTAATTTAGTACTTTAGTATAGACTAGCTGTCGCCCGTAACACCGTTCACACGGAATTGAAAACAAACTTAATAAGTAGCCTATGTGTTCTATCAGATTATGTTCTACATGTTTGCCAAATTTAACTGAAATTCGTTCAGCCGTTTTGGAGATACCTTCAAACAAACAAACAGACTTATGCCTAAGTTACTTCCGCTCATATCATCTACATTCCAACCAAAGTCCCATTAAAATTCTGCTGTTCCGGAGATAACCGAGAACAAACGCAAACTTGCGGACAGACAGACAGACAGACAAAAATATTAGTTGTATACTTACCAGTCCCAGGTAGACCTTGTAGTAACGCATAATCTTTAGCAGCAAGGGCATTGAATACTGCCCTTTGTTGTTCTATGTTCAAACACCTCATCAACTTAGTGCCTAAGCGATGCATGTCTCGAGGTAGTTTCTCAGCAAATACAGGCGGCTCTTTATCTATTATTATCCTACAATTTTTTTTAATTTAAAATAAAATAAAATAATTAAAGAAATTTTTTTTTAAGTGGGATATCAACATCGTTTTTTTAAATTTACCTTCTCAGTCTGAACGCACGTTCACTGTCTTCTATTAGTACTCCTAAATTAGTGAGATTCTGTACCGTACTAGCGTAGGATTCGTACGCGTCTATATGAAAAACTGTCTCTTTGTTCTGTCGTAGACTTAAATCTCTGTAATAAGACATTTTTAAATTCATTTCATGTCTCTTGTTGTTTCAAAGTGTGAGTTAAAATTATAGAAAGATTACATAGTTAGAGATTCGTGTAATTATATTAGTCGTCATTTTTTTTTAATTTTTACCAAAGTTCTCAAAATCTTAAATACTTACCAAGACCATTTATTTTTTTCTAGTTCATTTTCAATTATATGTATGTTGTATTCAGTTCGTGACAAAAAAAAACATTTTTGGGACATACTGTATCTATAATACTTTATATTAATTTTACAGTAACTATAATAATTACTAAAAATTACTATATTTACCTTTCTAGTAATATTTTAATTTCCCTATCATTTGAAAGAATAACAACTCCCGCAGCGAGCCAGGGCCGCTTCTCTGTACTGACTATTGAAAAATCTCCTTCCTGAGGTCCGTTTATTTTTCCACTATTCATGGATTTATCTATAAAAAAAACAATAAACATAAATAAATATATTTTAATAAGTATTCTTGAATGAGTGTTTCCTTTTGGGTTGATTATTGAATTGGGAAAAATTCCCTTTGGACCGATTCATCGGTCCAAAGGTAAACACTTTCTTATATGTAAGAAGTTTGTTTTATAAAACGAAAGTAGATAAAACTTACCATAAATATTAGCTTCACGTTTAAAAGTATGTAAATATCTATGAGCAGACGTTTCAACTGATTGCAATTTAAGATTGCCAGCGCATGTACCGCGTTTCGTTCTGGAAATTAGAAATACAAATACCTCAATTTCTTTCGAAAACTTTTTATTTTCTTTCGTGTTCAACTAAACTTCCAAATTAAAATTGATTAATTTCCCTTTTACTGATCAAGGTGAAATCTTACTAATATAATAAATACGAAAGTTTAAATGGATAGATGGATGTATGAATGTTTGTGAAGATTTTTCGGGACCGGCTCAATGAATCTTTATGAAATTTGACACACATGAAGACCATAGCCTGGATGAAAACATAGGCTACTAATTAAGTTTTTTTTTAATCCGTGCAAACGGAGTCGCGGGAGGCAGGTAGTAGATTATAAATAATTGTGCTGTGTCATGGTGCTGATCTGATGATGGTGCTGGAAGGTGGACATAGGAACTTTGCAATAAAATAACACAAACTTATCGAGTTTGCGTTTTGAATTTTCACGACGAGTAATTTTTTTTATTTTATTAATAAACAAAAACATTTGAAAAAGATTGCGTTCCAACTTTACTCTTTTTTTTGTTCAAAAAAATCACATTACTTAACAAAAGTAGATTTTTATATAACAAAATAATTATACAATTTTTTATCATGAAACTTACCGTTTTTCCACACTGTCGGTCCACAAAGCGTGCAGGGGTGATGATGTTAATTGTACTTTCTCTTCTAATTTCAATAAATATGCCCAATGTAAAAAATATTCGATATGCTTGACAGATAAATGACCAATCGCTTCGTCTCGCAGTTTTGATAACGGATGAGATATTGATACTTTCGGACCATCTGTATGCCTGAAAAATTAAACAACACTTGATTAAAAAAAAAATCAATAACCTTGCCTGAATACTACACTTACGTTGTATCTTCACTGCAAAAAAACGTGCACAAAGAATATTTTTTTTTTCAAAAAATTTTTTTCTTTATATGACATTATTATGATTTTGAAAAAAAAACAAGTTTATATAGACAATGTCGTAGTTACCATAGATGTAATGAACATATAGTGAGGTATGGACACTTGGCGCACGCCACCTCGCGGTGCACCGGCTCCGGCAACCTCTGGTACTTATCTTCTATATCCGAGTCATCTGCTGCAAGCAAAATATCAACTAGCTATAGCCCGTGACTTGTTCCGCGCAGAATTAAAAAAAAAACTTAATTATGCCTATGTGTTCTTCCAGACTGTGTTCTTCATGTATGCCAAATTTCATCGAGATTCGTTGAGATATTCTTGAGATACCTTCTAACAAATATCCATCCATCCATCCATCCAAACATTCGCATTTGTAATATTAGTAACGTATAGTAGGAAAAATAAGTTAGAAAAATGAAAAAATATTTTTAACTAAATCAGTGCAATCTCAGATTTCCTAAATGTGTAATAAAATACTGTAGATTTATAAATAACTAAATTCATTACTGTAAATAATTTATATACTAACCAATTTTAGTATGCGCAGTAGTTAAATACTGGACAAGTTGATTCCTCAACATAATAAGATCTCTTCGCTCTGGGTAACCGCAGCTCACTTCACGAAGCATAATACCTTCTCTGAAAATTAAAAAAAAATCAATAAAAAATAAATGGCCAAAAAAAATCCTATTATTTTTCAAACTTAATCCTGCAATAAAAAAAAAAAAACTCACTAACTGTCATCCGCGTTTCCGCCCGCGCGGAAATAAAAAAAAAAAATTTGTAATCTGTGTTCTTCCAGACTATGTTCTAAATCTATACCAAATTTCAACTAGATAAATATAGCCGTTTTGAAGATACCTTCTAACAAACATCCATCTAAACATTCGCATTTATAATATTAGTAAGAATTTAAAGAATAACTCACTTTAAATACAAAAGTAAACCACGCTGTATAGCTTGTGTGGGATCTTCTTCTCTCATCAAGCTAAGCATCATTCCATACAACACTAACTGACCGCGATGTTCCACAGATACTGTTGCACGACCACTTTTCAATTCTAAAGGAACTATTTCATTACGCCTACCTAAAATATGTGCGCAGAATTAAAAAAAAAAACAAAGTAGTATATAATATGTACGCGTGCAACAACTACCACTCCGTCGAAGTCACGTCAAAATCGGAAAAATCGTTTCGGAGATTATCCGAAACAAACGTGATTTGAGACAAACAGAAAGACATATATAATTTTGTTATAAGCAACATAAAAAACATTATGTTATTTGTTGTGTTTTTTATATTCAGACACTCCAATTTTATTAATATGATAATATAGTCTAGTAATAATAAATTAAGAATCAGATTATTCAGTGATTAAAAAGCTTTGTTTGCGTCAATTTTTTTTTAAATCAATGTAGTAATTTTTTGTATAGTAGCACAAAAAGTTAAATATCTTTAAAATCTATAGTCAAAATTAGTGCCATCTACTTTTTTATGACCAAAGAAATAAAATAAAATTCAATGTTCACATCTTACCGTCTCGTTCATGAATTGTGACTTCTAATGTCGCATCAATTTTACCTTTCAGACCTAATTTGGGACAGCAAAGGTTTTCTTCTATATCCAATACTTTATTTATATGACCAGACCAATTGCTTTGCTTTTGCTAAAGTAATAAAAATAATAAATAATGGTCCTTCAAGCCAGATGTTTTAATAGAGCAATGTACATTAAACTATGTTATAATTTTAACTCATATAGCAAGGAAAACTATGAGTATACTACCCGTCGGCCGCGACTCCGTTCACACAGGATTAAAAAAATTGATAGTCAATGTGTTATACCAGACTATTTTCTACATCTATGTCAAATTTCAGCAATATCCATGCAGCGGTTCCGGAGATACTTTCTAATAAACATCCATCCATCCGTACATCATACATCCATTGAAAATTCGGCTTTATAATGTTATTAACATAAGCATGCATATAGGTTCATATTACCATATGTTTTCTAGGTTTTTCAGTCATATATGTATCCATAAATTCACTAAGCGGTATTATATACATTTCCATATTAGATCTCGCTTCCTCTTCAGTAAGGCCGGCGTCAAATAACATTTGAATTGAGTCTTTAATAATTTTATCGGTCTCAAAACGTAACCTTTCCTTGCTCATGATACGATCTGTTAGCGCTTTTTGTACTAATTCATGAATTAAAATACCAATAGTCATCTGAAATTAATTTTTATGTTAATATTTAAATTGACGAAATAAAAAACATATAGACGAATTGAGAACCTCCTCCTTTTTGAAGTGGGTTCAAAAGATGTACGTTTAAAAAATAAGAAACTAAAGGCAGTCAGTTGAAAACAAAGTCCTGCCATATTTGTCATAAAAAACACTTAATATAAATTAAGTATGAGAATAAAAAATAAAGGGTCTGCTTAAGTGTCTGTCAAATTACACTAAGATCAGAGATTAAAAGAAAAACAATTCAAATCTCATGTTATACAATCAAACTTTTTGAAACTCCATTTAGATTCACTCACTATAGTGGGGATGCCACTGAGGGGCTCGGAGCCTACCCATAGTCACAGCTGACTAGGCCATAGTGACTATGGCACCATTTTTTGATATTTCCTGTAAAAAAGTGGTATACTTACAGCAACATTAGCAGAATCTATACCTCGCCATCTCTCTTGAAGTACCGCCTTCCTCTGACAGAACACGCCGGCCACAACACTTGTAGATGACAGCAAGTAATCAGGTCTGAACACAATCAGACCTGCTGTATTGTTTACATGGAATTGTCCGGAAGGATTGCGTACGGCTAATATACTTATTATATCACCTTCTTGTAAACTTAAACATAACCTGAAATAAAGAAAAAAAAATGTAGTTCTCCCAGACTATGTTCTACATCTATGCAAAATTTCAGTGAGATCCATGCAGCTGTTCTGGTGACATCTTCTCACAAATTTCCATCTATCCATCTGATATATTCATTAAATAAAAATTATTGGTAACTACACAGTATTACATAATTAAGGAGTTAAGTCTTAAAAATATACTGATAAAACTAAATAACTAATTACTTAATATCACAATTGAAACTTGAAAGTTGCTCTATGTTTGTATATAAATTAATTTTTATTCCGTAGCTGGATAAAGTTTTGATTGGATATATATATTGAGGTGAAACAAAGTTTAAATACTGACCAAATACCTTCAATATAACAAGTGGCTCTTAAATCCTCACTTTGAACTTTCACTTCTAGAACATGCCCATTTAATTTCGCAGACAGCACTTCACAGCGCTGAATTGTAGATAAATTTAAATTTTCTTCAAACACCTACAATATTTATATTTCGAATTATTATAGAATAGTCTCTGCATAAATTTATGTGTTGTGTTTACTAAGTTACTAAGGAAGTTTCTTAATATACAATTCACAAATACTAAGGGATCATTTACTATTTAAAGACCATTTAAAAGTTAATGTTTTTATGTAATATATAAATCTACAGATATGAGCAAACAATTCTAAGTATTAATATTTTTTTTTATAAGAGAAGGGGGCAAACAAGCGGCGGGAACACCAAGGTGATCATCGACACCCATGGACATCTGCAACACCAGAGGAACTGTAGATGCGTTGCCGGCCTTTAAGGAAATGGTATGCTCGCTTCTTGAAGGTCCCTAAGTAAGTATTATTTAAGTTTTACAATAAATATATAATTTAAATTTAAAATTACCTCTACAAAATGCTCCATTTCCCACTCATCTTCAAATATATTATTCATTTCTCTTTCACATGATTGTAATGATTTTATAGTTGAACCTGATTTTGATGGTGAGTTCTCACATGATTTGTTTGAATTCTGCTCTTTATTGGGACTTCCAAAAACTGAAACTGAATTTTTATAGTTATTACTAATATTATAAATGCGAAAGTCTAGATAGATGTATAATTTTATGCGGTATCTTCAGAACTGATCAATGGATTTTGATGAAATGTAACACAGATATTGAACATAGTCTGGTAAGACACATAGGCTTCTTTTAAAGTTTTTTTTAATCTGCATATTAGCCTCCTTAGTCAGTTGTACAAAACATATTATAGTATGCACATATTTAAAAAATAGGATACATAACAAAATTTACCTTTACAAGATTTCTTAGGTGTAACATTTCCACATTTGCTAGGTGACAATGTTTTTTTAGAACTTTGCATTTTGGTTGGACTCTCATAGTTTTCATTTAATACTTTTTTGATAGAACTATTTTGTGACTTAACATTTTTATCAATACTGTCAATTTCTACAGTGGTTATTAATTTTTCATTTAACTTCCCTGACTCATTGTCTTCCCACTTTTTATTGTATATTTCTTCTTCATTGTTCTCTTTATTAAACAAATTACATCTAATATTGACTTTGTTGTCATCATCTTCAATAGCTTTATGTTTCTTGGGTGTATTTTTAGTGGGACTACCTTTTTTGGAGATTTCTGAAATTTCGTTGACATACGTTGTTTGTGTCGGTGAGATTAATTTGCGTTTATGTGCAGCATTTGTGTCTGCTCCGCTGGTAGGCAAGACTTTATTTTTAAGTGGCGAAGAATTATCCAGAGTGCTATTGATCACAGGATTTTTAAAAAAATGAGTTATCACTTTTTGATTTTTAGCAATTACTTGATGATTCTTAAAAGAAAAAAAAAGATAATTAATCATAAGAGTTGTTTGTAAAGTACCACTGAAAGAATTCATGAAGCACTAAAATTTTATATTCATTTTTTATCGTTTATGTACATATCTACTAATATGTGGAGTCTATACGAGGAAATGATTTACTTATACTGATAAAAGTAATTTACCTTTTTTAAACTCAGTGGTTTCGGCATCTTTTGTTTGGTTGCCGACAATAAAAATTAAACAACCTTTTATAGAAATCTCATTATTAATTATCTTTCAATCAGAGTATTAAGTACAAGAGAGCGAAGAATAAGAACGTAAAATAAGGAAAAAAATAAATCATAAATCGCAATACAATTTTTCCCGCTTTGTTTGTGAGTGTCAGTACAAAAATGACATTTGTTTTTGCGTCATTTATTTAAAAGTTATCGCTTAGATATACAATTGATCTAGTAGAAACATGAGTATTATCGAAGATAGGACATAGTGTAATTTCAACCTTTCCACCGAAATTAATATTGAATTTATTTTATGGGAAAATATTATACCAGGGTTTTTAAAAAGTCTGAAAATAAGTTGAAGTTGACTCAAATGTCAATGTCAGCCACACGAGATAAATAACAAATTAAGAGGTTATGTTTAAATTGTTGCTCTTATATTTTGAATAAAGTAAAAAACTTGTAATAAAAATAACTGAAGACAATGTCGAAAAGACCGGAACATCAGGCACCGCCAGAACTTGTACGAATATTTATTTAATTGACAAATCATTCAAAGTAAAACAATAATAATTTCCCTTTTTGTTTTTTTTAGTTTTACAACGAAGATGAAGCCAGAAAATATACACAAAAGTCAGTTTTTTGTAAATATTTATATTATTATTGTAATAATTTTTGTATTTAAACGGAAAAATTGATGTATACTTAATTTCTTTAGCTCCCGAATTATTGACATTCAAGCACAGATGACAGAAAGATGCATAGAATTATTAGTTCTGCCTGAAGATACGCCATGCCTACTTTTGGATATAGGATGTGGATCAGGTCTGTCGGGAACAGTGCTAGAAGAAAATGGTCACTTGTGGATTGGACTTGACATATCTTCTGCTATGCTAGGTATGAAAATGTTTAGTTGTTAATTTGTCAGCTAATAATATGTTTGTAAATTAATCATTTACTCTTACTTCTAGATAATAATGCTATTTATAACAGGGTTATAGTTTGGCAACTTTTACCAATTCCATTTTCAGATGTTGCTTTGGAGCGGGAAACTGAAGGTGATTTGATACTTGCTGACATGGGTGATGGCGTACCATTCAAACCAGGAAGTTTTGATGGTGCTGTATCTGTTTCTGCACTGCAATGGCTCTTTAATGCTGATAAGAAGTCACATCAACCTGTTAAAAGACTGTATAAATTCTTTAGCTCACTATATGCTTCTTTGGTATGAACTTGTGCAATCAAATCATAAAATATAGTAGGTTATGTTTTTTTTTAATTAATATGTTTCTCTTCCAGTCAAGATCAGCAAGAGCTGTGTTTCAATTCTATCCAGAAAATGAAAGTCAATTGGAACTTCTAACATCACAAGCAATGAAGGCAGGTTTCTATGGAGGTGTTGTCATAGATTATCCAAACTCTGCAAAAGCCAAGAAATTTTTCTTAGTTCTCATGACAGGTGGATCAGCACCATTACCAAAAGCTCTTGGTAAGTTTCAGCAATTTCAATCTAATTTAACTAAAAATATTACAATGGACTTTTAGGATTCAGACATAAAATAGGCTACATTTGGGGGTGCAAATTGTAATTGAATACAAAAACTACAATATCTAACAATTTAATCTTTATAGGTGTGGAGGAAGAAGACAGCCTTCAAGTAAAATATGCAAGACGTGAAGCATGTAAAGGAGCAAGAGGTAAACCACTTAAGAATACTAGAGCTTGGCTTTTAGAGAAAAAGGAAAGAAGACGGAAACAAGGAAAGGAAACAAAACCTGACACAAAATATACAGGAAGAAAAAGAAGTGGGAGATTTTAAGATTAATAGTTATTGTAAATTTTTTTGTATTTATTAAGCAATAAAACATTTATATATAAAATAATTTTACTAAATTTTCTATACTACAATATTTATTCATTTATTCTTTTTTAACTACATACTTCCATACAGTATCAACTCCATGCCCTATTGTCTCTATGGGTGTCATATTAGGCAATGGGAACCTACAAGCAACCACTACTGTATCATTATTGACCTCTCTTAGTAGTTTACTTTCAAATTCTGTCATCATTTGTTCAACACCAAATATCACAATATTTTGATATGGCTTAAGGTTAAATGTCCACAGATCCTTTCTATAAAACTTTGTATTCTTATCCTGACTAAATAAAGCCGCTAATCTTGAGTAATATACCAATATAGAATTTAATTCAACTCCTTCTGCTTGAAAGCCAAGTTTCGCAGCTGTGAATACTATTCTACCATCTCCAGATCCTACGTCCAGCAAGCGTCCACTTCTACCAACTAAAGCTTTAGTAACCCCAGCTAATTGCTCGGTAGTAGCTGGGACATAAGGCAAACATACTCTTCTCATTGCAGGTGAAACGAAAGGTATACATATAACGCTAACACCTACTGCAAGCCCACCGGTCAAGTAAATCATATATTTTCCTTTAGATGATAACTTTGTTGTCTCCGTATTAAGTATAGTTAAGTCCATTTTATTTACAATTTAATAGAAGTTCACTAAACGGATGATCTTATTCAAAATCAAAAAAATTTATTATTTTAAATCCATTTTATAGGTTATCAAGCTTATTTATTAACAAAAACGTCAAATAAATGTCATACATGTATGTCAAAACATTTATATATTCTTTGGTGGTGACATTTCGTGTAGGTAGACCATATACTCTTTGATTTAGGCTTTCAATATATAAGAAAGCTACTGAAAAAGACTTGTAAATTTTACACATTTGGTAGATTTATGGCAGTTAAATTTGTGACAGATCATTAATTTTATTTAGGGCACCTTAAATTTGTATTTCAAAAATAAAATATAATGTTATATAGTTTAAAAAGTAAATTGTTCTAACTTAAGAAATCAAATTATTTTTAAATTATGCTGTTATTAAAAATATAAACAATTTTTTGATACTTAGAATACGTTTCTCGTTGTATCATTATTGCGTTAGGTATAATATTACGTAGTCAAAAAATTTACAAGTTATTGAGTAATTGCTTAAAAAAAATATTAAAATTTGAGGATTAAATTAATATTTAAATCCATTAAAGCATTTAAATGGAGCAATTATTTACGTATTTTATTAATTAAGAAAATGTTTAGCAAATAATCACAACCAGAGAAATTATTGAAAATTAAACATAATTAAAAAATACATATTATTTACGTTGTTCAAAAAATGTCTAATTTCATTAATTAAATTACATAAAACTAATATATGTACTGAATTTTGCATTTTACATGCTAATCGCGTGCACACAATTCCCCGACATAATTATGTTCAAGCTATTATTTAAAATTAAAAATAATTGAAATAGAAAAAACATGGCAGTGACGTATAATACTATAGACCCTTCGACCCCCGGGGGTCGGGGGTCGAAGGGCCTAAAGATCTAAGGGTCGAAGGGTCGAAGGGTCTAAAGGTCGAAGGGTCGAAGGGTCTAAAGGTCTAAAGGTCGAAGGGTCAAAGGGTCGAAGGGTCTAAGGGTCTAAGGGTCGAAGGGTCTAAGGGTCGAAGGGTCGAAGGGTCTAAGGGTCGAAGGGTCTAAGGGTCGAAGGGTCTAAAGGTCGAAGGGTCTAAAGGTCTAAGGGTCTAAGGGTCGAAGGGTCTGAAGGTCGAAGGTTCTGAAGATCTAAGAGTCGAAGGGTCTAAAGGTCGAAGGGTCAAAGGGTCTAAAGGTCGAAGGGTCGAAGGGTCGAAGGGTCTAAGGGTCGAAGGGTCTAAAGTTCTAAGGGTCTAAGGGTCGAAGAAGAAGAAGAAGAAGAAGAAGAAGAAGAAGAAGAAGAAGAAGAAGAAGAAGAAGAAGAAGAAGAAGAAGAAGAAGAAGAAGAAGAAGAAGAAGAAGAAGAAGAAGAAGAAGAAGAAGAAGAAGGGTCGTGTTAAGTGGTGGTTGACTGTCGCGGTGTCACCCGCCATATAGATAGTTTAGTATCACTGAGATTATGAATGTTGATGTGTGTATTATAAGTGTATGACTTAGATAGTAAATTAGCTGGTTATGCTAGACAGAATATTTATAAAATAAATCTACAACGTTATAGCACCATATTGTATAAAAATATATAAAACCTTATTTTACTACTAATACGAGATCCTTTCCATTACCATAAAAAAAATGAAACTTTGTTATAAAAAAGTAACAAATTTTAAATTAAAATTATTGTCAAAGTAATTGAAATCAAATAGTGTTAAAATGAACTAAGTGAGAAAATATCTATAAAATGACATTTACATATACAAAGATCTCCAACAACTTGACAACAAGATATTAATCATACATTTAAATCTCAACCGATTGTCAAAATAGTTCCCAATGAATATACTAAATCTACATATTTCCAAAAGTATTAGGTTCTGTTTCCTTTTTATAAAGGGTTGAAAATGTTTTTAAACTTGCATATCGGCAGTGGAACCCTACACTTATTACAATGTGGTGAGAGGTAAATCAAATTTAACTTCTTGTTATCTTACGTTGCTGGAACTAAAATAATAGATTCCTAATTTATAACATCCAAGAGTCATGAGTACAATTACTTTCCGATTTAAAAAATATTTAGATAATAGAAAATATTTAGAAAAAAAATTATATTTAGTAAAAATAAATGCATATAGAGAGAAAGAGTAAAAAGGGATTATTTAAAAAAAAACATCGTGCATATGAATAAATTGTGATTTAAAAATTTATGATTTCTTTACATTTAAAGTTTTGATTATAAATAAACAACAATTTAATCTATTTAACCTAAGTATGTAATTTTAAATTTACAATTTATTTGTATTCATCATCATACACGGTTCATTTCACGCTAATTAATAAAAAAAATGGTGTCCAATTTGCTTTTTAAAACATAGACCTGATATCTTTAAGAAATTTGTATTACATCGATAAATAAGTAGTGAAGCTAGATATTTACAGATATTTAATTGAAGCGCCGCTAACTTTAAAAGATCTAAAATAGCGTTTTTTAGTTTGACATTCTTTAATTGTTGACACCTGGTATTTGCCTGACACTGACGCGTGACAGTGACAGAACTCAAATCTACAAAACGTAAAGAATTTTTCTTACCGCAGTTGTAGCATAGTTTTCTTGGCAAAATGACTGCATTTGAAGAATTTGGTGTGCTTCCCGAACTGGGAAAGGCCATCGACGAAATGGAGTGGACATTACCAACAGATGTTCAAGCCGAAGCAGTACCATTAATCTTAGGTGGCGGAGATGTCCTTATGGCTGCTGAAACCGGCAGCGGAAAGACCGGCGCGTTCTGTCTACCTATTTTACAAATAGTTTGGGAAACTTTAAAAGATATACAAGAAGGAAAGACAAGTAAAGTGATACTGCAAACAGCTACTGAATGGACTTTATCATTTTTCGATCGAACGGATGCTTTAGCGGTAACGCCGGATGGTTTGCGATGTCAATCTCGTGATCATAAAGACTGGCACGGCTGTAGGGCTACCAAAGGTGTACACACAAAGGGAGCTTACTATTATGAAGCTATTGTAACTGATGAGGGTCTTTGTCGTGTTGGTTGGTCAACGCAAGGTGTAAGTTTAATGTCATTTACTCTACTAAATTTGTAAATAATCAAATAAGCCTTTAGTTATATAAGCTCTAAGCCAAAAATGCCCAAAGATTTTTATAATAATAATTTCATATAACTTCATATGCACATGTTGATGTGGACCAATTAAATTTATCCTTATTGTGCAATAAGATTCATAATTGCACAACATATGTGAATATTGACACATAGTACTAACTGATAAATTATTTTAAAAGTGAAATGGTATATAATGTGTTAAATGGGAAATATATAGAGGGTTTAAATATCTCTAGCATCTTTCAGCTTGTATTTGTACTAGATTTTAAAGTAAAGCATAAATAAAGATTTAAAGTTATTGTTTAGTTTACAAAACTGCTGAGAATATGCTACTTGAATAACAATTTCATTAATTTCGAGTTTTTCTTTGACTTCACAGGCAAGGCTGGATCTAGGAACAGATAGACTAGGTTTTGGCTATGGTGGCACCGGTAAGAAGTCAAATGCCAAACAGTTTGATGATTATGGAGATGCTTATGGGAAAAACGATGTAATAGGTATGTTAAGCACTTTTTACCACACCCAAAGTCATTAAATATAATTTAGTTTTTCTTACATTTTCAGTAAAGAACTAGCAACTTAAGTGGCTATTCAATGGTTTTACAGGTTGTTTATTGAACTTTAACAATGGCGAGATTCGTTACACAAAGAATGGAGAGGACCTAGGTATTGCATTCAAACTGGATCAGTCACGCAAATCTGATTGTTATTTCCCTGCTGTTGTTCTGAAGAATGCTGAAATGAGTTTTAATTTTGGTGCGACACCTTTTAAGGTACTTTTCATTGATGAATATTTCCACGCAGCCAGCTTGTTTGATACCCTGACCCTAAAATAAAGAAATGTCAAATTTCCTACATAACAGCCATTATGATATTTCAGTTTTTCAATTATATTGTGAAAATTGTGTGATAAAATGAAGTACTAATGTAAAGTTTTCCAAAAAAAAAAATACTCGTTCTACCATAATGTGCAATTTTTCCATGGTTGAATACACTCTCTTTCTCTTGATGCTGATAAAAAGTTTGCTATATTTGTTTTGTAGTATACACCACCTAAAGATTATGTGGCCCTCTGCAATGCACCCAAAGAATGTGTCAAAGTAAATGTCATCTCTTCAGTTCAGTCGACTGACAGCAAACCAGTAAACAACGCTCCTCAAGCTATCATCATTGAGGTAAAGATATTTTACGATATATTTTAATTTTTGTAGTGTTAATAAATTTAGGTCTAATATTACTATTTTGACATTTTATCGTTGTAGAAATTAGGAATATAGGTCCTTAATATAAAATGAGATTTGCGATATTTGACAGCCATAGATGATAGAGTATTTGTAGATGTTAAATAAATATGATTTAATTTACTTTAATGCGTTTTTTAGCCATCACGTGAACTTGCTGAACAAACATGTAATCAAATTACGAAATTCAAAAAATACTTGGAAAATCCGAAAGTAAGAGAATTACTTGTAGTTGGAGGCATCAATGTTAAAGATCAAATTAACCAGCTCAATGCAGGTATTGACATTGTTGTTGGGACACCCGGAAGACTTGAAGATCTCATTCAAGGAGGTAAGGTAAAGTGTGAGAAATAATTACCCTCTTTGGTTATACCCTGTGTACATCCAAGTTAGGCAATGCATTGACAACTTGTTTGCTCTGTCTAGGCAGCAATTGCTTTTTTATTTTAGCCAAATAATATTGTCAATTTTGTTTTTGCTTTTGTTTACTATTAAAAAAATAAAAACAAACACTACACAGTTTTTGCTAATGTGTTTCAACGGACAAAATGGTCTAATCTCCAGGCTACTTAGCACTAACGCATTGCCGTTTCTTCGTGTTGGATGAAGCGGATGGTCTACTGAAGGCGGGGTATGGCGAGCTCATTGAGCGTCTGCACCGACAGATACCGAAGATCACCAGCGATGGACGTCGTCTACAGATGGTGGTCTGCTCAGCCACTTTACATGCCTTTGAAGTTAAGAAGATGGCGGTATGTGATTAATCAATATTATACTATGATATCTTGTCTGACTGATTTTCTGAAGTAGTACCGGTCCTAACAATTTAGAGAAAAATTAATTTATCTTGCTTTTTTATTTCTAGTCTTTATAGTAGAAGGTTGTGGCTTTTTTAAAAAGAACTATAGACAATGGGACATGGTCTTTACCGGATTATTTACTCTATAATTTTTGGGTTTAGGAGAAACTGATGCATTTCCCAACATGGGTGGACTTGAAAGGCGAGGATTCTGTACCAGAGACGGTGCACCATGTTGTTGTCAATGTAGACCCGCAGAAGGACCGCTCCTGGGAGACATTGCGCAAGTATGACTTTTTATATAGCTGTCTCGCTTACGCTTGCAGATTTCCCTATTGTCTATTTCTTCTGTATTTGATTTTATTTGTATTGTAATTCTTTTAAATTACAGTCAAAGAGTGTAGATTGCTGGATTTACAGCTTTTTAAAATGGTCTTTTGCTACCGTAATTTAATACGTGTTCGCTGATATTCATCAAATCGTCTATCTTAGCAAAACTATCCAAGCTATGGCATTTTGTTCATCCATTCTTTTTAGCCTTTATTTAAGAATAAAATGTTAATCAGGACTATACAGACGGACGGTGTCCATGCAAAGAACAACATTAATCAGGACGCCAATACGCCCGAGAGATGGTCGGAGGCTGTCAAGATACTGAAGGGAGAGTACTGCGTACGAGCTATAAGAGAACACAAAATGGACAGGTAAAAAAGAAAATACCACATATACTTTTGTATTGTAAACCTAAACGACGGAATTAACTTTGACGAGTGAATTTTTGCGGCGCCCCTATTTTTTTTTGTGTCATGAGGAAATTTCCAAAGTTAAGGTATAGTTGGAGGCACGGAAGCCTTACGCCCGGCGCCCTGGGCTGTCGCCCCATCTGCCCCTACCTACAGCTACTATGTTTAAAGTCGTTTTTTTTAATAAATAGTGTTTTTCTTTTCAATGTTTGGAACATTCCAGGGCTATAATCTTCTGTCGCACTAAGATGGATTGTGATAACTTGGAGAAATACTTGCGTTCATTTGGCAACGAGTTCAGTTGCGTGTGCCTGCATGGTGACCGCAAGCCGCCGGAGCGCAAGGCCAACTTGGAGAAGTTTAAGCAGGCGCAAGTCAAGTACCTCATCTGTACTGATGTTGCGGCCAGGGGTATTGATATATCTGGACTGCCGTTCAGTAAGTTTATAATTGTTTTTTTTAAACTGTCTATAGGTCATATATATTTTTAAACGATTACAACATGTTGGTCAATCCGTCAAATGGCTAATCGAGTAGGCCATTGCAATATCAGTTGACTAAAGTTGCTGGCAAACTTTATTTCTGTTGCTATTATCAAAATACTTCTTGGTAATAATGTCTTATCTCTTATTGCAGCACTTAGAGACCTAAGTGTTGCCTAAATCTCCCTTAACTATAATTTTTTAAAGGAAATCAGAGATAAAAAAAATTTCGTCCGGGTGATTCAGCAGAAAGTTTGCATTTATGTTTAAATTGATTCCAGTGATCAACGTGACGTTACCTGATGAGAAGTCTAACTACGTGCATCGCATCGGTCGTGTTGGTCGTGCGGAGCGCATGGGGCTTGCTATTAGTCTTGTTGCTACTGTACCAGAAAAAGTTAGTTAAAGATATAGTATACTACAATTTTTTGTTGAAAGTTAAATGCTTCTAGCTGTTGCATAGCCTATGTGTTCTTCCAGACTATGGTTCACATCTGTGTCAAATATCAAAAAGATCCACTCAGCCGTTCCGGCGATACCTTGTAACACACATCTATCCATCCATCTAAATGTTCGCATTTATAATATTAGTAAGATTATTTTTCATTGTGTACACTACATATGGGGCACCCGTAATGTGCTGCAGGCAAAAGGTGCCCAGCGATGAACGAAACATATGCTTAGTGTTTAACAAACTGTGTGTGAATTATCGCAGTTCAAGTTTTTTAAATTACTTAATTACAATATTCTAAACTAGCATTTGTCCGCGACATCGTCCGCACGCTATAAAATATATAGCTTATGTCACCCGGGGATAGTGTAGATTCCCAAAACAAATCTTTGTTTTCATAATTTTTGTATAGATTAAAAAATTAGGATATGTACAGGTGTGGTACCACGGTGAGTGGTGCTCGTCTCGCGGCCGCAACTGCTGGAACACCAATCTAGTAGACGACAGGCCCAAAGGTTGCTGCATGTGGTACAATGAGCCACAGGTATGTGCAAACTTTAAACATTGTACAATTTATTTCTTACTAACTATCACCTGCGGCTCCGTCCGCGCGGCTTTAATATTTTTAGAAGTCTATGTGTTCTTCCAGACTAGGTTCTACATCTATGCCAAATTTCAGCGAAATCATGCGCCGTTTAGGAGTTGCCTCCTAAAAAAACATCCATCCATACATACATCTAAATGTTAGCATTTATAATATTAGTAAGATATCGACCCAACAATAGGAATACACATGTTAACTTTAATAATAAATTATAGTATGTTGTTTACCAAAGTACATGTACAAAATCATATTGTCCTATATTCTCTTATTCTTTGAAATAACTATAGAATAATAATTAAAAAAAATATTTTCAGTACTTGGCAGATATTGAAGATCATTTGAATATAACAATCCAACAAATTGAACCTGACATGAAAGTGCCATGCAATGAGTTTGATGGTAAAGTTGTGTACGGTCAAAAGAGGAAGCAAATCGGCACTGGCTATCAGGTACGTAAAATAATATTAAAATTTAAAAACAATACCACTTTTTTTTTCTACATAAGGCGACAAAAAATGGCGTCTGCAAGTAGATTAGTGAAATCTTCCTCCGACACCAACTCCTAAATAAAAAAAATGTACAATATTGTCTATATTACAAGGAAGAAGATAATTTAATTACTATCTAAAAATATGTATGTAAAAAGGGGAACAACATTGGTTGAGGTTTGTCTCAGATTTATCTTGCACTCTCGGGTGTCTTTATCAACTCGAAAGCAATTTGATTCCATAAAATCTCTAGACATAGGTTGACAGGTGTACAACCTAAATATAGACTTTAGACCTAGTTTTTAATCTAATTTATAGCAATAAAAAAACATGTTTTCAGGACCACGTGTCCCAGATGGCGCCCGTGGTGCGTTCCCTACAGGAGCTCGAGTCTCAGGCGCAGCTGTATTATCTTAAATCTCATCATAATGCTATTGTTACAGCGTAAACAATATTTAATGCTATGATAGTGTAATAAAATATAATTTATATAACCAGTTTATATACTTTGAGGAAATTCATTCAATTATTTACTGAAATAGTATATATTTACTATTATGTATCTTTGTTGTGGTAAATATTGAATTTCTCTGTTAACATAAGTTAAAACGGGACTTATGACTACTTAATAAATATTAACCCGTAGTAATGTTTTTGATTTCATAAATATTTTTTTTTAAATAATATATTTTAAAAAAGGTTTCACCTAAATTAAAACAGTCAATACTATAAATGGCGTTTATAAAAAAAAATATTCATAATTGGATATTCTTTATTTCTATTTGAAAACATATTAATCTTTCTAAATGAGTACGTATTACGATGAGAAACTTATTATAAGAAAAAAAAACAAAAAATATTTAATATTTTTTATTCACTCAAAATTCATTGCTACTATTTTATAAGAGGGCAGTGCATTGTGGCCCTTATTTTAAAAAATAAATTATTAAGTCTCTTACTACTTAGGAAGATAGCCTTTCGCAATACTTGTAGCCGTTGTAATCAACATGGCCGTCGGTTGACATACATTTCAATGCAAAAATTCCAATAAAAAAACTAAACATCGCTTTGGTTACAAAAATAGATACATCTTGTAAACCTGTTTGGATAATTACAAAATATACATATAGTTCTATGTTTTGGTGCATTTCACCTACTTTGAAGTTTTGTAATGTGACCCCTAGTATATGTGCGCAAACTAATAATTGGGCATTCGATTTGACTTGACGTCATCGTAATTTTATTTCATGTTGCGTATGCGCACTATATTTGATTTACATATAAAGCAACAATATAACATCATACGTCTCTTAATTTTACAATTGGTGTTCCTAAGGTTGTCACACACTTGACTCATTTAACCGCTATTGGAAGTTGACAATAATTAAGGCACTATATGTATTAAAAATATTTGGTGTAAATTCAGCGTCTGTGGTGTTTATTAAAGACATTTATAATATAAGTAAAATTGAACAATGAATTGCATTCTGGTTTCACCACTAAAGTGCACGACAGTTGCTGTGTGTGCGACAACCTTTACATACATTTAAAAATGTGCAAAATCTATCAAACATTTAAGCAGATATAGAAAACGTGATTATAACATTACAATATCTTTTCTACTTATTATTAACTTTTAACAAAATGCAAAACGTACATTATATTACTCTACTTAATAATAACCTAAGTTAATAAGGAAGATTGTTACATAAGTTATTAATGCCTTAGTTTTAAAATTTATATTTTAACCAATCTTCTAAGTTAGAATTCACAAAGCATTAGTATAAAGGGGAAGTAGGAACTACTAAAGCATTAAATAGATAAAATTGTTGCTGGAAGATTCTAGAAATTAGTGACGTAATAAGGTCATAGTAAAGTCAAGTTTGTTTTTTATCTTAGAGAATGAAAAAACGTATGATGATCTGTAGAACCAGTGTCAAGTGGAATTCTTAACACTTTCAATGCTACTATTTTCACCTATTACATTTGTTTTTAATTTCAACTTAATACATTTTTTTACATTTATATTGTATTCTACTATTAAATATATGTTTGTAATAGTACTGCACAGTTCATTAATACAATTAAGCCACATAAAATACATTCAATAAATCAACTATCTGTATACATAAATATCAACTGTTGTTCGTTAGTCTCGCTAAAACTCGAGAACGGCTGTACGGATTTATCATATCTTGGGCTTGAAATGTTCGTGAAGGTCTAGGGAAGGTTTTAAACGTGAGAAAAATTCGAATAATTTCCGGAAACTAATTATGTTATTTTTTTATTACGCGCGGACGGAGTCACGGGCGACAGCTAATTATGTAACATATGCCGAGTCAGTGGTAGTAAAGGTGTTAAATATCCAGGGCAAGCTTATAAATTGAATACGAATTTAATTTCCTACATTTTCAGTCAACTGTCATATTTAACTCCAGCAACAATAATATCAATAACAAGCAGTATATCCAATATTCCTTAAACTAAGGAAGATTGATCAGTCAAATTTAAACTATAATCAGATTTTAAGAACTCCTCTATGGCTTTCGACTGTCGACTGTACAAAAAATATCATCTCTCATTCTATAAGAAAAAATAGAGACATTTTGTACAGACGTTCAATAAACCAACTCTTATCTAACCTTACTATAAACTATGAATACACTACTTTTAACAATGGACATTTTTTTCCCGCCATTTTGTTAACAACGTTTACAATCTAATAATTCATTATTTGGTGATCACTTTCCCATTAGCCGGATAAAATAAATACATAAGCTATAAAATTAGTATTATTATCGGTAAGCATTTTAAACATAAATTCATTGATATTTATAGGGATTATTTAACAATTTATTTATATAAATTAATACATAAAGATACACCATATATTTTTGTAAGGGTAATTGGCACACTGAGTTTTTTAAAAATGCTATTACGGAGTTTTTAATATTGTTTTAAAAATATTTATAAACTAATAATAATAAATATAATTTTCATGTATGGATTTTATTAGACAAATTCATAAATTCTTTGTATCATGAAGTGTTATAATCGGATACACATTTTTGATAAACTAAATCCAAATTTTAAATAATCAACGGTGGTTAAATTAATTTTATATTTTCATCAAATTATTTTATGAATAAATTAATCGTAAAAGAATAATCTACTGAGCAAAACTGTTACAACCATCATTTCATTCAAAAAATAATACCATGCCATATATTAATTATTCGAGTTTTTATTCAACTCTTAAATAATATTAAAATATAAATAAATTTTCTCATCTTTCCATCCAAACACATACATACACATACATAGATATAATCTTTTTCTTAATCGAGATTAAGCCCCAAATTATTGGATACATTATTACAATTTTTGGAAAATACTTGAAACTATTTCAACTTAAACTTAGAGCCAATACGGTAACAGAACAACTAAGTACTGTCACTTTTATACTAAACATTTTCTATTAGCAAATATAAAATTAACTACAAGAAATAAAGTACAAGGAGTGGCCTTAGTAAATAAATAAACTTATAGTAGTAAAAAAAAAATCCTTTACATAATAGGTGCAAACATTGGTGTAATTTCGGGAGTATAAAGATTTGAAAAAACTTTGTGCGCAAAACTATTCTAACTACTTATAATATTTATAGTCCAAAAATATGTATTTCTATGGACAATTTGATTTACTTTTTATTGCTGGATTTTTATATAACACTTAGGTAGTTAATATATTTAATGTATGTTAAGTAATTTTGGTAAAATTCCTATTAAATAAGGTAATCTACAAAACGTGCAACTTAAAAAACAAAGTCTATATATCATTTCAATTATTTCGACAGCTTAAGGTTATTGGAGCGCTGCGCAGTGCCCTCCCCCCGCAACCCTTTACAACCCACCATACCTAACTTTGTGTTCTGCGCAACGCCTCGTACGATATTCCGAGCCGCCAAGATACATGACAACCTCTATACATGATTAAGGCAACATTTTATCATGTAAATTGTCTAATTTAAACAAAAAAATCTAAGCTTTAAAATTGATAAACCGTAATTATATTTATTTGGGAGCTTATTGCTTTCAATTGCGATTTTTTTTGTAATTTAATCTACGCAGCTAATTACGTAATGTTCTCTTTTGCAATACTGAAATTGATTAATACTTAATCTACAATTTTTGATGATGAAATTTATGTGAAATCGACTTATAATGAAAGATTACTGAAATCTTTTGTTCATTTGAATAAAGCAAACATTATATTGACCATTATATTTCTTATGTAACGAAGATGTGTGATTCATTAAAAAGATATAATAAATATCATATCTCCTACATATTATTCTTGGTTTTACAACATATTAATATCAATATCTTTCATTAACTTTCCGAATACATAGCACATTATTTTGAGTTCCAAATATTGTGTTTCAAAGTTTCTGTGATTAGGCCTTTTCGTTCACTTAATAAATAATTTACGTTTTATATGGGAATAAGAGTAAACAATTTTATCATAACTAAAATTAAAATAATAAATAATGTTATGTCCATTTGAGATTTCGGTAGTGATACCTGTAAGGAAAAATTATTAGAATATTCTATATATGTTTTAACCCGCAATTATTTCTTCATAAAAACAAAATTAATAATGACTGTTCATTCCCGAGCAAATAATATTTCTAACTTACCCAGGTCAGAGTGCGAGCCATGGATGATGTCTAAGAGCCTCACGAGAACGATCACCATAGTCGTATGTCAATTCATCCCCGGGTGCTATATCCTGTGCCGCGATCAGCACAAGGCGCGGCCCGTCCACCCATATTGCTTTGGTGTGTAAGTTGCCATTACGAGAATGATTTACTAATCGACCTAGACGACCACTCTCTGCCGTCGCGTCAATACTGGAACAATAAACAAGGACATAAGTATGTTAGGGTGTTATGATAGGTTTTTAATATAAAAACAGAGATCTGATTTATGGAACACAATTATAATGTTTCCAAATACGTAATAACTATACGAAAGAGGCCAGAGCTCTTAACCTTATGTTGATAATAATAAAAGAGAAACTCACCAATACTGTTGATCACAGTGCCTGAAGTAGTACATATAGCAGCCAGCCTCTGGGTCTAGAGCGTAGCGCTGTTCGCGTTCGCGGGCCTCCGCCACTCCCACCAGCTCACCCGCGTACTCTACCACAAACTGACCGCGTACAAACGCACGCGTAGCTATCACACCGCGACCCTTCCCATCAAAGTATTCAACCTTAAGTCCATCTTCTCTTTGCTCTCTCACAGCCCTTTCCAAATCGCGCATCTTTTCTGCCATTACACATTTGGAAGTTTTTCTAACACTACGTCGTACTGGAAAATACTCCGTCAATTTGTGATTTGAATTATTTGTATGGCCATTTACAGCTTTAGTTTCTACTTTAGCAGTCTTGTTTATTGTTTTTAGTGGAGGTGGTGACTCCACTTTGGGAACTTTGAGTTGTTCTTTGAAATATTCAGTCAGCTTATGGCTGTCATTGCCCTTTGCTGATGTCCTGGAGGAACGAGACCGTAGCATGGTGCCATTGGTCATATTTGTACTGTTGTTGCTACCATTGCTATTCTTAAGTGGTTTTGATTTCACTTGAGTCTTTCTTATTGGCGCTTTTGTTAGCAAATCACCATTTTCAGTCTTTTTAGGTGAGGCAGCGAGAATTCTGTAAGTTAAAAAATGTTACATTTTTATTAATCAATAGTAGAACTCCAAGGAAGAAATATATAAAATCATATTTGAAAAAAAATTTGTACATTATGGTGAGTTACTACTGTTTTTTTTTCAAAAGGAACATTTTATTTTTTAGAATTAGTTAAAAGGTGATTCACAGACATTCATTATCTTATTTCTCTCTTTATTTCCAACAGTTTTCTTAAGTCATAAGACAAGAAAGTAAACTAGAATTTTTTTTTGTCTATTAACAAATATCATTATGAGTGATCAGATGAAAACATAATCTTTTGCAGTATATGCTTAGAAGGTAGATTAAAATATATTTCTTTATATTATGAATACAAGATATGTATGATATAAAATTGTATACCTTCGACTTCTGTAGCTTCGGACAGTTCTGAGTAGTTCCTTTTCACAGAGTTCAATACGGTGGGGAGTCATGACAGCCCCTTCCGCTTCCACCATTAGCCTGTTGACTGATACATAACAAATATTTGACATAGTTGTTTGTCTGTGCCTAAAGTTAATAAAAGAGAGATCAATATTTGCAACACACACTGGTCTTTGGCTTAGAGTTAATTTGAAAATAAAAAATTAATTATACAAATTATAGAGAGGACTGTATGACTAATGTCTTATAGGAAAGTTAATGAGGTAAAGTTAATTGATTACGACTTCTTTGAAACCATATTAAATTTGTATTTAATCATCTTGTTTTCAGTTATGGATAGCAATTTGCCGCCATAATCGCAAGATTAAAAATATTCTGACAGATCGTTTAATAAAGCACTACTTAGAAAATAAAATTTAAGCTGAATTGTAATGACTGTAGAATTTAAAATAGAACATTGTCATTGGGGGTAGAAACAAACAAAGACTTTTGAACTTAAGGAATTCACTATAACCGCTTAAGGTTATTATTGAAAATTTTACTAACCTCGAACCATTTCCACTTGAACTTGAAAATCAGTGATACGAAATCATAGAATAACATCGATTAACCAGTTTACCTAACCTGACACAAACAAATACACCAACTACATTCACGTTACAAATGTTTTGTAATAGACCTTGTCATATCACTTGTATTATGAACGATGTAACATGAATATATAATTATACTAATATCACGATTTGACTAACATCTTATTTATGATAAAGATCTGTTTGTATTATATTTATACTTTCGCACTCATTTAATTATCCTAAATTTCGTTTAGCATTGCTGTATAAAACGTCAAAGTTAATCATATAAACTCAGAAAATGGACGCTATTCTTCATAGATAAAATTCTCTTTATCTCTGGTCCATTTGGCATATTACTGTGTTCCGGTTTAAGTTTTTTTTACCATTATAATTTATTTTTTAACTTTACAATTTGTAATCGGATTTTTACGCAGAAATCAATGTCACCATAATTTGGAAATACAGCATTATATAATGTAAATCAGTAAAAATAATAAATAAAGGATAAACAACAAAATAAAAACTCGATACAAAATCCTCGTGTGTAAATAGTTGGCATCATTACAAAAAATTAATCCCGTAAGTTTCCGAAAAATAATGAATAATTATATTTTTCGGGGCAGCCTATAAAACACATTTCATTTTACTTTAAACTTAAATTCAACTAGAATTGCTGAAGGAACCTGAAAGCACAATTTACACATTTAGTTAATATGACTTCGTGAATCTACAGTTCAGCTTTCTGTGGTTATATTCGGCTTCCTTCCGTATGTCAATGTCAATGAAACGGCGGTAATCGGTAATTTGACACAAAACAAGTTGTAAACGTAAAGTATTAAATTTCTTTTTAAAATAATATGCACATACTACACACATACTACTTGACATAGAAATATGTTTCAATTAAATTAATTACAAAATGTACTTCATTATGTTCACAGTGATTATTTATATAGCCTGTTTCGTTTAACTTTTCTTAATTTTCACATTAAAAATCATCTACTTTTTAGAAAATGAGTTTTAAAAAACCGTGTTATATTTGGGATCCCCTTCTAATATCACAAAGTGATCGTCTACCAGCCGTTCCTTTTAGGGTGAGTTTGAGATATAAATGAAAAGATTTATCCTACAAAAGTAGCATTACAATTCTGTCTAAGATGAAAATTAATTTTGTAATTTTAGGCTTCTATGGTAAATGATCTTTTAACAGCGTATGAGCTAAACAATAATTTACAAGTTATTCGCTCAACTCCTGCAAGTTACGATGACTTGAAGAAGTTTCACTCGGAATTATATTTGGATCACTTAAAAAGTTTTCATGAATTAGAAGAAGACTATATGACAAATGACCAGGATGAAGAGTATGGAATAGGTATCTGGAATATAAAGTTAAATCACATGAACTTTTATGTATTAACTGCTAAATGGAGGCCTTATTTTCTTCTCACTCTTCTTTATTCTCTTCCATACCATTAGTACATACACATGAACATAATACAGATGAGAATGGATAAGTGAGATACCTCAACAAGCAAGAGTCATCTTCTGGTCCTCATGGATGACCCATATGCAGGAAACAAAGATTAGAGAGAGAAAAATGTTGTGATCTCTTGGACAATTGCTTATTAAGATTTGACTGTAATTAGTGCCATATAGTAATAAAATTTCATTAACAATTATGTAGCAAGAATGTTGCTTACTACTGCAATATTTTAAAGGGTTATCTTTTAATTTTAGGATATGATTGCCCACCAATATCTAACATGTATGAACTAGTGACAGTAGTGGCAGGGGGGTCTATAACTGCAGCAAAATGTCTATTGCTTGGCATTACTAACGTTGCTATAAATTGGTGTGGTGGCTGGCATCATGCACAGAGGTAAAATTTGTTTTGTTTTTTATTTTCTAAACAATGAGCAATTTAAATAAAATTTAAATTTTTATAGGTTTCACTTCCATAACATTCATAAGATGGGATCATAATGATGATGATCATTTTGAGCTCCCAACAATTTTTTTTTATACATTGCATAAGTTAGTGCTTGACTGCGATCCAACTGGATGTTAAGTGAAGATGTGGTATACACATCACTCCAGTAGGCCCTTTACAATGGAGCAAGCAATTGTACTTACATGTCAGAAGTTCGAAAAGCCCTATCGTTTTAGGGATCCCATTTCTTACAAATGTCAAATAGCAATAGTGCTGGTGACTTTAATAATGTACTATGAAAGTTTACTAACAATTAATCTCTTCAAGATTTGGAGCAGAAGGATTCTGTTACGTTAATGATATTGTACTAGCTATAGAAAAGTTAAGGCTAAAGTTCAAGAAGATATTATACATAGATTTGGATGTTCATCATGGTAAGATAAATATATCTCTTGTGGTCGGTCACTTAGTCTACATACATTATATAGTATATATTAGTATATACAACATAAATTTTGTTGTTATAGGGAATGGTGTACAAGATGCTTATAAATTAAGTAAATCAGTGTTCACATTATCTTTTCATAAATATGAACCTGGTTTCTATCCCGGATCAGGCAATATAGATGATGTTGGCAGTTTGACTGGCAAAGGTTATTCATGCAATTTTCCACTTCATGCATTTTATACGGATAAAACTCTAGTAAATGCGTTTGCAAAGTAAGTAATAATTCAATTTTCAATGAAGTTCTAAAAAAATTGTCATATATGACTTATAAGCCACAAAAAATTGAATACATGATATGGTTAAGATACATGATAAGAGGAGTTAATTTGACATGTGAAAATTTAAGGAAAATTACATTATATGTAAGAATAAAATAAGTAGCTTACTTTTTCAGTGTTTTCCCATTAGTGAATTTGAAATTTGAACCAGACGCTATAGTAATGCAATGTGGTGCAGATGGATTAGTCATTGATCCCCACGGTGGAGCATGTCTCACTGACCAGGGTTACATAACATGTCTCCACAAAGTATTGGCTACAGAAAAACCAATTCTATTACTAGGTGGTGGTATGCAAAATATGTACATATTTTTGTTGATATTGTATAAATAATTTCATTGATTTATTTTTAAATTTGATAAAAAAACTTCAGAAAACAATAAGCATGCTTACTCAGATAAATCTCAAAGAGACATGATTTGAAAACTGGTTGTTTTTAATATATTTTTAGGGGGCTATAATCATCCCAATGCAGCCAGATTGTGGACAAAACTTACAGCTGTAGCTGCTGGAGTTGATTTGGATGATAATATTCCTGAACATGACCATTGGCCTAAATATGGACCTGATTATATTCTGTCTATACAGCCTAGTCTTACAAAAGATCTGAATACTGAACAATATATCAATGAATGTATTTCACAAATAAAATGTAAGTAAGAATAAGTTTTGGCACTGAATGTATTTAATGTACAGGAAAACCTGGGTAAGTTAGAAACTTTTATAAGCGAGAGTCATAGTCTGGTCACAAAGGATCAGCTGCATAAGAGATAAGTTTTAAGTTTTTTTATAAGCGAAATAAATATTCCGGTCCCTTGAACGCTTTGAACTGATATAATAAGCAACAAAGAAAAAGCAGTTGTATTTTATGCAAATAAACAAGAGATATACATGCATTTTCTTAAAAACTTAGTCTGTTGTTGGGAATCAAAAATTTTCATTGTATTTTGCAGGTAATTTAGAATTGTTAGATACAAAGACTGCTATATATTTGCCACTCAAGAGGAAACAGGATCAGGAAGAAGATATTAAAATTGACAGTGAATTTAAGATTGTTGAAAAGCAAGACTCGGGAGAAGGTAATTTAAAGAAAGAAACAAGACTAAAACCTGTAAAAGCTCAATTAGTACCCGAAAAAGACAATAAAGCTGATGTTTATGATTTTCAAGATTAATATATGAAAATGTTAAAGGTAAAAGATGTAGATACGGTTAACGCATTACATGCCACCAATTTGCCTAGAAAGTCCTGAAAATTTCGGTAAAATGTATGCGACACACAAGAACACATCGTAAAATTAATAGTGGCACAGAACATGTTAAATATATATTTTTTATAAATGAGTATTTTATTACTTTGTACCTAAAAATCTTGTTCTGAAAACTTGACCTTGGTTATTGATCAACTGTCAAAAGTAAAAGAAAAACGATTGATAAGTGGAAAAGATGTATTTAGAGTTCTCTCATTAAATGTTCAATACAAGATTATAACTTAAGAAATTCAATGAACAGTCACACTAACAACATCTATGATTTTAATTGCTAATTTAGCGGAGCTACTTCATGTTTTAGTGGTTACGTAAATGGCTTATTGTCAGAGAAACTGAATGGAATATTGCGTTGTAAGGTAATACAAAATGACCTGCAACAAATAAATTAATTTATTGAACTCGGAATCAACATCGGAAACCGAAATACTTCATAAATTGATTAAAAGAATTGTTCATACTAAAATCAGATATATTAGCAATTACTATCATGACATCTATTTACAAGTTTACAAAGCTAGTCTTTCCGATTGACTTGGTAACAGAAATTTACTTCAAATTCAGGTTTATTTCCACAATGATTGTAATATAAATAAAAATTGACAACATAAGCTATTAACTCTCACATATAAAAAAAAACTTAAATGACCAGAGAATAAAAACTAAGCTAAGATTTTAAGCTTTTATATTTGGCCAATATTAATTTGCATCTTTTTAAATTACTTACAGTATGGTGCATGTCTTGCAAGCAGTGATTGAGGAGTAACATTACCTAGCCTTACAGAAAAACCTTTAACTTTACAGTAGTGAATGAATTCTTTCTAAACAAGTGAAAAGAGGATAGATTTACTTTTATAGGATAAATGCACACATTAGTTAAAATACTTGTTTCATATTTAAAATGCCATTTACCATTGTAAAGTCAAAGAAATTTGAACTAGGCGACTTTAGTCAGTGGGCCGTTTTTCACTATGTTTCTTGGTGAATTCTTCTGCATTCTTTGTGAATTTTTTCCTGTCTTTTAGGAATTCTTCTGCGAGCTCAGCTCGTAATGGATGCTCCGGCTCTGGATCATTTACAAGTGCTACTAGAGCTTGGATAACTGGAAAGAAAATTATTTATGTTTAAGCTATTGAATACCAAGGGTAATACTAATTAACACACCATAAAATACTAACAGAAAATATATGTTGTTATTTCGTTAATCACAACCCAAATGATGTTTAATGTATAAAAACTTAATCTACTTTAAGTAATTATTATAAGAGACTATTACCAAAAGTCAGAAGGTAAGCAGTGTTCTAGATTTTGTTACTGTTAACAAAAATACCTACTTTGATCTTTTAGGCATAACAAAGTAAAATAAGGATTATTTGAACACAGCTATAATTAATTTACCTTGATCAGTCTTTGTAGCTGGTTTCCAATTTTCAGCACTAATTATAGGTAGACAGACTTGACCCTTTTCATCAATGTTGGGATGATAGATTTTTGTTTTGAAACTAATCTTGGGGGGTTTGAATGGGTATTCTGCTGGGAAATTAATCTCGATACGAAAGGCACCTTTGTTGTAGGGGGGATTGTCCTGAAAGATATAAATCTTATTGGTATTTTTAGTAAAAGATTATGGATGTTCATGTTACACGATTTTGCTACTTACGGGTACGATCAAGCCCTGCCATGTAAGAATATTAGACTCATCAACTTGAATGTCTCTAAATGACTTCAATCCAGATTGCCTGATGTCGTTTAACTCCTGAAAAACAACCATAAATTGTAAAAATCAGAGGTAATTTAATATTTTTAAGCGAAACCTATGAAAATGTACCTAACGGCGTTATTCCAAATTAAATATCAATAGAAAAAATCCGTAAGCGGACTCTAATTTTATACTTCTTTTTCAATTACAACTAGACAATATTACTCTCGATAGTCTGTAACTTACCTTTTGAAGTCTCCTGGTAGCAGCCATTTTAATTTTATTTAACTAAAATATGGTGACGATGAAAGTATATTACAAAATTAGTAATTATAGGCAGTAAATGCAATCCGACCCAACAACATAATTCGTGTATCAGAAAATATGACTCAGTAAAATGTCAGTGATATCGTCCATTTCATTCTTTTCATTCGTACAATACAGATTAAATATTCGCCAAGGTTACCAACCTTGACATTCGTTATTTTTTTATATACTCTTTGTTCGTTAATCGATTATGTTATATTTAAAAAATATACCCTGAGTATGTATCTTGCTAAGTGCATGAATCACTTAGCAAGATTGTTTTTGCGGCTTACTGCACAAATAAAAATGAAAAATCGTGCATGTTATATGCTCTAATTCCTTTCACCGGAGGTTTAGACCCGGTTTTGCTTACACGTTGATATAGGGGCGCTGGTGGGCTGTCTTAACTAAGCCAACTGTCTCAGATATAGTTCGACACGAATATTGTGGCAGGCGGAAAAGACGCGAACCAACAATGTCATATTTCAACCTATATAATAGCAACATTTACACGTGTTAATGCTACTACTTTTATGATTTCGGAATTTCAGAAAAATGTAATTTGTTTAGATGTATCAATTTAAATGGGAAGGATTATTACTACGAGAACTCGGGCCGTAAGTTGCAACATTGACGACTTTTGCAAGTTACGAAATTTTTCTCACTGGTAACCCTTAAAACTTATAGGCGTGTAGATCCTTACAGGACAATGAATAAAATAAGTAATTTTTGTGACATTTTTATTTTCCGTAATACAATTACTACAAAACTGTAAATGAATAAAGCTTGGTATGCTATGGTCTAGAGTTGTAATAAAAAATATATTTCGTAATAAATTATCCTGTAACCTTTAACATAGCATATAAAATTTCTGCCTAGAAGAAAAAAAATGTTTAGTGGAACAACAGACTGAAGTTTTGATGGATATTTTGTATTGATTTTTTAAAAGATAATACAATTAAGCACAGATTATTTCAGTTTGCGACGGTTGTAACGATAAAATTGTTGAGTTGAAAAATGAATAAGAGAAATGTAGTCTCTAGAAAGCAACTGTTTAATATGCAACAAGCAATACCGCTACAACCGTCGCAAAGTGAATGTGAAATACAGAGTTTGTGTTATACTGTACGGGTTGTTTAATTTCACTCATGTAGGCGTTAATCGTCGTGGCCGCGTTCATCGTCGCGTCTGCGATTCCTTTGCCGACGGCCCCAGCCGTCCCTAGGACGTTCCCTTTGACGTCCCTCCCCGCGGCCTGCCCCACCCCTCTGGAAGAAGGAGCCTTGCTTCTCGAAGATTCGTTCATTAGAATCCACAAGGTTACCAACCTAAAAATAAACAATATTTAAGTATTATTTATCCTCTTCATGTACATCCATGACTGTAATGTTATATAGAAGTAATCTAAACTAAATGCCAGTTAAAAGATTTGAATATGCATGTATACATTGTTGTGTAGTAATATTTGTAAAAGCCTCTTCATAAATGTATGAGCGTTCATTGAAGTAAATTACTAACCTTATCAGCAAGTTGCAGCGCCAGCGCTTGCATCCTAGTTGGCTCTGAACGGTGCAATATAGCGCACTCGCTGGGATCATCGAGAGACGCCAACAATTCTTCATTAATGATCATCTTCGACACCAGAGAGTGAACACGTTGCCGCGGCAGTTCAAACATGTCCGCCAACGAACGCAATGACAACGACGCGTACACGTGCGCGTACGTAAACAAGTAAGTGCGTAGCGATTCCTCTCGGATAAGACGACCGAGCATAGCCCGGACATTATCGGCGCCAACCATTAGGTCCCACACCTGCAAGAAATTTATATGAATTATGTTTTAAGAAATTAAAAAATATATAAAAATCCCTAACTTGTAGGGACGAATTTATTACCTTAGCGTTCATTTTCTCGTTAACAATAAAGTTAAGACAGGCGCGCCAGTCCCCGCGGCGCATCGCTCTGGCTGCTGCAACGGCGTGCTCGCGCATCGACTCCGGCGGCCCCACCAATGCCTGTCGCTCGCTGGCGCGCAGGTTCTGGTAGAACGTCTTACTGATCATACGACGGCGCGCATCGAACTCATGAGCCGCCATGTATGGTATCTCGATCAGCATCGCAGACACCAAATACACGCATTCCAATAGTTCAAGGTTAATATGCATATGGAACGGCATCTGTCTCTGTTTCTCGATCTTCTCCTGTTCCTTGGAGCGCTCGTGCTGACGCTGAGGCAGCAGACCTTGAGCGAGCAACTCTTTCGGCTTACCTGTCATCATTAATTCCGCCAAGCATCCGTGTGCTTCCTTCACGTTGCCGCGGCGGAAAGCACACAGTCCCAAGTTCGCCATGGTCCGATTGTACAAAATCTGAGTACTCGGGTCGGAATGTTGGACCGTCTCTTGCAGATGAGACATGAGGAGGAGATCGCGAGCTTGGAACCAATTGTCGTGTAAAGCATGATGGTAGATGTGTGACAAAATAGCGCGAGTTCTCAGACGATCGGTCTCGTCGTGCGCGTATATATATTTGCAGAAACGCTCCATTTTCTTGACCGTCGATTCCTCACCGGGAGGGGAATCTTTTTTTACAGCACGTGGATCAAATTTGTAGTACAAATGATCAATTTTACGCAGATAAGCGCGGCAAACTTCCTGCGGCGATCCATCGCGTTCGACTACTTGGCAGACGCGGTCTATGAGCGCGGAGACGCGTACTTCATCCTTCAGTCTCTCCACATATTCATTTGAGTGAGGATCACACTCTTTCAACAGTTTAGTGAACTCATCATCGAGACGCTCTAAAGCTGTCAAAACACAACCACGTACACGGAACGGTGCAGTTACAAATTCTTCATTTTCCTCTGTAATAGTCTCGCTCAGTTGCATATCTTCATGAGCTAGAAGGAGAGTCACCATGTGGTCAACATTCTCGACAAGTCTAGACCAGTATTCCGGTTTCATGGCATCTGAGACTTTAGGATTGTAATCAAACAACGCGGCGACAGTAGCGGCACGCAGCTTAAGCTGTAGGGCGTCACCTAAGTTGTGCTGTTGTGCAACTGTGCGCAATTCGTGCAGTAATTCAAGTTGTGCGCGACGGTCAGTACGCTTGCGACCACGCGCTGCACTTATCTCACCCAGTTTCTTTACTACTAAAGCGGCGTCAATATCGCTGTCCTGTAAATAAATAATTATTTTTGTCTAGCATCCTAAAAAAAAGTTATAAATAATATACATTGGTGAGACATTTTAGAATACAGACCTTTGCGAACATTTTCGGCTTATCCGAAGTAGCAGCTCCCTTTCTTACAGTTTCCCATTCGCCTCCATCATCAATCTGGTCTCTCTTGCTGATTTTACCAGCACCTCTCTCACGTCTTTCCCTCCTCGCGCGACGCCTGTCTCTTTCCTCATCGTCATCCCTCTCCGTGGTTTTCTTAAGGAACCGCTCTCTTATGGTGGCTGCGCCACGAGCTTCGTCATCCGAACTTGAACTGGAGTCCGAGGAACTTGAGCCCCAATCCATAGAATCGGAGGACTCATCATCTTGAGGAGGTGGGCGACGAGGGGGTTCAGGCGAACGACGCACTCGAACTTTCTCTTTAACCTTGTCTTCATCATCAGACTCATCAGATGATGATGTATCTGAATTGCAAAATTAAAGCAGTTGGTACAATTCATTATTATAGAAGAAAAATCATGAACTAATTCTTCATTAAAACTAACATCTTACCTTTTCGCTCTTCATCATCATCAGGTAAATCAGGATTCTCTCGGAATTTGGTAATCTCAGCATCAAAATCTTTTTCATACTTCCTTAACTTTTGACGTAAAGATGTCAGGGCTTTACTATTGCCTTTAGACAAGGCCTTTCGTGCATCGCGATCTGCCCAGGCACCAGCAACCCAATCATCCAACTCTACTAAAGCTCTAATGAAGAACCGTGGTGCAATACCATTCTCTTCTTTTTGGACTACAGGAGCTGCTCGAGTATAAGCCCTTTGTAGTTCTTCAAAAGAAGCTAATGCTGATGAAAAGTCCTTGATCTTTCGGTGATTCCGAATTGAATGGATTATGCCTTCCAATTCTTCATATCTCTTTTCTTTCATAGAGCGCACAACACGCTTAGTTTCTTCCTCGTCATCACTGAACTACACAAACAAAAGATAAATTTATTTTTAGTTAGTAGTATTAAAATAGTAATAAAAATATATTGAAGCAGGCACATACATGACAGCGTTTGTCCACAAAACCAACTAATTGTACTATAAATAGGATGCAGCAAGTGAAATGAGAAAAATATTTTATTATTGTGAAACATTGGTGATATTTATTATAAATTTTACCACACTAAAGAGAAATATTGAAAATTGTATGTACTGTGTGTATTAAAAATTGTTCCAAAAGTTGTGGATTGTTTATCATTCAGTTCTTATTAAATCTGAATGTATAAATTGGAAAGAAAAATAATTCGAATTTATAATAGTAAAAAATCGGACTACATATTTTGTGACAAATTTCTCCTGATAAAAATTGTAATTTATACACTGTGGGGCTTTACTGAACTGCTGATGATTTACACCAAAAAATATTATAGTATACAATAATATACGAGATACACACATAAAGACTGTTTTAAAATAGTTGTATTATATTTTAAATTATGTCCACTGATGCAGTTTTTCTGTTTTATGTTTTTGATTTTAATAATCCAATTTTTCCTTAAATTAATAACAAACAGACAAGGAGAGAAGTGAGAGTCTTCTGACAACGGTCTTCTCGACATTGACAGACTTTTACAATGAATTAATAGTCGTCATCATCATCATGAGCATCAGTGACACACAGCTAGATACATTCAACAGTCGGTGTTACCAAAAATTGTAGTGGCCTGGAATGTTAAATGTACTTACAGTATAGACGGGAGCTGGTGCACGAACTACCTGCTCCTCTTCACTGGAGCTTTCGGATTCCGAATCCGTACCAGTCGCGAAAAAACGACTCATGTTCGCCTCTTAGTAAAACTGTAAGAATAAATATAAAGCTTATATTTATTTCGTAATCTTCTAAATCGTCAGAAACTTGAGCTTTCTGAGTAAATAGCACAGTCAACATTCACCAAACGAAAGTTTGAGGTTAGGATACATTATGTTAACATTAAAATTTTGTGTGAAATTTATACCTTCAAATGCCAAAAATTCGTGTTGATGCAAATAAAATTCCTAAATTTACACTTAGATACATGAAAGTTGTAAGTAATTTATTAATGACGATAACCCTACATGCCCACGAAGCACACACACGTCAAAGGAATTTGATTGAAATTCAAAGATCAACGAATCAGAGAGTTGTATTTGTAGTTAATAACAGTAAGATATTTGAAGAAAAACGATTTTTTATTTTTATTTTCCTGATCCAGAAAAAGAAAAAGACTCTCATTCATTGTTAATAAGAGAGATTTTAAATTTTTACATCGAAATTGAGAGGACATCAACGCATCAAATATTTCCAAATTCACTACTCTATGAAACTACACCATTTTTTGCCTTTGACTATGGGTTACTCTGTCTGTGGTCTAAATGAATGAAATAAAAAACATGATGTAAAATGGAAATGGAAACAATTTTGCGTTTTAGTTTAATGTTAAAATAAAAAGTTCTTTCTAGTGCTTTATTATTTAAGAATATTCTGTTAAATGTTCACTGAAATGGAGCTATCAACATTAATTTTACCCCAGAATATTTGCCGAACTTGTCTCGCTGAATCAGATTCCTCGACGTTCATGAGCGTACAAGATTTAATTGAACATGAGATGAACAAAATTAAACTGATAGATATATTGATATTTTTAAATTGCGTAGAAGTTAGTATTCAACAATAAAATCAAGATGTAACTTTTTCATCCATATTTATGACGTTTTTTAAATGTTTCAGAATAACGATGAAGAAAACTGGCCTCAAGGAATGTGTCCATCCTGTGTTTACACAGCTCTGCTGTCTTACAACTTTAAAATTAATTGTTTAAAAGCTAATATCACTTTATCGCAAGTTTTTACTGTACAATCTAGTAGTTCGAGCTTACAGCGCTCAGATATGGATTCTATTGATATAAATGTTGTTTATCAAGACCATGAGTATGATACGCCGCTATTTACTAATCACCCAGTCCTTGATTTTGAAAATGTTTCAGTTAACAAAGAATTAACACCTTTACCTCCTGTAACTGAAATAACATCAACCGAGCATCCACCGCGAAAAGAAGGCGATAAAAAATATTCCTGCACTCTGTGCCCTAAATCGTTTACGAGAATTTACGGATTACGTTACCACATGGCAAAGCATAGAGGAGTTCTTAGATTCCTTTGCCCAAAATGTGGTAAACGCTTTCACACAGCTGATGGCTTGAGGCAGCACTTATTGTCACATAAAGAAATTCCACAATTTAAATGTGGATTTTGCAATAAGACATATAGATCACGACAATCTTTAAAGGGACATTTTAGAGTTGCTCATTCAAGCAATCAAAAATCATTTGTTTGTGTTATATGTGATAAAAAATTTAGTGCTAAGTCCAGTTTAATGAAGCACATTAAAATTCATAATGGGGTCAAGGATTATCCTTGCCCTGATTGTCCAAAAACATATACTCGAGCATCTTACTTGCGAGTTCATAGCTTGGTACATTCTGGCCAAGAACGCCCACGGCCTTTTAAATGTAAATACAATGAATGCAATAGAAGTTTTCCAACAAAACAGTCTTTGAAAGTGCATATTGCACATACTCATTCATCTGAGAGACCCTACAAGTGTGACATTTGTTCTAAAGCATTTCCCACATCATCTGGATTGAAAGTACACAAAGAGTCACACTCAACTGTGGATACAAGCTGTGAAATCTGTGGCAAAAAATTCATCAATAAGAGAGTTTTACAAAAGCATATGAAAATACATTATGTTAATGATGACCTGATCCTAGAGACTGTTGTTGATTTTTTCAATGATTGAATTAAGTAAAGATGTAATTGGCTTAATTAATAAAGCTTTTTCCTTGTATATTGGTTGCTGTAGGTTTTACATTCACATATATACAAGTGTGTCAGCCTTCAAAGTATTCAATAACTTAGCTTCAAAATGCCTCAAAATAATACAGAAGTTTTTCCTTTGCCTTTATTATTATTAAACTGTAGTTGAAATGTTATGAGTAAAAAAAATATGCAATGTTTTATGTAGTGATATGAGACGGGGCTTTTCCAGGCAGTGTATATTACTCATTATTTGATAACACAATGACTAATTCAATGATGTGTTTTTTAATAGTATTCTAAACTTCTATAACTACTTCTAATTAGAAAAAAATTGCATTCATTTTATTACATTACGTTTTTTTTGTTTTGTTGTTTTTTTCCCTTGTATTACTTGAAATAAAATTAACAAATGTGTTACTGCAAGATTTCACTGATTAAATTATTTGTCTAGATGACAAATTCCTTTAAATCACTGATATTGATAGTTAAAAAGATACAAGTTAAATGGCAATCTGCCTTACTGTTTGTTTACTTCACAGCTTATTTGTAATAATTTTTAATCTCAGAAACAAAGAGTACTAATATTATTTTTATTATAATTAAGTCCACAACAAGAAAACGCGCTAAATCTCAATCATTATAGTTAGAGTGTCTGTATACAATAACGGAAAATTCAATATTTCGCGAAAATGATGCGTAGTTGATAAAGAAAATCAATTTTCTGTCCACAAATCAGTTTTGATCCGGATAAAATTGCTGTACCGATTTTGATGGGATTTATACTGGAAGGCAATTTATGTATTCGGGAATAAATCAGTTTTTTTTTTAAATTACATGCTAAAGAAGTTTCAGACAGCCGCTGGTTTAAAATATGTATGTTATTGATATTTAATAAAGAACTTAATCTCCTTATTGTGTGTGTAAAGCTACTGATAATATTTCATGTAAACATGTTTCCAGTAAGTTTACACTGTTTGATAATGTTGGAACATTAGTTATATGTTATCAATAATCTACATGTAATCTATAAAAATATGATTATCCAATAACTACTAATATTGAATTTACAATTATTTAATTTGTGAAATTAAACTCTGTGATTGCTCGTAAGATTTTATTATAATTAGAATAACAAATTGGAATATTGCGTTTAATAAATGTACACGATATATACTCTATTTCATTACAATTATACCAGTAACCGTACTTCAATTAAATAAACCTTGGTATTAAAATACAAAAATATTGCAATGACAATTATATGCCAATTTTGAAAAGATATTCATCAGAGTCATTTGTTTTAAATTATTCTGTTACTCATACAAACATATTTTGAAACAGTTGACATGTTATTATACAATTTAATTAGAATCATATATGAAATTCGAATGAAAAATCTCAAACAAATAACTAAAAAGGGTACATTGACAATAGTACTTATAAGTTGAATTCAATACAAATGAGAAATTATAACTAACCAATCTAGACAATTTCACTTCTATAAGGCTGTAATCACAGACTTGTTAGAAACAGACATGTGTGTATCATCAATTTAAACATGAAAATGATTCAAAAAAATTTATAGGTAATAAATTATTATCAGCCAGTGATATGTTTAAATAAAATTTCTCATTTTCATTGTTTTTGACTTTACAAACTACAATTTAAGATGTAGATCTAATAATGTATGATTAGGAAATATCAATGTGGTGTAACTAAAATTAATATATAAAAATATTGCAAACTATCACTATGCTTAACTATACCATGTAATATGATTACATTGTTTATTAATGTACATAATATATGTGTATTCACTAACAGTTTCATTTTAAGCAAAGATTATTTTCCTAAAATTTTGTTTATTTGCTTGTTTTGCTTCCCAATTTTAACATCTGCAACCTCAACTTTGTCTTGTATTGTGTCTATAAGCTTATTTTGTGAATCAATTTCTTCACCAAGAGCACTTCCTAAACCTTTAAGTCTAGTAATATGCTGAACCATCTCATCCAAGTTTGCATCCAACATTTCATTGATACGTTGGCTGTCTGAAATTGGTGCACTGGCTTGTTCTTGGTTTAAGCCTCTCAGACGTGTAGATGGGTGACTATTGAAGCGATCTTCAGCACTTAGTTTGGGTGTGTTATCTAAAGGCTCATCTAATTTACTGCTAGTGCCAGCTTTTGAATTGAGGCTATCTGGTGAGGCCTGACTCCTTGGAGGTGTTTGATCTGATTTACCCGATATATAATTTTTTAATCCATAGAAAACTGATTTTATACCATTTAGATGTTTCTGACTGTAGTGTAGATTTGTATTGATTTCATCTAATCTCCGGTTAGTGTTCTGCAACTGCTCTCGCTGTCTCGCCAGTTCTTCAACTGTAGCGATACCAATCGTTTCGCTGTCATGGAGAAGCCCTATACTTCTTATAGAAGAGTCTAGAGTCCGTTGTTCGATTTCCTTTTGTCTTTGTAACATCGCCTGTCTTTGTTTTTCCAGTTCTGCAATATGTCCTCCATAAGGAGTATTGACGGGATTTCTTGGAGGTTGAGGTAATTTTGATCTATAACTTTGCACAAATGTGTCATTGTCAACATCGTCGTCTTCGAATAAGTTACTCGAGTTGCTAATGTACCTATGGTCCGACATTTTATTTAATTTTCACTTCACAAAACTGTTTAATACTGAATCGTTCTAATTTGTAGCAATGTAAATATTTTCCTTTGTTCTTGTATCAATTTGACTAAAGAGAATGTAATTATTAATTACGTACGCAACACCAATACCAAGAGTAGGCTGACAATCAACTGACAGCTGACATGAATTCTACAACCACCCTGAACCACCCACTTTTTGCAGATTTTGCAGAAGTTGAAATGTATTGCCACTACATAAATATATGGTTAATGTTATTGATAGGAAAGAATCCCCTCTTAAAATTTCAACGCACGAAATTTGTTTGGTAAATATTCAGTTCAAAACTAGAAAGTTTTAAGAAATAATTTGCGTCATTCGCATGCGTAAATTGAATTCCATAAATTTTACTGTTAACACTTAAAATGTCAAAATTGACATTGTCAACAAAACATTGTGTTTCACCATTTTTCTTGGATAAAAAATTAGAAGATTTTAATAATTACCAAGTAAATTAATTATTTACATTCAAGATGATGGCAGGAAAAGGTATAGAAAAGGCTTTTTTTGGACAATATGGTTGCATACAAGCAAGCAGCCACCTGCATGTGCCAAAATAGTGGGCCCATTCTTGGAACAATGTTGCTGGCGTCTTCTACTGTTAATTAAATGTTATTTCTTCACGCAATCTCAAATATATTTTTCAAAATGAATAAATAATATAATTTTTACAGTAATGGCAGAAACAGAGGAACAGAGCAGAATAAGGTTTCAAGTTGAATTGGAGTTTGTACAGTGTTTAGCTAATCCGAATTACATACATTGTAAGTTGATATGTATATTTTATAATGATTAATCAAAAGATTACCACAATTACACTCGAAAGAACTTTACTTTGAAAGTATTTATAGTCAAACCAGGCCTAGCTAGAGTCCAAGGGATCCCAATATTTTTCTCACTTATTGAGGTTTCTCTCTGACCTGAGTTTCTCGCTTATGGTGGTTGTCTGTTAGGATTAGACAAAGAATTGAAAAGATCTTGCTTATAGATGTTTCTCACTTCTTCATATACAAACAGTATGTCATAATTTCACACAAGCACTTTTTATTTAATTATGAGCACAAGTAAATGATTGATTGAATAATAAACAATAGGAATGTGAAAAAAATTAATAGTTAAGTTTTTAATTTTATTTTTTAGTTTTAGCACAAAGAGGGTATATGAAAGAGCAAACATTTGTGAATTATTTACGATACCTACAGTATTGGCGGGAACCAGAATATGCTCGCTATCTCAAGTACCCCATGTGTCTGCATTTTCTAGAACTGTTGCAACATGAGGCCTTTAGAAGGGAATGTGTTTCAGCCCAGGTATGTTTAGTGAAAATCTGCACATTACTAATTGTAGTTTGTATATTTATTCAATGCATTCTTGAACAAATTCAATCGTTCAAATTCAAATTGACGCATCACTAGTATCAGTAAGTTCTTCGGATTTTTCAAACAGCAATCCATATGGAATGCAATAAGAAAAAATTAATAAGTAGCCTAGGTGTTCTTCCAGGCTATGTTCTCCATGTATGTCAAATTTCAACGAGATCCTGGAGATACCATCTAACAAACATCCATCTGTCTATCCATACATCCAAACAATCGTATTTATAATGTTAGTAACATATATTTTAATGTATATTGATTAAAAATTTTTTTGAAGGTTTGCAAATTCATGGATGATCAAGCAATTTTACTCTGGCAACATTATACAAGGAGACGGACACGTACACTACAGCCACCGGACGCTCCTGCGCCGCCAGCGCCCCCTGCCGCCCCGCAACCACCACGACAACAATCATGATAATGTACATAATTTTTTTTACATAATCTTAGTAACATAGGCATATGGATTAGTGATAAGTTCTCAATATACTACACAATTTTTTTTAATGATTATTCTATATTTCATATAAATTTATGTTAGATTTAAAACTGTTTAGCATTTAAATTCTTATAACTAAAAATTATAGCACTTTTGTAAATATGAAAACACTTTTTTATTTAGAAACTTTATTTTTTATGAAAATAACAACTAACATTAAATTCCTGATTATATATTTAATGAGTTATTTAGCGATAGTCGATTTTTGTCATAGATGAACTACCAACTTGGCGAAAATTATTTATTTGTTGTGTCTTTGCCGCGAAAATGTCATCAACGGGCATCGCGTGACTTAAACAGCAAATAAAATGTTGTAACTTTTTGCATAAAAAATATGACAGGCGCTTTATCGGCTTATATTTGTCGCATGAAAATCGAACTCTTAGAAGTTGTTTATTTTAAGAAAGGATGTGTTGGTTTTCTTCGTCTCGCCATACAGAACGCTCGTAGGGTTAAAAAGTAGAGAAGTTCCACAACACTCATTATACTGAAACCCATACATAGGCCCAGTAAACCTCCAGTATTGGCTGTAAAAAGGTACGAATTGTCATTAATTTTTTACATTTATAGGGATAAATATCTTTTGTTTTAAGTTCTTTGGTTAAATTTTGTAATACTTTTAGATATTATTAGTTAGAATCCATTGGCGCGAATGGCGCGCTTTTGATACCAAGTCAAGTGTCAGAATGAATAGTGAGGGAACATAAACGTCGACATTTTAGTAAGGCTAGTGTTGCGCCAGTACACCGATATAGTGTCGGATTTTGTTCCTAACAATACTTACATAGAAATTCCGTAAGACCAAATATTTCTCCTTTCGTAAACCTCATGAATGTATTGTCTTCAAAATAAAAGTGAACCAATAGCATGTTTTCTCTGAAATAAACAAAAAATTTAAACCATGCAGGCATTTAGTATAAAAAAACATTTGTCCGTAAATTCGTAAATATAATAGACACCGAAATATCATGACATTTGTGTAAGAGTAAGATCTAATTAGCGTTTCATAAATATAATTACGTGAAATAATCTGGTGTTCTATTCAATAATATTGTAGAGTATTGTCCAATTAGCGCCTTGTTGAGAGGCGCGGTGCTCAGTCGCTCGAAGAAAGCTATTTCGTTGCAGGCGGGTAAGCACTCGTCGCACGACGCCTCGCTATCTACGAATCATTTAGACCAGTTCAGGTTAAAAAAATTTAAGAAGATGTGTAAGTACGCTTGGCAGGAAACAAGAATGTGTCGAAGCCGGATTGAGAGTTTGTAAGACGTGGTATAAGCGGACCAAACACAAATCTTACGCTCGTGGGTCAATTCAAATGTCGATATTGTACATAAGGATGGCTCAATCTCTCTCATTCCTCATGAAAATAGTAAATTCACGTAATTATAGGGAGTGGTTGAGGACAACCATTTTTTTGTATTAAAGTGGTCAGATGTATATAGGTAGGAATAAGCTGCATCTGCTGATAATTGGAAAAGTATTTTGTATTATACTTGCAATTCCTTAGTTTTAATTTTATTAATATCGTGCCTTTGACTTTTACCTACTCACCTACACTCGAATATATTCGAATGTTTAACGCAGTTTGCAATTTTTGCAAATCTCAAAGGAGGAGGCATATTATATTTTAAGTTCTTGTGGGTCCAGATTTTTAGTTGCTATAATATTAAAAAAAGTGTTAAAAAGCAATTTTTACCACTTTGTGCTGTCAGTTTAACGTTCGAATAACATTTGGCGTCGGCTTTTCCACAAATTCGTGTTGATTTATTTTCTGAAACAAAATTGTAAGTGCCATTGTTAATTCCTTTGCGATACTTCCCGAAAGAAGTCATAGACAAGACTTGTGAGTAGATTGATGTCTATTAATCCTTTAAAATAAAGGCATGTAGTTTCTTTCTTTACCAATTAGGAATCTTAATTATGGAAAGTACTTACTAGGCATATAATAAAGAACACATTTGCATCTATCCAACATGGACCTAGCTTCGCATTCCATTTCGCAGTTCCGTAAAGTGTAAGTTCTAAAAAAATACAATTATCTATGGTCATGATTAATCTTTGTAATGAAAAACTTGATAGCCTTTGTAATGAAAAAAAAAACTTGTCCTTGTTTATTTTTTTCTCATATGATACGTTACAAAAAATTTATTTAGATGTTATTTTATTGGAATAAAAACGATTTAAATGTCAAATATTTGCACTATTTCTTAGCTGACTGACAAGATAGTAGTTTTTTATTGCATTGTCAAATTAATTAAAACATTACCTGTAAAATACTAATTCCTTTTCGCTTGAGAATAAACAAAGTCTTTTCTTAACATCGATGTCTTTTAGCGAAGGTTGCGCGTCTAAAATCCTCGGCTGTATGGCAACCCTCGCTTCTATTCCTGGCCCATAGATTTCTCCTATTTTTGCAATGTTTGGAGTTTCTGTCGGGTTGTGGAGAAGTATCTGAAATATTTTATAATCGATCATAATTAGATAAGCATTTCTTGTAATGGATCAAAGAACGTCCTTAAAGGTATGCAACAGCGATAAAAAGAAATGAACTCGTGTCGTATTAACCGTAATAAGAATGATTACAATATTGGCAATAAGGAGTTTTCTTCATTTAAATAATTATATATGACTATATATAATATATTAAGAAAATCTCAAGAGCAAGGTATCTCGTGATTTATGTGAATTCTACTCCATTTATGTATAAAAAAGGTTTGTATTTTTACATTACCTTAAAGCCCATACTCTTTGTAGATGCGCAGTAATATTCAGCGATGTTTGCGTCCAAGACTAAAGTTAAGCCGTGATTGGTGCCTATCCCTAGGAATAAAGATAAAATTACTACGCGAGTACAGAAACATGATACCTGAGTATAATGACGCCATAACAGACGACTATGTTTATTTTTTTCACAAATTTTAATGAATGAAAATATGTATATTTCGTATACCTTTAGGTTTCCAAGGAAATCCATCAGGTGGCGCGTCAGCCGGGTAACCGCCTTCGGGAGTCCAGTCCACGGACGGTGACGGGAATGTTAAGTTCAAATCGTTTAGGTCTCTACTGTAAAGTAATAAGAATAGGTGTACTATACCATGATACAAAGAATTCAGAATTGACAACTGAACGATGAGAGTGCAATTTGGAAGACAAAGGTTTGATGTCCTTAAATAGAGTGGGAAAAGGACAGAGATATAATGAATAATGCTTCAAAGTATTGTACATACTTACGGATTTCTAAACATGTTATCTCGATGTACGACGTTGAAAGTGCAACACAAACCCTCGTCTGTGAGCTGGGCGTTGAATAGATCCTGGCAGTTCATGCTGCGTGAGTCCCATAGGCACATCGCTAGCATTTCGTTGCACGGCTGTGTCACCTGGGAATATAAACACGTATACGAACATGTTCATATGCCCCTAGTAAGTTTAATTATATCAATTCTACTTAACTACCTATGCTTACTTTAACTAGAAGCTTTTTATCAAAATCAATTGCTCCTTCAAATTCCTATTTACAACACAACAAGTAAGAATAACTACTTGCACACAAAAAACAGGTGGATTAACTTTTTTTTTTGTTGTGTGTGAAATATAGAAAATCCTATGAGTTGTTGAGTGTGTATTACTAACATTAATAAGAAATGATCTTGTATAGTCCCAATTGGCACTTTCAGCTATGTCATCCTCAAATATGTCTGCATCTCTTTGGGTGCCGCATAAACTGTTCAATAGCTTTTTATCCAAAGAATTCCTGGAATATCGAACGTTATATTCCTACAATGTTCAAAACTCTATATTTCAAACGAACGTTGATAGTAACCACATACACATATTGTCTTCAGTTTCCACTGGCAAAACATTGTTAAAAAAACAGATTGTTTATTTGTTTATAATTAAATGAGACAATTTATAGGTACAATAAGTTATTATGTGAATTTAAGGCGTGTTAAAGAGTTTATAAAAGACTAAACATTATCGCCTTCGAGTACCACTCAGAAACTTAATTGGCCACTAAGGGAGACTACTTAACCTTCCTGAGTACGACAGCTTTCAAGACAATACAAACCCAGTGTTAATGTACCGTTCGGCTACCGATTTCTTCGCTTGGTTGACATTGCACACGGTGATGGCGGGGAAGGGTAAGTCCTGTAGGTGCATGTTCTCAGGGTTGATGCTCACAATCATTGGCGACGAACGCCATTTGTGATACACGTTGAGAATGAAGAACGCCGCACATATTACTGAACAACAGAACGCCGCCAACCAGAAAAATCTGGAATGTGGGTAGTATAAGATAAATCATTTTGTTCCTCTGTGTGTTGTGTTTGCAACAAATGTTCAAAGTTATTTGTTGTTCTTACGTATTACATGCGTGTTTTTAATTAAGTTACATACTTTGTTTCAAGTTAGTAGAATGTATTTTAAAGTTAAGTGTATTGTTACTATATTCAAGTTCCAAACCTTTCAAACCAAGTCAGTTTTCTTTCGCCGATGTATCGAAGACCGTGCAGCGTTGACGTCTGTAAGTAATCTCTAAGATCCTTATTGAACGACTCGTAACCCGATAACACTTGTGTTGGCTTATCCTAACAAATGTTTTACGTTTATTTAAGACAGGAAGACTGAAGATAACAATATTTGAAAATATTTCATAGGGACTATGGCCTCATTTATCTTTCCTTAAAAGAAAGGAGTGGGAAGGGAATGGGTGTTGTGGAAATCTTCGGTGTATTTGGGAAAATTACGTAAAGGTTTTTCTTGTGACACCATCGTTAAAGAAACAGTCAACATTGTCAATCTAGATGACAATTTAAATCATAAAAACTTACATGGTAATTGAAAACTTTAGTGTCCCATTCATACCAAGGCGACGTTTCCACTTGTGTCTGGTTCATCCAATAATTATCCTAAAAAAGCTATTTTGTAATTAATGTAATTAACAGTGTGTTATTGTTCTTCGTTATACGAAATTCTCCGCGAGTCTACGTCATTCAACTTCGTTTAATACCTTTTAATTGACTTAACTTTACTGGACATAAACTATGGTAAGTTCCTTGTTCATTTTTGTATCTTAAGTTATGCAGATAAAAGATCATACTGTAGATCATAATTTTAGACATTTATATAGTCGTTTTAAATATAAGCATCGGTAGAAGTCTTAATTTAAACACAATATGTCACAAAGAATATGTTTACCTTTTTGAAAGCAGCTTGCGATGCACCTTTTCGGGGGCGAATATCAATCTCGTTGCTTTTGTACATTATTCTATCTATTTAATTATAAAATAAATCTTAAAGGTATGTTTTCATTGGCGACCCGAACCAGATTTTAGTTTACTTTGTATGATTTTACATAGCCCTGTGTCCATTCGACAAAAATCTGTTTAATCCTTGCGTGCGATGCGTCCAATGGATGCGTACCTTAAAAGGCAACGTTGAATAACAAAGGGCAAAGCATAACTAACGACAAAGTGATTGAAGTTTTACAAATTGTAGGTCCGGAAGGTAATTCAGCACGGTCAGTGTTTTACTAGCGATCGCCTGATTGCCCTAATCTATAATGATAGATCGCACCAACGCCGCCTCTAATGTTTGATCACGAAATTATACATTTTCCACCACTGGTATACTAACTGTAATACGTCAAGTTTTAATTTGTGTAATTAAATTCTAGTTATTTCCTAATATTCGCGAAAATCATTCTATTTTGTATTTTATGTCACAACGTTATTTTGCCTAATTAAAGTTTACAGATGGTACAATTAGTTTGAATATTATAAGATAAAAAGTAATCTCTATACCTGCGTCTATATCTTTACAAGTAATTTTGTCTACATGAAATTCAAATGACAAAAACTTGCGAATGTTATTCCTTTAAGGTTTCTTTACTTGAGGTATTAATTAATACATAATTTAAAATACACATAATCTTCTAAATATTGTACAAAATACTTGCTTTGTGTTCAAATGATACTTTTCAAACTAGAATTCTCTTCAGAACTTCTTTTGGAGTTGCGTTACGCGTTACTTTTAAACGTTACTTTGCCACTTTGTGTTAACGAGGAGTAATTTATCTAACCCAGTATTTGTTATTATATAGTTATCAAATGTTTTCATCATGACTGCCATATCATGTCACGACACGGCAATGTTGTGTTATTTCTAATTAATTTAGCTACCGTTCGTACCTATCGTGTAGTTTATTTTTTTTAAATGGTTTTACGCGTCGCTTTATTTAGAATCGCGCTTTATACGCGTAATTTTTTGATTTACAAAATAAAAAATAAGTGAAGTATTTAATCATAATAATTAAAAAGGTCAAGCTTATTTTACATTGATTTAATTTCATATTGCTCTTTTTCTACTAGTCTTAAACATATTAAACAAGGCACGCAGGTATCGATGCTGACGTAGAAGGATGTAGTTGGAAGTACCAGGTACTCGCAGCAATTAACATTGCATTTTTTTACTTGCCAGCGGACGTAAAGTGTGATGAAACGTCCATATATTGCACAGTATTCAAAAGAAACAAAATATGATTTTCGATTTTATATAATTCGTGTATAATGAATACATACAATAATAATTATTATGTACAAAATTATTTGTTCGATAGAAATTTATAAAAGTAACAAAAAAGCCGAAAAGAAAGAATAGGTTGACGCACTTGCACTTTAAATAGTTTCTAAACGAAGAAGAGATCGAAGTAAGGATGTAGACGGGCACCTCGACGTAATTCTAGTGCGTCACTGACTAGCTGTCTCCGTGAGAGACGGCCTAGAGCCGCGTCCAGTGAGCCCGGAAAAGGGAAGGAGGAGGAAGAGGAGAGAGGTTTCACCAGTGCTGCTGGGGCGCGTGGGCGGCACCGCCGTGGCCGGCTTGCGCGTGCGCGGCGAGGTGGGCGGCGCGCGCGGCGGCTACCTCAGGGGTCTCCAGGATGCCGTTGCCGTTCTGGGCCAGCCTGATCTGAGCGGCAGGTCCTTGCCATGAGGGAGCACCGTTCCACTGGTTGTGGGCGGGGGCGTTCCACTGGTTGTTGGCGGGAGCGTTCCACTGTTGGCCGGCGGGCTTGGCGGCGGAGAGAGCGGCCAGGTGAGCGGCGCGGGCCTGGGCCACTTCGGGAGTCTCAGCGACGGGTGCGGGGGCGCCGGAGTTCCACGCGGGAGCGGCAGGGGCGGCGTTCCACTGGTTGGCGTGGGCACCGTTCCATGAGGAGGCGGGGGCGCTGTTCCATGAGGCGGCGGGGGCGCCGTTCCAACTACGCTGCTGCTCACCCTGCCAGTACTCCTCGTTGTCCCATCTGGGGTCGTAGGAGCCATCGTCTTGTGGGTTGGGGTTGTTTTGCGACGCCTGCTGTAAGGCGGCTATGTGAGCAGCGCGGGCCTGAGCAACCTCGGGGGTGTCGAGGATGTTGCGGCCGTCCTGTGACAGGGCGATGTTGGCGGGTGGGCCGGCCCAGCCGGATGCGTGAGCGCCGCACGCCAACGCCAAGCAAGCTACTACGATCTGTTGGCAAAATACAAAATCATATTAATTAAATTATCAGACGTCGGATAACAGTTTACGCCACTTAGTTAACTGGAATGACCTCGCATTCATTGCTAACGGCATTGCTTTTAACTCAACCGACTTTGTCCTTCATTAACATGTTATTATTTAAAGTGATTACTGTCGTAGTTAAGTTTACTCTGGTTCTGTCTTATCATAGGGTCGAAGGCATGCTATGAATATTGACAACGTGTACAATCATCACCCCTGCGATGGTGAACCTATATTTTTTAAAAGTTTTTGTTGTCTGTTTTATAACATGACTTTTTTATATTATGTATTATATTTGCTTTGCTAAAACACACCGATTAAAATTTATTGTGCTCATTCAATCAATGTGGCAAGTATGTTCTAATATGTGGAATGATTTATAATCATTTAATTATATCAAATAATAAAAAGGCGATAACAGTTATAATGTATTTATTACATTAGTATTTAATTAAAATTAATGGCATCGTACCAAACTATGAAAAGGAATGTTTGCTGTAGTTTGAGTAAGACACTGTAAAGACATGAACGAGTAATTATTACAAATATGCCTAAAATAATTATAACTTTTTTATCTGTGTGAACTTTTTATTATCCGTTTATTACCCACGACATAGATGTATGTTAATTTAGATATAAGATTTGATGGATAGAGTTTGTGTTAAATAAAAATAATTAAAGTCGATTATCGTGTTCCAAATGTCTGTACATTTATGTAGATCATTTTGAGATGAGTGTACAAGTATGGAATTTATTCGAATCTATGTTCAGAATCACGTAACGATGTCAGGGCCTGCTGTGGTCGAGAGCCTCGGGTCAGACCGGTCGGTGTAATCGAGTCAATAAGTAAACCTATATTTATTACTTGAAATGTATGACTTTACTTAAAACGATGATAATACTGAGGCGTTAAAGTATTTAATGCTTAATTTTACATATTTATATCCCTATCAAATGTGTTTATTTTTAAATCGAAAAACAAAAAATGGTTTTGATTTTCGCACAAAAAAGGTTATTGCTTTTCTTAAAACCTCTTTTGTGATTGCCCTTAGTTCAATAAAAACATAAAGCGAATAATATATGTTTACTATTATTTAATATTAATTAAGTACTTTTATATTTACGTACAAATAAAATTTTATTCACACGTATACTAGGTCAAGTTAATTAAGCAACATTTTGTTAACTAAGCAATTAATAAGACAAATGTTAATAAATCCTAAATATAGCTCATTGTCTTTTGGATATTATGAAACGAGTCACAATATTTAATTTCTATGCTTACCTAAGTAGAACTAAGTCAGTGCTAGTGCGTTAAGTTACAAAATTCTTGATAAGATCAAGCACGCGGTTACAGTACTGAGAAATGTTAGTAGCCCTTGATTTCGCAGTTTCGTTTTATTTTGCCAATTAATGTATGACATGCCTTTTAATCTGCTGTTAAAAATTTGTTTAACATCATATTAAAAATGAGAATTTTTTTTGTTTAATCTGTTATGAATTTATAACTTAATTTATTATAAAATAGTGTAGAAGTCATATAAGACACCTCTTATCCCGAAACTTAAACATTTCTCGCCAGAAATAAAAAAAATTACTTTATGGCCCTAAGTCAAGTAAGATTGTCTTTTGTTAGTAATATAAAAAAAAAACTTGTTTTTCAATTACGCTGCTATGTCGGAATAAAAAGACAATAGGCTGTATTTGCTTTCATTTATAATTCATTAGGAATAAAAGTGTCCAATCAAAGCAATAAAGTGAATGGCTCAAGGTCCGAAGGTCCCTTGAAGGTTATAAAGCAGGAAGCCAGCTATCCGGACCTGCCCACCGTTACATTCGTAGACTTGTTACCCTCGCGACTGTCATTCTTAAACTGACATTTAATTTTCTATTTTTTTTAAACATCATTACTATTCAGCCAGTAACAAAACTTTAAAGTTCTATGTAACGTATGTGACATTAAATTGACTGCCGCATTCTTTGCTGATGATTTACATATAAGTAGTCGGCTTAAAAGAGGTTAGGAGACTAACCTTTTTGTTTAATGCCATCGTGGATTTTCACTTCCGAAACACCAGCATTATGTTATCTCGAATTTTTCAAAGAGAATAACAAGGATGAAAATATGTTTTCATACGATTGTTTCAAAGGATACATGTTCACTAAACAACTCTAAAGTTATCTCTTATCGATACTGGGCGTTTCTTATGATAATTGTTGCAGGGCGGTGCGTGGGCTTGCCCTTCTAAACGGCAAAGTATGGAATGCAGGCAGGGTCTAATACTAGGTGTGCCATATTTGACGTTTAAAAGAAAAAAACTATACATCAATGTCATTCAAAATATGACGCATCACACTTGATAGATCCTTCCAATTCTGGATAGTTAATGACCATATAAAGAATCAAATATCGTGGGGAAATGTGTCGCAGTTTTTAAAGCTTTATTAAATTTATGGAAAGATCTAGAAACATTAAAATGGCATTACCAGTACTCGTCCTGTTGACATTGTAGTACTGGAGAATAACCGATCATAATTGGTGATAGCTGTCAGCATTCGCAGCGCCATATTTGGTATATACGTGGGCGTTGCATCAACATTCGCTTTTCGTCATTGCTGTACTGACATTACATACTAAAGTGAAAAGCAACTGCATACCACGTGATTATGATTGTTCCAAGGATTTATTTAGGTATACCGACAAAGGATTACTTTTTATTATGTTTTTATTTCGTCCTTTTAATCTGTACCATAAAAAGACGGTAAGAGGGTATTTGCAAATTCTATCTTCTTTGGTATTTAAATTATATTGTCAAAGATACCAACACCATTACTTTAATCTTTTGAAGAAAAGTTGAACATAATATCGCATCGTTTGTTAGAAAACATCGTCGTCGTCGTTTGTTAGTTATTTTAAGACTATAATTTGTTGTTCTTTTGTCGAAGTTGTTAAGAGAAGCAGTGCGAAAATCCGTAATTAAAAAGATAAATGCTACATTTATGGAAACGAAAGATTGTAAAGGTAAGTAACAACGTTACGTATTTTACGATAGCGTATTGACTGACGATGAAATGGGTTTAACATTCACATTTTGTAGCATATTTTCGATGATATTTAACAAAAATAATATAAGAAATCATAATGTACAAGAGTGATTACTAAGAGTAATACCTATTTAAGATAAAATAGGTTTTTGTGAGGAATCTGTACTAGCTTATTGTTAAATTATGATATTGTTATAAAAACTGTAGGTAAATAAAATTCTTGACAAGACATGCATTAGTGAGTATTAATGCTCTAATAATATTTTATGCCGGACAACTTTCAGCGGCATTGAGTCACGTAGGAAACAAGCCTTCGTTTTAACCTTGCTACGCAAAACTTTTTTATGTCTTACAGTGCGTAGTAGTTTTACCTATTAAGATATCGGATGTTTATTTATCAATTTATGTTTTATAAGATTTAATTTTTCGATTAGACAAAGAATAAATTTTTCTTTTTATAACATAGTACGATTGATGTTTTTGTTTAAGTTTTGGAATTTAGAATGAAAGATATGTTAATTTTTTGGAAGTATCCATTTTAAGTACTTCTTCAATATTTTATATATAATACGTATGTAAGTCTCTTAATGATAACGTCGTGGAAAAAATGTAAGGAAATTGTAAAATCGTGTGCAAAATGAACATTGATAATGACCTGGAAGTCGCGTGGCCGGCACGCGTGCAACCGACAAATTTTCGACATATTAGCAGGCCTAGTTGTTCACGCTACTATTAAATTTTATTATTTTAGTTGCCGTTAAAAAATATTTTTTTATATTTCTTAATATATTCAAAGTTACTTAGTTTCTCTTATGTAAAGTTATATTCTTAGACGAATTTTACTTTCTTGTTGTTATGACAATGGAAAAATGATAACATAATTTATTCGCCACATCTCCTTTAGAGTTGTGTTTCGTTTAAAAATGGAATTGTGACGTCATCAATGATATTAGAAAAAACATAAATTATATAGGTCTTAATTTAATTTCCATTATAAACACGATTTAATGACGAAATATTAGTTAAGTATTGCGTTTGTATACAAAATGTCGCAGCTGTTATCGTTCAAGCGGTGAGCTTGTTAGGGAATTAAACTTGATAAAGGGTTCACTGAAGTGTGCGTAACTTGAATGTAGGCGAAGTGTGACCAAGTGACAGGGCCCGTCAGGACCGATACTAAATTAAGTTATTGTAACCGAACAAGACGCGAGACGTGTCATAATGTGACCGGAATATTGTTAATATGTAAGCTTTTTAGAGCTTTATTTATGAAGCTTTATGATTCTTTGGAAAAGTAAAGTTTGTTATTTTTTTGAATTGATAGAATTTAAATAGAGTAAAAAGGTACTTACCATAGATTTCATTTTTGTGAAGAGGTGAAGCACAGAGGTGAAAGAAAGAAAAGATTTAGGTTATACGATTAGTATATAGCGCTGATGGAAGACTAGTTGTCTTCCAGGATTCGCTATGTTGGGAGTGCAACTTGCGTCTGTGCAAAATGAGGGCGGGTGCTGGTATTTATACTCGGCGCCTGCGCAGAGGGGGTGCCTCGAGTTGACTTGTGAGCGAAAGTACAGCCCATGTTGTTGATTATAGCGAATATCATGGTACGCATTTCAATGGCAATACGCGTTTTTCGGTTCATTTCTGTTTGTGATTCGATGCTTGCAGTTTGGTTATTTTTTGATTAGTCTAATGTTTAAATAATAATGTAATTATTAACTTTGGCTTTATTAAATCATAAACATATAATAAAGTTTTGTGATAGGAATGTGCAATATTTTAGTATAAAAGAATTTCATATATGTATTATAGTATTAAATTTTGAATAGGTTTTTTAGATTAGAGAACATTGTTTTCAGAGGATGGCTTGCTATAAGCAAGTCGGTTTTTAATTTACATTTTTTTAGTTTTTTGTGTTGTGATATTATTGAAGTTGATTTTAATCTATTTTATTTAAATCTCACAATCGTCATCTCATAAGAAAATTCTGATCAGATTATAGGTAGATTCAGTGAAATAGAAAAACTAAATATTTACAATTCAGTTTATATTTTAATTTAAAATATTTACTTTATAAAAATGATATGTTTATATATGAATAAAAATTAAGTGCTGTTATTGGACAATCATTGATGCGAGAAAGTTTAGAATATTTTGAACGATGTAATAGGGTTTTCCGAGCGTATTTAGAACAAAGAAAATTTGGAAAAGTCGGACTTAGTTATTGTGAATACATAACATTTACAGTACTTTATTTACCATGGAAGTTTTGATATGATATTAACTAAAGCGCGAATCTATGGTGTTTATTAGTAAAAGAGTTTTCAGGATACACACATGTATGAAGATCGTGTGACAGTGTCATAATTTAAATTTACCCTGAATATCCATCGCCAAAACACCTTAATACAAAACATATCGCTAATTATTAATTATTTGTGTTAGGCGAATTTATTGTTTCCCATGACGATTAAATATTACGTTACATAGTAGTCATTATATATTATATATATATGCGTAAAGAATTATTAATTGATTTTAGATTGGACAAACCTATGTGGTATATGTTTGAATGAGTACATACATATTTTAATATTTAGTGAATGTATCTTAAAGTGCTATCTTTCGTAGTCTGAGAAGGATAATGTACTATGTTTTAAAAAGAAAAGATTTGTTTGTAATCAATATATTTTGAAATTACAGAATTTCTGTTATTTAATTACTTTATCATTTCATGTCTGTAATGTAAGTTAATATTTGCGGTAAAAATAATAATTTTGTCAGGGTAATGCGTTAGTTAAGTTTGCTTGGAATGTTTAACATTTTTTAAATAACATATGTCTCCTTTTCGTAATCTTTGAATCTTATTTTATTATTATAAACATAATAGCATCTTCTACTATGATAATCAGAATTATTTTAACTTAATTCAACAACAGGCCACGAAGTAGGAAACAGTTTAGGGCCACTTGTAATATTATTACGCATTAGTGCTTTATATTTCAAATTGAATTTTAATTTAATAAAACTCATGCGTTTACAAATAACACGACTACTTTGCTTGTTATAAAATGATTATTATTATGACAAAGAATATACGATTGGAATATACATAAAATTTATACTTTTCGGGTTGGAGACCTAATTTTAGTTCACGTTCCTTTCCTGCCTTAAGGAAAGTAAGCGAGCAGGAAAGCAACGCAGGGAGGAGGATGGATAGGAAGAAGTAATATCCTCTTTATGTTTGTCTGTCGATTAAAGGAATTGCTGCAATTGATGTCTACGTCAGATCGCTTATTCTCTCGCGAATTTAGGCGTATTCAGATGGCTGATTGCTTGTTTGCCACCTTATAATATAAAAAAATAAAAACATTTATCTATACGACTAGAGCACATAGGTAATGTAGCTTAAGCAACCTCAGAGAATCAAGGTTGTCGGAGTTGACTAGATGTGAAAGACAAGAGTCTGACTTTTAGGACGATGTATATAGGAATAATATTGGGATGCTATGTTCAACAATGGACATTTATTCGTTTTTGTTGACGATGATAATTAATTAAATTAAACCAGTGCAGCATTAGGACCGTATTAAAACTTGTCCTTTAACAACTTCCTATTAATTATTAGAAAATGTCGTTATATCGAATTCGGAATTAGTATTGTAAGGTCGAAGAACATGTTTCAGTCAGGAAACCATGTAATAATACTCGATATGATAATTAACAATTTATTTCTGAAATGCGATGTTTTTTTAATATTTATTTTTTTTTCTTTTTAAAAGTAATCAGGTAGTCATGATTTTTGTTTCTTATATTGGGTCCCTGTAGAGTGAAATTATGGATAGCCTTATAAAGTCGGTGATAAACCACCAACGCAGTGTCATCTTAATGTACACTCGCCTTAAATATTTTGTATGCGAATTGCATGTGTAATGACCATATAAGAATCCAATATATCTTAATGCGTATAAATCACTTGATGCATTTAAGAAATATGGATGTATTTTAAAATGGATTCCTGGAATGTTGACCATAATTCTTTTGAATTTTCTTATGTTACAGTATTCTGATATGTCGCACGCGACTCCGTGCGCGCGAAAATAAAGGAATAATTAGTAGCTTTTGTGTTATTCCAGGCTATGTTCTATATGTATGCCAAATTTAATTGAGATCCATTCACCCGTTCTGGAGATACCTTCAAACAAATATCCATGCATACATCGATCCATTCATCCGTCAATCTAAACATTCGTATTTAAAAGTTTGGCAAGATTTACTTATGTAGTAAGTCACTGGAAGTCTGATTACGTGTTACAGATAAAGAACAATAAAAAAGGGTAAGTTATTAAGGGAAAACCGAGAAAAGGGGATGATCCTGGTCTAATTTTGACCTTGATCCTTGACTTTTCAAAGTACGTTTAGAAAAATCTCTTTCTAACGTCCTTCGTTGTTCTATTGTTTTGAAAGATTCAAGGTTGTTATTGAAGAGTTTGAAGTGTTCTTAACCCATGCTAAAAACTACGCTAGTAAAAAGATGTCATAAGAAGTATCTTGGCAATTATACTATTCCGAACAAGGTAAAAAAGCATAAACGTTGAGATGTAAGTTTTATATAAGTTGTCAAGACTATGAGCTCGTAATTTAGTGCATTATACTGGTATAAAAATGATCCTAGATCGAGTTAGAGATGAATGGAAGAGTACTTCGCTAACCTAAGGGAAAAAGACCGCATAATCTTACTAATATTATAAATGTGAATCTTTGGATGGATGGATGGATGTTTGTTAGAAGGTATCACCAGAACCAATGTCTGGAACTCTCTGAAATTTGCTATCGATATGACATAATTTCGAAGAACACAGCTATTAAGTAAGCTAATTTAGTTTCTTTTACATCGCGCGGAGTCACGGGGGATAGCTAGTTGTACATATATTTTATGTGGCGCAAATCCTGATCAAAATATTATGAGCACCAATGAGGCGTATCCTTACATGTAAGTTAGTAATTTTTAAGTATTGTAGGCCGTAGCTGTCATACCATGTTACGATTTGAAGGTCTGATGTTTTTTAAATGGTAAAGTGTACGTTCAAGTTTAAACATATTTTAACCCCGAAATGTAGAGTTATGTAAGGAAAAGTAGACTTGAAAGTTGATCTGTAGCCTATATAGTGATCTTACTAGCCAGCTAACTAGTAAATATTATACATTTAATTATCGTATTATCTTTAAAAACTGATTTATTTTTTATCTGAGTGCACCTGCCATTCACTTTACAGAAATACTATTTGAAAGACAAAAAAGGTTTTATTTACAAATTCATTTTGATAGTAAATTAATTATTTAACTTAATTCAAATTAAGATTCATGAATTAATCACAAACAGTGATTGGACAATTGAAATAACTCACCGTTAAATAACGTAATATTATTTTGTATTTGTAAAAATTCATAATAGTATTACACCAAGGAACAAGGTATATTAGAGTAATAATTTTTAAAAAGGTAATAAAATGCTCCATTATATGTCGTGTCACCCCGCTGAGTTTACGACAGTGGTGACCATTTTCGATATTCCGACATTGTCATTGAAATTAATTCGCGACGATTACATTGCGGTTTCAGATCGATGCAATTTATCACATCGTATTTTTAATATCCACAGGTGAATATAGTTAAAAATTAATTCGTTAACTATATTCACCTTTATTCAAAAGCCTAAAGGAATTGAATTGTATGTTTCTGGGACTCTTTTATGTTATTTATAATACAAAAATCATCACAGCTATAAGTCCCCACTAAAGGGCTCGGAGCCTACCCTTAGGAGTGACTAGGCCATAGACAACTTGCTGTCCCAGTGCGGATTGGTCGGTTGTTATAAAATACGCCAATTATTAATTAAAATATAAATTAAATTTTAATTAGAACAGCATTGTTCTGTTGTATCGGATAAAAGTGAATCAAAGTGTGGCACCTGATTGGTTAAGTGTAAGTGTGTCAAGTGCGGTCCAGCCGCAAACTCTTTTATCAATGGATCTTAACCGCAATGGATTCGAGGACCCTGTGTGATTATGTTACATTCGTATCTATAACTGGGATATAATTTGAATTAGCTTAAAAGATATGTTGTATTGATGAGGAACACGTATTTTAACCTTTTGACCGCCGGTGATTGATATTACGGATGTCAACGTTATAAAAGTGTATGTTTAATCTTTAAATATTTTTCGCATTTCGGAATCCTTTGCATAATTATATTTCGTAATGATTTCTGGTAATGTCTAATATCAGAATGCGCTAAAAAGGTTGGCATATTTCTAAGCTAAAATTTATTTCAAAGCAATAAATTTTGGTTCGGCCCTATGAATTCGAACATGAGGATGACTAACGACGGAATTGTTTTTTCTGTACTTCTACAACAATTCACTAAGTTAACGCGTTTAAATACTTAAGCTCGGTTAAAGTTAAGTATTTAACCAAGATAATTAATATTTAACATACAAATTGTCACGT